ATCCTAACTACTTTTTTTTAAAGAGGTTTTGATACGAAAAAAATTATTTTTAATTTCTATTTGTAACCCATGATATTGTGTGTGAATTCAAAACTAAAGTAAATTTCTCATTTATTTTGCCTTCTTCCTTCTGTCGAGTTCACTATTGTGCGACATCATTACAATTAAAAAAACTATTTTTCATTGCAGTACGTTAAAAATCAACGAACATTTTAATTGAAAATGTTTATTGTTCAAATATACCACTATTAATAATGCCCTCCTTGATGGGAGTGGGAGGGGGGCTGCCTTTATTTTTGGTTCAAATCTTCCAATTATTTTGCTGCACACCTAATCAGGGAGCTTTTTTAAAAAATTAAATAAAATTGGACTCTAATGACCTCAACTAATAGAAAATGTTTTAAATATGGCTTTAAACTAGGAACCCAGGCAATACAGTAGCAGAAACAAATCCGGTGTTTGACCTTCTAATGACCTCTAACAACTTCTAGTGACCTCAAAATTGAAAATGTTTTAGCTATGGCTTTATGCATATCAAACGAAATCTAGAAACCATAGAGAATAGAATATATATTAGAGGGGAATTTAAAGAATCTCTCGGTATGATTTTTTTTCAGTCCCTTTCAGCCTGAAAGGGAGTTCAAAGTGTACAAATCATGTAAATGTTCACAAATTATCTGCAGTAGAGTACATTAATACAGTATGTTCCCTAGACTATTCATTTCAATTTCGAATTTTTTAAACTGTTAAATAAACTTTATAATGAATTAGGTGAATAAAAAACACCATTTGATTTATAGTTATAACGGAAAATCATCGTTTGTAAAGTGGAAGGCATAGAGTCTATGTGAAATGATCATTGGTCAATTAGGAAACCAGCCTATTTCATAATTTGGTTTTCTTTTAACAATAATTTTAGATTTTCTATAAAATGATATTCCAGGGCCCAAAAGGTTATATAGCATAAATATGTGAAGTACACCTGCAGTATGGAAACAGTACAACAAAATGGCCGTTTTACACTTTTTTCTAGTAAATTCCCATCTAATAAATATTCTATTCTCTATGCTAGAAACCCAGGCAATACAGAAGCAGGAAAGAATTCAGTGTTTGACCTTTTTATGACAGAGGGTTCCTATCTTTCGTTTGATATGCATAAATTAAAATTAAAACATTCTCAATTTTAAGCTCGTTAGAGGTCATTAAAGTCCAATTTTATTTTTTGAAAATAGCTGCCTAATTAGGCGTGAAGCCAGAACATTGGAAGGTGTGAACCCTGATCTACCTACAGTCGATCAGGTTCAAATCTGGAATCACCAATTCAAAGATAAACATAAAGATTTGACCCGGACGTAGGTAGTTCCAAATACCTCTCCAATTTATTTTATTCGGAATTGCTAATGATAGATTAGATAGATTAAGTACGAGATAAATAACATATCCTGCCTTTAATGAACGCTCCTGACGGACGGAAGAGCATGAGTTTTCCAAGGGTAGAATCGGATACCAGAAGGAACCCCACATCATCTACCAGAATTCCTGTAGGTGATATACACCTAGCATAACAGGGAACTAAGTTCATGTGTAAAATCATGCAAGGTGATAAGCTGGTTTGGATGGGAGGGGGGGAGACAAAAAAATAGTTTTTTTGTGAAAGGTTTGATTTTAAGTTAGATGAGGTGACCATTCCGAACTGATTTTATATCTTAAGGGACTGTTTCAAGTGATCTTTTACTTAAAGAGGGGCATACCTGATTCACAACGGTTCCCTTTAAATATTAGACTGATTGATGATGGCGGACTTTTTATTCTAATTATTTATCTAAACCCACCCCACTAGTGTACATTTGAATATCGGAGCTGGGCCAACCTTTGCAGTCCTATTTTGGACTGTGCCGCAAATTTACATTTACTAAAGCGGCAAAGAAGTGTGAAACGCTTGTAATTGTTTAGTTCGCAACATGATTAGTATTCACTCAATATTAATAATCACTTTCTAATTTCAAATATGAAACTTCTTAGTCAAATTTACGGACATTAAAAATCCTACATTTTCCAAGAATAAATATGACGCCATTCGCTAAATATCGAGTGTACTGCAGTCCTCAATAATCAGTCAAAAGTTTAAAGGAACCGAATTGTACTTTATGGAAGGTCACTTCAGAAATTAAACTAACATGTCTGACATTTTTAGAACCAAGCTACAAACCCTTAATATAACAATAGTGAAAACTAAAGAAAATTTTTTAGGAAAATTTTTGTATTCCTTTAAATACAGACTTTTCATAAATCCAAGGCTGAAAGTAGTCATATCTCTCATTTGTAATTCCCCAAACATTGGCCATGTAAGAGACATTTACAATACGGGTTTAGTAACGGAGGAAAAAATAGATGGAAGAGAAACAACTTTTCAATATTTTTCCCTCATTGATTGTCACGTTAAAACCTTACATGAAGCTGCAAATAATATAGCTCCAAAATTGTAGTAGAAAATAAACTGTTGTGGGCATAATTTTAAGCGACCTTCTCTTGATACAAAGGTTTTGAAGCATTGTGAATAAGAACTTTGTCACTTGAAATTACTTCTTTAATAAGGATAAAAATTGAAATCATTACCTCCCCACTCCTTCACCATAGTATCCATTGGATTGCTGTTTCCTAAAATTCGATTAATATTGTGACATGGATGTGGCAGGGCCCGACAAAATAAGACTTAAATCTCAATAATTTAGCAAAATTAAGAATGTGATCACATTCTTTAAATATGATGAGTTAGAGGTTAAGGTTAGGTGTTTTTTTTTTACTTGAATATAGCCATTCGATGGTAAACCTTACTATTTGACAGAAACAATCATCTCTGAAGTTGCATCCTTGTGGGTAACCCTGTTCCTCATACTTGTTTATAACATTCCTTGTGGGTAACCCTGTTCAGTTTATTATAAATTAAAATAATAATAAAAAAATCCATCTTCCATCCTGCTTTTACAAGATGAAAATGGAAATCAATACTCCTTAAATCTGAAATGAGTTTCTTACATTTTATCTTGAAGATCTACTGAATAGATCCTGGCTGCTAGAGAGTCCACCACAAAGAATGTCTGATCAAAGTAAACCAGTTCCTCGGGACTGAATTCTGTTCCTCTAAAAAGTTTCACATTTCAGGGAATACTCAAGTACTGCNAGTTGTTCGTAAATCTCGATAATAAAAATATATCAAAGGAAGTTGTTCGTAAATCTCGATAATAAAAATATATCAAAGGAAGTTGTTCGTAAATCTCGATAATAAAAATATATCAAAGGAAGTTGTTCGTAAATCTCGATAATAAAAATATATCAAAGGAAGTTGTTCGTGAATCTCGATAATAAAAATATATCAAAGGAAGTTGTTCGTAAATCTTGGTAAAAAAATATATATCAAAGAAAGTTGTTCGTAAATCTTGATAAAAAAAATATATATCAAAACTAAGATATTGAGACGAATTGTAAAGTAACTTTCAACAAGCCTAGTATTCTTAGCTCTGGGTATAATTAGATTTGTAGGAATATACACCCGCATCTCAGGAGCGGTAAATTCTTTTCTTGATCAAGGATAGGAATATACAATCTCAGGGGAGGTAAGTTAGATTCTTGATCAAGAATAGGAGTATACAGATCTCTGAAAGAAAAGTGAGCTCCCTTCTTTTCATATGCAAGGTAGGAATCAGAGGGCGGAAACGTTATGTATCCGGGTGTCTGTACCAAAAGAGTGTGTGTAAGTAATAACAAACCGAAGCCGTGTAGTGTAGGTATATACACTATACAGTACATAAGAATCTTGGTTTTTGTACAGTCTTGGAGACTACATTTGTTTATTGTTTAATTGTTTACTTGAAAGTAATTTTAATTTACATGTAATACATTATTTATATATTTAAGTCAACACTATGAGCCAAATGTTCACGCAAAGAATATAATTTGATTAAAGCTTACAATAAACTACTCGTTATTAAAGACTAATTATAATTAACATTTTTCTGCAATTTCCTTGACTGTAGTCATGTTGTGTGTAAAGGTTGTGCGTGTGTTATAACGAACCCGTCTGCAAAGCATTGCGATTGGCTTTCTCATGCCAGACATAGCGCAATTTCGCTTCCCTTTATTCTTATTCCCTGGTAGGAATATATTTAATTTCAGTCTGCCTACCCATATTTTTGTGGAATTAGTTTAACTTTTTCAGAAATAAAAAAATATTTTTACTTCAGCTATTAAGATAGATGAAGTTTTAATTTCAAAAAAATATTTTTGTTTTGGTGGAAACATGATAAAATTAACGTAAATTTTAAAAGAAAGTTAAAATATTTGTTGTGCAAAGTAATCGTTAATCATATTCTTGCTAGTTTTAAACTCAAGATTTTCTTATCTTGTCTTTTCTTTTTTGTCTGCAATGAAACATCCATCATAGTTAATTCTTTTAAATCCTTTCATTTCATTAAAAGTAGAAAATGAGAAAATATTTGAGGTTTTGTCGCAAAGTTGAAAACCAACTTTTGTTTTATTTCGAGGCCATCTGAAACTATGCTTGCATTATCATTTCCAAATTTCCCCCAATTTATCAAACAAAAAGCTCTCATTTACAGGGGAAAACATTGTCCAGTCTGGCCCTAGACAAACTTTAAAATCAAATCTGAATTTAGACCAAAGGAAAATATTTTTAAATTTTAACACAAAATAAATTCCACAGTAACAGACAACTGAGTTTTCCGGTACGTTTTGTCATAAAGTGAAGGCATCAGGCATTGTTCAAATTTGAAATTTGGTAACGTTTGAATGGTATTGTTGTACAAATGCTAAATAAGCTGTACAAATGTTTGTATTAAAAGTGTTATTAATACTCTTAACAAAACTAAGTTGTCCATGTTATTCAACGGCGACCATTATTTTTCTGTTATAAAACAAAAACTCTAAAAAAAACCTCGAAAAATTTTCTGTTTATTACCGAAATTTCACAAATTATAAATCAAAAGGATCCTTATTTTTTTCAGAAATAAAAAATGTCTTGTCAAGTTATTTCCAGGTACACCTTAATCGCATTAGCATCAATATTTTTTTAGATTTCATAATATTAAAAAAGTGTATATACAACTAGATTTTTCCAAATTTTATGTACATATATAATCAAAATCCCAATGAAGGATTAAAGCCAATAAACAATAATCATGCAATATGAGTATTTATAATATCTGTATGAGGGAAATCAATAAAACTAATCAGTAGTAAATAAAAAAAAAATTTAGAATAATGAGAACGGTAGTGAATTCAAATCGAATCAGTCCTTATATTATGAGGCAGGTTTTCATAATTTGATTTTTGACTGGTTGATTTGATACACATAATTATGGTATTTTACTATTTTCCTCCTGCAAAAAGAAAATATGATAGATGTTGTTATTTCATGAATTCAGTTTGAACAAAAAAGTCTTTTTTTTTAATCAGCATCTTGGATCGTAAAAAATGAATTTAATTCCAAACAAATCATTCAGATATTACAACCTATAATTATCGATAATTTTTTGACATTTTCGTATATAGTTTATATATAAAATGCACTTAAAACGACGATTTTTTCGTTTTTAACAATTTTCTCCTTATAGACACAACAGATAGAAGATTAGTATAGCGATTACAATCGATAATTTTTTTTGCGTAAGCTTATACCCCCTTTCATTTCATTTTTCGCGAACACTCCCTTTAATATTCTATTTTATTTAGAAGAGAATTGAATGCGGGACGAAATCTTTTTCTTTCTGAGGTGATCAAACTGTTATCTATTTATATACTTAGCTTGTCTGTCTGGGTGTTTGTTTGTTTGTATCCAATAAACGTCTAAACGGCTGAACCGATCCCACCAAAAAATGTTTGTGTGACCTGACATTGACCACAGGGAAGGATTATGGGTGCTCAAAATTACAAAAATTCTTATCCAAAACTTTTTAATCTTTGTAAAACTTTGAAAATGCGCGCAAAAATATTATTAAATCCGCAAACTTTTTGTTTGTTATTGTTTTACATTGTACAAAGAGAAGCATGCGAAGCGCCCTTAAAGTTTAGTTACAAAAAAGTTAAACTAGCCAATAGAAAACAAAAGATTAGCAATCAATCAACCATTAGATACAAAATTCCAAAGCACAGCTAAGTTAATCACTAATATATTGATGAAAAAAAAAGATAGTTCATTGAGAAATCAATACTCGAGTCAATAAATGAAACAGATAAATGAAACTGGGATTCGTGGACAAAGGAGCAAATTAAGTGAGATCTGTTACAGTAGGTATGCTTGGTATGCTCCTCTTGAAATGGAAGGTCACTGGAAATTACGCTCACAGCCCCTTACAGTGAACAAAAAATGAAATAAAACTAAAATATCCACTCGTTTAATATTATTCAATACTAATTCAACATTAATGTTCAATATCTTTTTTATGTTTAATAATTTTAAGATAAAATCTAGAAAAAACCGGAATATTATTGCTTGAATATATAAAAGCAAATTTGGGCACTTTTACAGACTATCCGACTTGTTTATTAAGCATAAAATGTTCCATTTAACTTTATTTTGAAAAGAGTTTCTGTTCTCATAAAACACATTTGTTTATATAAAATCTCCAAAATTTAAAAGCATTATAAAGATGTACTATTGTAAAACAAAAAACTGATTACAATTACCTTTTTACATTGTTCTGACGAAGAGCGGCTTAAAGCCAAAAACTTCTCAATAATTAGGAAACCATTACCATCAGCTACTGATGAACATCCGTTTTCAAATATTTAAAGCTTTAGACTTTTAAGCGGCTGAACTAGAATCTGAGATGTAGATCGTATTTCTAAATTACATACAGTGAAACCCTTAATAACGAATACATCGGAAGAATTTATCAAATGTCGTCTTGACAATTTTTCAATGAGTTTTTTACAATATTACGTAAATTTCAGTATATGCGAAAATAAATAAATAGCCATGAATATGCGGGAACAGTTTTAAAGAGTTCCATATAATCATTTAATTAACAAAAACATACATTCCATTATCAGAAAGTGAAGAATACGACATTTTATTAATTCTTTTGATGTATTCGTTATTAAGGGTTTCACTATACTAGACAATTTTGCTTTTATTACATTATGCAACATTTTTATTCTGACCATAGATATTAACCAAGTCGGTTTTTAACACGATTAGAAAATCGTTTTTTGTTTTTTTATTTTGAAAAATAGTTTTAATTAATGTCTGTGATTAGAGAAAAACGTTCGCATAATGAAAGCTTATCGAGAATAAAAACCTTAATGTCTCAAAACAATACCCATAGCAAGACTAATCGATTGATTGCTCGGAATCAGGTTCGATCTAGTTCCCCTGAAGCCTGGAGAAGAACTATCTATGCATCTCCAAAACATATGAGACGAAGAAATGTTTACGACAAGGGAAGCATAAATTTTAATTAATTTTGAGAGAATTTTTTTCCCACATTTTTACTTGCAATTTCATGATCTTGGGTATAAAAAGTCTCTTATTTAATCCTTGGCAATTAAGTAACATTTTATACCGGTGTCATGCATGGAGCGGACTCTTGCATGGGGCGGACTCCTCCTAAAGTTTTAACCATTTAACCCAATTTTAGACATAAAAAGCAATGTTATGACATTTTCCGATATTTATTAATGAATTGTGATTTGAAAAACACATTAAAAATTATCTTTATCTCGAGTAAATAATAATTGTTTGATGATTTGAAAGGAAGACGACATTAAAGAGCAAATACCTCTGTTTGCCTGTACTCCCTTTAAAATACATTTAAGAAATAAATGCGTATTTAATATATGTCAACTAATCATTTTTAATGTTTTAACATAGCTTTTTATGTCTAACATTGTGTTAAATGGTTAAAACTTTTGGGGCGAGTCCGCCCCATGCAAGAGTCCGCTCCATGCAAGACACCGGCACAGCAGGTTTCCCTTTTTTCGCGGATTTTAACAAAATAATCCCGCATTTTTCTGAAGCTTTAACTTAATAAATTCATATATCCGACTTTCTTGTGTATGTTATCAATTGGAAAATTATGTTTTTTTATGCGATTTTTACTTTTTTGTTTGTTTTCGGTTTAACTTCAAGATTTTTAAACACTCACTACGTTCAGGATTACAAATTTTGAATGTATACCTTAAACAAACAAAAAAGTAAAAATCCCGGGCAAAGCATTTTGTTCCGCATGAGAAAAAAAAGACAGTTGCAGTATTTATAGTTCTTTATAAAGAGCTGTTTTTTCATGAGATGTTTATCAAAAAGTTCAAAATTTTTACTTTTATATAATTGGGCTAGGATAGGATTTATGTGGGTAGGACATTATGTTGTTAATAAAACAAAACTATGCAAAACTTAATTCAAAAATTTATGAATATTTAAATATTTCTGCTGCTGACAGACGAACAGTTTCTGGAAGTTAGTCCAGGTAAACATTTTAAAGTTAAAGTAAGAAAAATAAAATGGTTATATTTGCCAAAATGGATGAATTTAAGAATATTAAAGGGACTGTAAGCGTAATTTCAAGTGATCCTTCATCCAATGATTGCAATGCCTGATTCACAACGGTACCCTTTAAACCATATATCTGATCAGTAATGTGGAAGTTTTTGTTATTTTGTCTAGGTTTAAAAGCGTTTGGTCTTTTAACTTTCGAATCACTTTTGTAGAGAAACCCACAATGGAAAATAATCTGTTTTTAAAATTTAAACATTGATATCTAATTCATCTAATTCATTCATGATCAGACATCGGGCATTGTCATCTCTGGAGGAAGAGTATCTTGAAATTACGCTTACAGTCCCTTTAAGGTTAGTTTATGATGTAATATGTGGCGTTGCAGACTACAATAGTTAGGGGTTAAGAACAGTGGCTAGGCCATACTTGGGGGAGCGAGCGCTGCCGCTTAAACAGGCTAAAAACAATGAGTTAAGTCAAAATTACGGCAAATGTAACCAAATGTAACTTTTGTAAAATAGCAAATGTTTTCACAGGGAAGTTGGTAACATTTATAGAAATTAGGGAGAGCACTAAAAAATAGGTTTTTGCTGCGGTATTTAGCGGCTGGAAAATTAGATTCATCTTTAGATTTGTATGTACGGACTAAATATAGACAGTCTTGGTCATTGATCATCATTAATTTTAAAATGTATATTTTTCCAGGTAGAGGAAGATAAAAGTAATCTGAATCCTGCGCAAAATATTGACATTCTGCGCAAAAAGGTTTGTAATTACTTACTATACTACCTGCAGCATGCTTTTTTATTAGACTTTTGCATTTTTTAATTAAGCTCAGATATGATCATCAGTGTACTGATATATCCCAGTTAGAGTTTAAATGCATTGGGTTGATCGAAAAAATGGCCCCACTTTAGCAAGATTTTCCGCTTTACGATCCAAATCAGTTTTCCCGCTTTTTTCCACAGAAAAATTCGAAAATTTCATCGTTACTCTCACCAAGATAGATATTTCTTAATAGATTTTTCTGAATAGATATTTCTAGATAAATATATCTAAATAAATTTTTCTGGATAGATATTTCTAGATAGATAATTCTAAATAGATATTTCTGGATAGATATTTCTAGATAAATATTTCTAGATAGATATTTCTAGATAGATATTTCTAAATAAATATTTCTGGATAGATATTTCTAGACAGATATTTCTAGATAGATATTTCTAGATAAATATTTCTGGATAGATATTTCTAAATAGATATTTCTGGATGGATTACTATTTTTGCTACTTTCACAATTTAATTTACACTAAAACTCTACGAGGTTCTTTAAACATCATTCTCTCATTCTCCCTAACCTCGGGATTCAAGATAATGTTTAATAATATCATCATATCCTTCTTCTTCCTACAGGTTGTCCTATTAATAATATCATCATATCCTTCATCTATCTAGGGTGTCCTATTAATAATATCATCATATCCTTCAACTATCTACAGGGTCACCCCTGCACACAAATGGAAAAGAAATAACTGGAACTACAGAAACTTTGAAGGCCTGCATTAATCTTTCATTGCTGTATTAACCTGGAGAATGGAGGTTTTTTACCTAGCTGAATCCAGATTTTGCTACTGGCAGCTTCAAATATACTGCTTAATAACACGCCTGGTTAGCTGTTATTAAGTATCCGCACTCGTCGGAAAGGCATTAATTCTTTCGATTGAATCTTATTCTATTTGAAAGCATCAAGGGAGCTCAGAACAGTCAGGTTCTTTTACAACTCTCTCCAGTGTCTTGTGGCTGAACAGAACCCTGTGTGGAATAACTTGGAAACAAGAAAATTATAGTGCAGAGAGGGGTAGGGGGGTTTCTCTCCTCCTCTTTCCCTTCCCTCTTGCAAGAAACAGGGAAAATGGAAACATAGAAATTAGAATCCTGGTTGTGCACCATGCACAATGATACCGGTTTATACTTTGCCAGCTTCAAGTATCTGAAGTATCTGCCGTATTCTGAAGCACTGTGTCCGAGATGAACTTATAAGAATCAAGATTTTTTTTTTGTCGGAAATATCCTCTTCTTGCCTAACCTTTCTTATCCTATTTGTCATTATTAAAGGGAGTGTTCGCGAAAAATGAAAGGGGGTATAGGCTTAATGCGATAAAAAAGCGCTTTTGATCGCTTCTATTCTTACTTCTATCTATTGCGTCTATAAGGAGAAAATTGTTGAAGACGTCTCATACCGAATAACATGGCGTCCACACAAATTGAGAAAATTGCAACATACAACTTAGACTGTAAAAAATCAATTTAATTTCAAACAAATCATTCAGATATTACAACCTATAGTTATCGATTATCTTTCGCCACATTTATATATATAATATGTTTTAATTGTTATGATCTGAGAGTTACTTATAAAAACATTTATTCCTGTTTCGAGGATTTTTGGAAATGAAGACGACATTTTCATATTTTCCAGGAATGTTCGAAAACAAGTTGGAAGCTAAATATTATTTTAAAAATTAAAATCAAAACATATTATGAAAAATCAACTATATACAAATTTGGCGAAAGATAATCGATGACCATAGGGTGAAATATCTGAATGATTTGTTTGAAATTAAATAGATTTTTTACGGACTAAGTCGTATGTAGCATCTTTCTGAATTTGTATGGATACTACGTTCTTCGGTATTAGTCGTTTCTAACAATTTTCTCCTTACAGACGCAACAGATAGAAGTAAGATAAGAAGCGATCAAAAGCGCTTTTTTATCGCATTAAGCTTATACCACCTTTCATTTTTCGCGAACACTCCCTTTAAGGCGGAATTCTGACACAATGAATATCCTCAGAATTTTCAAACCCGCTTGGTGCAGTGACTTTTTTTCAATCTACAAGAATTCTGTGGAAATTGAGTTTAAAGCTACAGTTGCTGGGTCAGACTTTCCATTGATCAGAAAACAATATTGAAAACTGGAAATAATTTTGATATCTACTCCTCACAAACAATATCTTTCTATTATACTTAATTTGATATTTCTGGCGCCAAGATATCAAATTAAATAAGAGTATAAGTCAGAAATATGTGTTAAAATGCATTTGTCCCTTGTCTACACGAGATTAGAATGCGTAGATTTAAAAGAGAAGAACAGAAAACAAATGTATGATCAGATAAAAAAAGATACAACGTTGGGAGAAAAAATCACTCATTTAAAGAATTTAAAAAAAAATTTTAAACTTTGAAATCAAAATAAATTGTTAAATTTCTTTGTTAAGGTGTCCTTGTTTGGATCGGCTCAGTCTATATTGAGTACTCCGGGTCTACCTTTAAACTCGTATCCTTCTCCAAGAACAGGTAAACTACAACGACAATGGAATAAAACACCTGCCAAAACCGGTGTACATTTGAATATCCGAGAGCTGGGCTAACCTTTGCGGTCCTAGTTTGGACTGTACCGCCAATATTTACAATTACTAAAGCGGCAGAATGTTTGGAATTGAGTCTGTGCCACAAACATTTATTTTCTAATCCCTTTATCTGTGCTGTGCATCCCGATGTCTTAGACCTTAGATATTTTAAACTATGAATTCTGTTGCTTCAAATTTAGTCTATGTTTAAAATATCAAAGTTTTGCACCAGCAGGTTGTCAAGAGATAGGGATTAGAAAATTTAAGTTGGTCTGTAGCAAAGTCTGCATTTTTTATTTAACATTTTTTTGAACAAAGTTATCGATAAATCAAATCATTTTAATTTAGGTCGTAAATTTGATTAAGTCATGAAAGCCATTGTCTTTGAATTTCTATCCAAACCGGCACACTTTTATATATATACTTTTTTATATATATAATTTATTATATATATACTTTTTTATATATATATACTTTTTTATATATAATACATTTTTTGACGATCTATAAAGTAGTCGGCGTTTATATCAATATACAATGAACTTTTCTTTTTAAGTTTTGATTTTGACAAGGTTGTTGGAAATTACTAGTTTACAAGTAAACAAAGAGAAACTGTTATTTGACAGTTTTTTTCATGACTATGTGTATCCATGCTGTTTACTTCGTAGAAAGTAAAAAAATTTTAATCGAAAATAGTCATCATTGTATTGATATATACGACGACGATTGTATACAAACTGCTTCCAAAGCTATTATTTTCTTGTAAAAAATGGCTGAGATTTTTGAAAAATATGTTTTTTTTCGAGGCCATTATAGTTCTGTTACAGTAAAGCTTTTTTGGAATTACAAGTATATAAGTACACAAAAGAGGATGTTGTATTTGACAGCTTCTTTTTTAAATACTTGCATATGTGTATCCGTGCTGTTTAACAGCTTAATATAAATAAAAAGTTAAGTTGAAAGGACTCTATTCCTTTAAGTTTAAAGTTGTCTGTATTTATAGTATTGATATAATCTCCTACAACCGAATGAAAAAAATACTTCACTTTTTATGTTTTTTTTTCAATAATGAGCTTTTCGATGATGTTTAAAAATATTGTAGCTAGACGGTTGAAAGAGGGAATTGGTTCTAAGGAAGCTAGAAAGATAAAAGTAGGATCTCTTTGTTCAGAACATAATTGGTCTTGTGTTGAAAATCAAAGGTAAGATGATGCCCCCCCCCCCCATAACAATTCAAGGTATAACCTTTTACCTTTTATACCCATTTGACTAGTGTGTTCTACGGTCGTTAATCCCTTTCTGAACGCAATCAAACAAAGCGACATGTTTCTAAAAAAGGAGGCAAGAACTAAAAAGGGAATTTTGAAAATAAAGTTCATTTAAAAACATAGTTTTGTTTCAATTAACTATTTATAACACTGTTATTTTGGTTCGCAGCTTTTGGACAGAAATTTCCTCTTTATCAAGAAGGTTTAAGTCTTTTTAGATTATATTTTGTCCCGAAATTTAGAAAGGAACAAAATATAATCTAAAAAGGCGAGAACCTTCGAGATATAGAGAAAACTTAAGTCCAAAAAATTTATAGCACGTCGTGCCAAAATAATAATGTTATAGGTAATTTTATGAATTTTTTCAATGGATGTTTCTAGATCAAATAAGCTTTGAAACAAAGCAGAAATCAAAATATAAAGTTGATTTCCATTTTATTTTCATCTCAATTGAAAAAAAAAATATTTTGGAAATATCCTAAATTTTTTTTGAGAAGATTCGGGAACCAATTAAAACTTTTTAGCGCACGTGCTATAATATAAAGCTAATTTAACATTATAGCACAATGATTACTTTATAGCACGTTCATTATGAAAGTCACGATGAAGTGAGTAAGAATGATAAAGTACACAATAGTTTCAAAAAATATCTCATGCAATAAAGCAGTATTCATCAAGTTTAAGAGCCATCTATAGATCTATAGATAAATCAAAATAATTGATTCAGATATAAACATTTCTGGATACACCAAATATTTTATAATTGTTACCTCTTTTATGATTATAATCATTTCTAGGATGTAAATTGACTGCACCGAGCCAATTCTAATTTAAACTTTTACTTTTATTAACTTTAAAACTTTGAGCAAAGACTTAAATACAATTTAATTACAAAATCTACAATTAAAAAGAAAAATTGAAAGTTGTATGTATAAGTTTAAACTAAATTAAGTAGATATATAATATTTTAGTTTCTTTTTGTCTTTTTCGAATTTTTGAAATAGCGTTATCACGAGGTTCGTCCGAAAAAGCGACCAAAGTACAGTTGGACGAAATTTTAAAATTAATGCTCAATAGCTGGAGTTTGATTTTCAGCCATTGGCTTCGCTTCATACGTTTAACAGAGTCATTAAATGAGGAGAAATTTTTAAGAACGAACGGAATTTTTCATGAACGATGATGCATCGTTGAGAAAAAACGAAAACTATCGTTTTTTAAAAATGAACAAAAAACGAAGGATTTAAAAGCTTTCAAATGAACATGAAAAAACGAAACATTTTTGCTGAACTAACGAATTTTCCAAAAGAATGATTTTTTAAACAAACTTTTTAAAAAACGAAAGATTTTTACTGAACAAACGATTTTTTCTAACAATCTTTTGAAAAACGATCGTTTTTTACTGAACGATTTGTCAGCGCGGAAACAAACAAAATAGATGGAAAATGAACGACAATTTTGAGAACGAACCAAGTCAATATTTTTTAAACGATTAAAATAAATAGCCGAGGCTTTTGTAGAGAAAAATATTTCTCGATGATAATCTGTTTTTGTCATTGAGATAGGCTACAATTTCTTCGACTATTTCTGTACACCCCTCACTGAGATATAGACTATAGGCTATAGACAACTATAGACAAGTATAAACAACTATAGACAACTATAGACAACTATAGAGAACTATAGACAACTATAGACAACTATAGACAACTATAGAAGACAAAATAATTGACTAAGAATACCACTGCGTTCAAATTAGAATTTATTTGGAAAACAGTTTAAAGAAACTGAGTTCTTGCCACAAGCTCAAATTTTCTAACCTTTTATCTATCTAACACAGGATGTAAACCATTGATATTTATAACTTTGATTATTTGGTCTGACATGATTTTTTGTTTGAAAAATATCAAAGTCACGACATTGGTCTGCAAAGAAAAACGGACTAGAAAATCAGAGTGTGTGACAAAAACTCATTTCTTTTTAATGAAATTAATATAAATTATAAGTGAAATCATATGAAAATTATACAAATTATATCACACATTTTTTTAACATTACTGCAGAGTTGTGAATGAACATCAACAATAAGGGTGTGTTGTTATTCAGTATTTGATATTGTTTTTATCAAGTTTAGAAACACCCTGTATCATATATAAATATATATGTATATTTATTTAGATCTCGGAGACTCGGCTTCATCAAGCATACAGAAAAGATAAAGGTACAGGGTGTCCCAATAGCATTAACAAACAGTGTTAATTAGTACAGGGTGTCCCAATAGAAATAAAAATATGTTAATATGTACAGAGTGGCCCAATAACAATAACTAATTGTGTTTTTGGTGGAGGGTGTCCCAACAGCAAAAACAAATTGTGTTAATAGGTACAGGGTGTCCCAATAGCATTAACCAATTGTGTTAATAGGTACAGGCTGTCCCAATAGCATTAAACAATTGTGTTAATAGGTACAGGGTGTCCTAAGAGCAATAACAAATTGTGTTAATTCTTTGATTTGTTTTCGTCAAATATTTCTGAAATTTCAATTAAAAACATTATGTGTTCTTTAACTAAATCAAATATTATCCAATTAGAGAAATCAGAATATTTGATAGATCGAACTGTCGTCGATCTTTCTCAATAGGTTGAACTGTCGTCGATCTCTTTCAATATGTCGAACTGTCGTAGATCTCTCTCAATAGGTCGAACTGACGCAGATCTCTCTAAATAGGTCGAACTGTCGTCGATCTTTCTCAATAGGTTGAACTGTCGTCGATCTCTTTTAATATGTCGAACTGTCGTAGATCTCTCTCAATAGGTCGAACTGTCGTAGGTCTCTCTCAATAGATCGAACTGTCGTCGATCTTTCTCAATAGGTTGAACTGTCGTCGATCTCTTTCAATATGTCGAACTGTCGTAGATCTCTCTCAATAGGTCGAACTGTCGTAGNTTAACTACTTCAGTTCGCTGTATATTTAGGTGGTTGAGTTTGTACCCATGTGTTAACTACTTCAGTTCGCTGTATATTTAGGTGGTTGAGTTTGTACCCATGTGTTAACTACTTCAGTTCGCTGTATATTTAGGTGGTTGAGTTTGTACCCATGTGTTAACTACTTCAGTTCGCTGTATATTTAGGTGGTTGAGTTTGTACCCATGTGTTAACTACTTCAGTTCGCTGTATATTTAGGTGGTTGAGTTTGTACCCATGTGTTAACTACTTCAGTTCGCTGTATATTTAGGTGGTTGAGTTTGTACCCATGTGTTAACTACTTCAGTTCGCTGTATATTTAGGTGGTTGAGTTTGTACCCATGTGTTAACTACTTCAGTTCGCTGTATATTTAGGTGGTTGAGTTTGTACCCATGTGTTAACTACTTCAGTTCGCTGTATATTTAGGTGGTTGAGTTTGTACCCATGTGTTAACTACTTCAGTTCGCTGTATATTTAGGTGGTTAAGTTTGTACCCAAATGTTAACAACTTCAGTTCGCTGTATATTTAGTTTGTTGAGTTTGTACCCAAATGTTAACTACTCCAGTTCGCTGTATATTTAGGTGGTTGAGTTTGTACCCAAATGTCAATTACTTCAGTTCGCTGTATATTTAGTTTGTTGAGTTTGCACCCAAATGTTAACTACTCCAGTTCGCTGTATATTTAGGTGGTTGAGTTTGTACCCAAATGTTAACAACTTCAGTTCGCTGTATATTTAGGTGGTTGAGTTTGTACCCAAATGTTAACTACTCCAGTTCGCTGTATATTTAGGTGGCTGAGTTTTTACCCAAATGTTAACCACTTCAGTTCGCTGTATGTTTAGGTGGTTGAGTTTGTAGATAGCTGGGATACGCTATGCCTAGAGCAATGCTGTAAACTGTACAATTCTAAACTGTTCTCATGTACTCAGGTGAACTCTTGTATTTTGGACATAGAGAATATATTAAAACTGCAAAGTAGAGGAAAATGTCCAATACTTAAAGCCTGTAATTATTTACAAGTGTTAATTAAGTTTTAAAATATAAACAAACGAATAATAACTTTCAAATACTTCATACTTTAGAAGTGTTGCTGGAGAAAGGAAAGAAAAAGTGAAAAGGGGATTTGTATTCATCCCTGTTGTGCCAACCTTGAGGTATTTTCATAATAAAAAGGAAAGAATATACTTATATTATCCCAGTATATAAATGTATTGATATTATCTACTACGGTGGTAGGCGATAATAACAATATAATGAAAAGGACTTTTCATTGTTTTTATTGTAACAAGCTTTTTTCGAATTACAAGTTTAATTACAAGTATAATAAAGAGAAGCTTTTCGAATTACGAGTTTAATTACAAGTATAATAAAGAGAAGCTTTTTTCAATTTACAAGTTTAATTACAAGTATAATAAAGAGAAGCTTTTTGAATTACAAGTTTAATTACAAGTATAATAAAGAGAAGCTTTTCGATTTACAAGTTTAATTACAAGTATAATAAAGAGAAGCTTTTTGAATTACAAGTTTAATTACAAGTATAATAAAGAGAAGCTTTTCGATTTACAAGTTTAATTACAAGTATAATAAAGAGAAGCTTTTCGATTTACAAGTTTAATTACAAGTATAATAAAGAGAAGCTTTTTGAATTACAAGTTTAATTACAAGTATAATTAAAGAGAAGCTTTTTGAAATAACGCTTTTCTTTGCTTCCATATTTGTGTAGTCATGCTGGTTAAAAGCTTGATATAAATCAAAATTGAAACCGAAAGTCGTCTTCATTGTATTGGTATAAAATAAATAAATAAAGAAAGGTATAATCTATACAATCTGCATTATGCACATATGCGTTGCTATTTCTAAAAATTTGAAAAAGAAATAGAAACTTTATTTTACTGAAATAAAGCTTGCTGAAATACTAAATAGATAAATATAGTACTTAAAGGGACTGTCAGCGTAATTTCCAGTGATTTGCCATGCAAATATAATTCGATGTCGATTTACAACAGTACCCTTAGAAGCTTTGACGGATCAAGTACAGTGGTAAGCGATTATATCAGTATAAAGAAGACGACTATCATTTCAATTTATATTAAGCATTTCGACAGCATGTACACACATAAACGTAGAAACAAAGAGAAGCTTCAATTAAAAGAGCTTCTTATTGATTACTTGTAAGCTTGAATTCGAAAAAAGCCTGTAAACAATCAAAACTTTTATAAAAAAAGTCGTCTTCATATATTGATATAATCACCTACCACTGTATGAATTAGATATAAAAGTTTATAGTGTTTAACTGATTGCTTTCAATTGTGATAATTCTTTTCAAAAGTGACTAGCTAATTTCTACTGCAGAAAACAAATAGAAGTTATCGTAATAAAAAAAAAATTTTAAACCTAGGAAAACGACAATATCTTCAACGTTTTTTATCAGATAAAGGTTTCAAGGCCAGTATTGCAGTTTTTGCATGAGGATCACTTGAAATTACGCTTACAGTCCCTTTAACTAACTAATATTATAGGTTGAAGTATATGATACTGGAGTTTATACTCAACTAAATGAGAATATAGAACCCGTGTTGGGGTTTCTTAAACATGGGCATGGATTTAGGCAAGTGGTTTTCGACGATATTCTATTACATATTTTCTGGAAAGTATATTTTATTTCTCCGGGGATGTGTTTAGATTAGGGAAATAAATCAATTTTTGGGTAAAAAGTATGAAAAAGTATGAAAAAGTATGAAAAAGTATGAAAAAGTATGAAAAATTGTTGAAACACCATGCCTTAGATGTCCAGTTTTAATTTTTTCCCCAGCTATTCAAATATCATTCAAATAATTCTTAAACATTTACACCCAGGGTTTAACTACAAGTAATAACTAGAATTTAGCTCAAGCTAAACTTTTTGAAAAAAAAAATCTGAAGTTGATTTCTCTTACTGAATTAGTATCTTCACTAAATTCAATTTTGTTTCAGCGTAAGTCAACAGTTTTTACGCGCAAAATAACACAGTTTCTATTTTTCATATTTTTATGGTCGGAAACCTTGAAATATCTAGAATTGAGGATAAACTGCTGTATCCTGTAAATACTGGGGATGATCTTTGCCTTGACGCCTGTTGTCTATACGATAATATGCTTATATTTGAGGAAGGGGTCCAAACTGTCCACTATACTGTTGTCTATACGATAATATGCTTATATTTGAGGAAGGGGTCCAAACTGTCCACTATACTGTTGTCTATACGATAATATGCTTATATTTGAGGAAGGGGTCCAAACTGTCCACTATACTGTTGTCTATACGATAATATGCTTATACTGTCCACTATATACGGTTGTTTAGCAGATGAGCATGTTATAGGCAATCTATTCATTCATCATTCGTAAATGACCCATTTCTCCAATTTTTTCAATCATTTAAAAAAATGAATTCGTTCTTTCTCAAACTTATCGTTCATTTTCCATCCAATTCGTTCATTTTCTCACTGTCCAGTGTCCATCGTTCGTTCAGAAAAACGATGCTCATCTCTGGTTATGCCATTTTTTAACCATATAGTTCGATTGACAGACATTCACATTTTTATAAAATCGTTATTACTTGATTTATCTATACCATGCTCAAGTCAAGAAAGGCTTGAACCTACTCGGTAAAGAGTATATGTTCAAAATGCATTGAGTATCTATATCGTATATATACAACTAGCTGGGGAACCCAGATTTGTCTGTAATCTAATCTCTGTATTTAAGTAAAACCAATCAGCTTAGAATTTTTAAAACAAGATCAGAACATTCCCGTGGTTCTACTGAGGTTTCCAGTCAAAATTTGAGGCAAATCGGTCGAACAGACAAATAGAGATTCAACTTTATATAGAAGAAGAAGTAATCTTTGTTTGTATGTATGATCTTAACTCAGGAACCCCTTGACCTATTTGCCCCAAATTTTAATTGGGGAACTCAATAGAACCAAACAAATGTTCTATTCTTGGTTCAAATATTTTATGTTGATGGGGACTGTTTTCTATAGGGAAAGAGTTTCCAGGTAAACCTAGGTCTACAAAATAAAGTACAAAATAAAGTACAAAATAAAGTACAAAATAAAGTACAAAATAAAGTACAAAATAAAGTACAAAATAAAGTGCATAATAAAGTACATTTCATTAAAATGCAATTTGAACCCTTGGACACAGGCAACAGATTGGAGGATTCCTTCCACTATTGGAGTTAAAGAAACAGCTAGTGGAGTTGAAGAAACAGCTAGTGGAGTAAAAGAAAAAGCTAGTGGAGTAAAAGAAAAAGCTAGTGGAGTAAAAGAAAAAGCTAGTGGAGTAAAAGAAGCAGCTAATGAAGTAAAAAAATAAAGCTAGTCATGATTAAACATTATGTAAAGGAGAAAATTAATGTTTGTGTTTGAATTCTGCATAAGAAATATAAATTTAGCTTTTGCTTCAAATCTGATTTTCTAGCCCCTATCCTTGCAACCCAATGTCTTAGGCCTTAGATATATCAAAATATGAATTCTGTTAGATCAGATATTCTAAGTTTTAAATATCAAGGCTTGCATCATCAGGAAAATTTGAGGAAATTGAAAATTTAATTCTTTTACATCAAAAAAGAAATCTGTTAAACTTAAAGGAACTGTAACTTCGTAAATGTGATTTCAAGTGACCCTCCAGTCCATGCAATGATGACAATGCGCAATTCACAACGGTACTATGTTAAAAGCTTTGTACGATTAAGTATGAATTAGATATCAATGTTAATAATGTTCAAAACTGATTATTTTCTATTCTGGTTTTTGTGCAAAAGTGAATTGTGCATTTCTATGCTCCAGGAAAACATTCAGGAATTATCAGAATTAAACACTAGAAAAACGAAAACATCTTCCACACTATTGATCAGATAAGGATTTCAAGGGTACCTTTATAAAACGGGTATTCTCATCATTGACTTGAATAAACAATCCAGCTAAAATATTAGTTTTATTAAAATTTTAACCCTAGTGTTGGAATAAATCTACATTAACTATGCATGTATCGCAAAGGTTTGCAAATTCTGTAAGCTCTGAAATAATAAAGTAATTAAGGTACAGGGTTATCCACAAAGGATGAGGCTGTGAAGACGACCTGAAACTATTTAAATCAGACGATTCCAAGGTTGAATTAAGTCACCTTGAATACAAATATATAATGATAAGGCAAAGAAATAAACAAGTTTACGATAGCAGACAATAATAAATTCTATACAGTCGTCTTTCAAGTATCATCCTTTGTGAGTAACCCACCCTGTAGTTCTACCGCACACTCACATCATTAGAGTTTCTAATCGTATAAAACTAAATTAATATAAACAAAAAGTATGAAATTTGTGCAATTGACTGAGAATGATAAGATTGAAAAAAATAAAAAATGGTCCATTTAAAATCTTCGTAATTTAATGATAAACGAGCTGCAGGGTTCTCCACAAACCGTTAAACAGTTTGCCCCAACAGGAAAATTAGAGAATAAAAACATCGCCATTAATAAAGAATTAAAGAATATAAGTAAAATGGATTTGCCGTTCTTTATACATTTAAGAGAAATATTTGATTTTGCTTCGGGTGATGGGATATTAAGATCGTTTGCCAAGTCTATCCGTGAATAACTAAAAAATACTCACTGTTTTTTAAATAAACACCTACTTATACACTATACTACAGGGTGTCCCAATAAACATGGGAATTCAGTGACGAATTCGGTATCGTCTTTTCAAATAATTCTTCGATTTAGTATAGTGATACCTACTGAGAAAGCTGTAATCCGTAAGAGTTTCGTCTGCTATGTTCACAATTTGTTTGTTTATATTTTGACTGCATACAGTTGTACTTAGTACAACAAGAAAATTGCAGTATACAAACAGAGTAAACTTGTCCGTCTTCACTGTTCATCTTGCGGAGACATTATAGACACATCTTTACAATCTTTTACCCTTTTTATTAAATAAACTCTAGCAGACATAATAATATTATGGCTTTTGAAATTAGGTATTACAATGCTAATTCATAACAAAGACGATATCAAATTCCTCACTGAATTCCCATGTTTTTTGGGACACCCCGTATACAAGGAACTGATTGAGTTTGAATTAATATTCTAAGTGTATTGAATATTTTTATTATTATGGCACTAAGGTCCTGCTTGAGCATAGCATAAAACAGTAGGGGACACCTATACCAACACAGATTACGTTGTGCCAATGATTCAGAAATAAGGATGGACATAGGGTAAATCTAGTACGTTGTGCCAATGATTCAGAAGTAAGGATGGACATAGGATACATCTTCTACGCCGTGCCAATGATTCAGAAATAAGGATGGACATAGGGTAAATCTAGTACGTTGTGCCAATGATTCAGAAGCAAGGATGGACATAGGATACATCTTCCACGCCGTGCCAATGATTCAGAATTAAGGATGGACATAGGGTAAATCTAATACGTTGTGCCAATGATTCAGAAGTAAGGATGGACATATTATACATTTTCCACGCCGTGCCAATGATTCAGAAGTAAGGATGGACATAGGATACGTACATCTATCACATTGTGCCAATGATTCAGATATAAGGATGGACACAGGAAACATTATTACATTGTGCCAATGATTCAGATATAAGGATGGACACAGGAAACATATATCACATTGTGCCAATGATTCAGATATAAGGATGGACACAGGAAACATATATGACATTGTGCCAATGATTCAGATATAAGGATGGACACAGGAAACATATATGACATTGTGCCAATGATTCAGATATAAGATGGACACAGGAAACATATATGACATTGTGCCAATGATTCAGATATAATTAATCTTACAATATAGATCACACAGTGTAACGGTATAAGAATTGGTCTAGTGAAGGGGGACTTTCAATATTTATTAAAATTTTCCAGGGAGCTTGCCCTTAAAAAAATAGGATTCATCTTACATACGTAGATTACGTGGTTCAATGGTTACGAATCAAGGATAGATATTAAATACACGTTGCTATAAAAACTATAACACCGGTTGTTTTGGTTAAGTAAAAGAGTGGTTCATTGGATATTGAATTACAAGATTAAGAATAAAATGATATGTTTAAAAATTGGTAATTCTTTGTCACAAGAAGATGTATAACTTCCATGCTTTAGAATCATTGGTCGAATTTTGGGTTACACCCTTTTAAAATCATTGGTTGAGTGTTAGGTATAGAGATAGTAAGATACTACATTACACATCCTTTACTTAAAAATCCTTGATCAATACAAACATATTTATCTACGCACCTTGAAATTCATGGTATTAGATATTAATACATATATTACACTCACTCTTCTACACAAACAATTTACAAAAATCTTCGTCTTTGAAGATATAAGAATGACAGACCACATTCTTGGACCATATTTTGGCTGGACCAAAGACTACATGAAAATAATCACATAATTCATATCTATATTTATAGGACACCATGTACATTGTACATTGAACATATTTGTTAAATTTTGATGAAACAACCATCGTTCATAGAGATCTTTCTTTCGTTGTATTTCAAATAATTGATTTTTGAACATCAGTTAATTTTACTCATTAATATATATATTATTTCAAAACTTTAAATCAAAATAAAGTTTACAGAGTTGTATACACTACAATTATACAAAATAAGAAAAAAATATAATTAAAATGTTAACATCTAAAAGAAATCGATGCGTTACTGTGTAACTTTAAATATTTAAAATTGCTTGAGAAGGGCTCTATAGTTCATTGTCAAGTCAATTTGACAGCAAAAATCCAAACATTGGATTTTATAAAATAAGAATATTTTTTAACTGAATTTCTTACCGGCCAGTTAGCTTCACAGGCCTGTTTAAAGACCCATTATCATAAAAATATATAAAATAATTCATCCCAATTGAAAGGTGGTGAAATCAGTGCCCCACTTGTTCTTACAACTACACTTGTAATCTCCAGCATCACTCTTGACAGGTTTTAGTATGGTTAGGCTGGCAGTCCATTTATTGAGACCGTCGGCCCTTTTTTCCAGTCTGCTTATATGCCTCTCATTTTCCTTTACAAAGTCCCCATTGCAGAGCCAAGATATTTTGGGTTTTGGGTTGGCATGAATGTGCGCTTCTAGAACCAATGTGTCTGGGTTTGGTTGCAACAGCTGTGGCTGTTCGTATACCCTTGCTGGAACATTCTCCTCTGATTCAACTCCTCCGCCAAAGTTGAGTGCCAGTGTGCAATCCTTTTCACCTACGCTGTTCACAGCACGGACTATGTAATTACCCCCATCTTCTGTACTCGGATTGTTAATTGTTAATCTTACAAAGTGAATGTTTGGATTTGAAGGTTGAACCACTCGGTAGAAAGAATACTTGTCATTCTCCTGAATAATTATATCTCCCTTTGACCAAGAAATATCAGGTCGGGGTAATGCCTCAATCTCACACTCCAAGTGCAATTTTGTTCCCTCTTGACGACTTGAAGGTTTTCTGAAAAATGTTGGTTCAATCACTCCAACAGTAGTGGGCGCGTTTTCATCCTTCATTGATAATCTGACATGATTCGCCTTTTCTCCATACTTATTCTTCACTCTAACCGAGTAGTTTCCGGCATCGTCCTGAGACAAGTGCCTAATAGCAAGAGCGCAGTAGGTCCAATCCCCTCTTCTCTCCAGGAAGGGTTGATACTTTTCATCAAAATCCAGTGCACCAAGAAGAGCAACCTCATCCTTAAACCAGGTAGCTTGGTGTTCAGGTTCATAGATGAGATAGGACTCCAGGAGTACTCCGTCCGTCTCCGATCTTAATCTTAGTTCTTCTGTAAACTCCGGCGGGCCTGGTAGCTTCTTTATGGTTTGAGCATCAAGACCCTTATCCACGATCGGGGTTTTCTGAGTGGTGTTAACGGTCGTCATTTTGTTATTAAACCTTGCAACTATTTGTTTTCTTAATCCAGGTAAGAGTTGCTTTACTAGATGATACTGAACTGTTCTGTTAGACTACTTAAAGGTCAGGACTATCTCAGGGCTGAAGGGATAGAATGAACTAGAAGTTAAAATTTACAAAAACACAAAAACAGGGACTATACTTATTGCTCTGATGTTTTGTGATTACCCAATAATATAATCTTTATAAAATATGAAATTCTTGAACAAACAAACTGCTTAATTGAGATTTTAAGTCCCCCTGCACTGAATGCGTCATAGTTGGCAAAGGATCAAGTTTGAGAATAAACAAAGTTCTAGAAAATATCCTTAGATTCAGGGGAATAGGAGATTCAGGAGTCAAGACTATATTTATCTTCATAATTTGAACAGGAGCCAACTGTAGCACATTCTTCAAATATAACATTGCGTTCATACGAGTATGATCATTTAAAGACGATTTCTACCAGTTTAAAGGGATTGTCAAAGTAGTTTTAAGGATACCCTTCATAAAGGATATATTTTTATACCTTTAATCTATAATCGATATACAACAAAAAAACAATGAATTTTTTTTGGCGCAATCATTACTGTTTTCTTCTTTTCAATTTGAAGAAAGTCGGTCACACTTTATTTATTCTGTCAAAAAAGCGATATATATAAATTACATGTTTCTTCTTTAGGGTATTTCAAAACGTGACATTTGAGGGTACAAAAACTGTTTCTGCATTTAAAAGAGTATTTTGACGTTTACTAAATGATCAAGCACAGAATAAGCCAGTTTTGGCCTATAAGGAAGCTTAAATGCAAGAAAACAGAAAGAACTCTGCACAATCGTCTCTGAAGTCTCATCCTTTGTGGGTAACCCTGTACTATTGAACTCAGAAGAACAGAATTTTTCAAATCGTTTATTTTACAGCTGTTGGAATTCTTTTTTAAACACAAGAACAAGCCATGATTTGCATTGAACACTGAGCTAAGTATAGATGAGTAACTAATCAAACAGGCAGTCTTTATAAAAACTCTCTGTAATCAGTTCAGATATTTATTCTTTTCTAACTGGTAATTTTCAGAATTAAAAAATATATGATAATGAAACTGATAATTAATGACTGGTAATGCAAGAATATCAGTCTTACATACTAACTGAAAGGCTAAATATGAAGTTTGAATTTTCGAAATTTACATCTCCTTGTCACAGCTGATCTGACGGCATTCTGCCTGCTTCAGAAAGAAACAGTCTCTCATTGGTCGAATTAGAACCAATCATGACTTGTGTTCTATCTAAGCCCGAGTGTGGGTTTTAGTCGGGTTTAAGCTTTTAAAATCTCATCTCAGGTCCGGTATGTTCCAGAACACTCCGCAGTCCGGTTTCTGTAAGTTTAAATTCAACGAGAACCAGGGTTGTCAGGCATGGCAGGACTCCCTACGTAAAAATATTATGTTTTTAATCATCGCTACTGTCAAATGTTCTCACCTAAAACAGTTTGAACTTCATCGGTAAACTTTTTAAGATGCTCTGTAGTAAATGTTGAAGTAAATGACCAGTAATGAACTATCTTGCTGTTTTCCTCAACTTTATCCCTGATAGATGAGGATACTTCTCTCAGCTTCTTTAAACTCCTGGAATCCAGGAACTAAAAATACACTTAATCAAATATTCTAATCAAGCTGAAAACTTTAGAATGAGATATCCTTAATCATGATAGCTTAATATAAGTATCCAATGGACACACTTTTGATTCTATTCTTAATCCTCTTTTTTGGATATCCCTACTGTATAAAAGTTACGTTTGATAACAATTACAGATACAATGCTATATCGATTGAACTAAAATCCGATTGAATTAAAGTCAGCTGTTCACAAGCCGGCTTTTGGAGCATTTAAGCAAATATAAATTTAATCATGTTAATATGAACCTCTTAAAAAATATATTTTATCACATTTTAGGACTATCATTATTTTCAACGAGTCTTAACAAACATTAATCCAAAACTTAAATTTATTTAATCGATGTTTAGTTCAATTGATATGACATGATTAACACCAGCAAAAAAAACAGTTTTTCAAAAGTTAAAGAGTACATCTTGACATGATACGCTGCAAGGTTAAAGGGAGTGACCGGCTATGTAAGGTAGTTGAACTGAGTATGCAGTTTTGTGGAATACTTCTTTCAGATTCATTTGAGACATATTAAACTTTTTAAAGATCTGTAAATCCTGAGTTTGAGCGCAAATTCAACGTTCTAAACTCCTACCTTGGGGGTGGATACATTTTCAGAATTAGTTTTTTTTTTTTTAATTATTAAATAACAATATATCCAATANAGTTTTATTGCCAAGCATTTATACAATTTAAAGATTAAATGTTACATATTAGCATCATCTTAATGACTATCATCTATTTATTTAGTTAAGGATAACCTGGAATCATGATGCCTAATCTAGAGGAATAGCAAAGAAATGTAACCCTCCTCTCAGCACTTCCTTTAAACACAGATTCCTTTATCAAGTGTAAATATGTCACTACATATTTATCCTTTATCTGAAAAAAATAGTATTCTCTTAATTATTGGTATTTAAAATGAGCTTTGTGGTTGGGAAACAGAGCATTTCATTTTAATGAATATCACAAGATATTTCCCATTAAAGAATAATACACTTAAAAGAATGCCAACAGGAGATTACTCAAAATTGACATTAGGATACTGTTGTTTTATATCTTGTAAAATGGATACTGAGAATCTAGGATTATCTTTAATCTCAAAATTCAGAGTCTTAAATGCAGGTCCAGTATGTTCCAGAATTCTCTGTAGTCCAATTACTGTGAGTTCAGATAGTCCCAGGTCAAGAGTTGTTAGACAGGGCAGAGTCCCCTTGAAAGAAGACATGTCAATTTAAATTTCATGGTAAAATGTTGGAGAAACATTTATTGATATTGTAACTTATCAAAGTCATACAACACACATTTTAATTAACTCCACTGCAAAACACAGTTCCTTTTCAAATCTTCTGTTAAAATTAATTAATGAAAGTACTTATAAAGCTAGAGTAAAGTGCGCATTTATAATCATTTTTGTCTTATTTATTCTTTTTTTTTAATAGAAGCCTTTAACACCACAATTACATACCTTGGCTAAATTACACAAAATGAAAATTATTTCGGGTAACTGCACATAATTTCGCGTAAGTGAATAATCTATTATGTTGGAAACCCTAATTTTCACTCTTAACTTTTATAACTGCACTTAAAAGTTTAAAATTCAAATTGTTTGAGGAGGATTTACAGGCAGGGCCTATGCAACTAAGGAGATAACCTATGACTTTCACACTTGGATACAGCATATTATCATTTGGAAGAAGACTCAAAATTTGGGGACCCTACTATTTATCTTTTAAAAGTTATCACATCAAAACATGCCATATTTGGATATTATCACATGTACGCACATACATCAGTTTTCATACTTCATTCACTAGATATTTAAAAAAACATTAATTGACATGTCTAACCTCGAGATCATCTATACTTTCCCCAGTTATCTGAGTACTGGAAATATCAAGGATTTTGATGGTGTTTCTGCAAGCTTGAAGAAATTCAACCAATCCTTCATCTGTTAGATTGTCACACACATCCAATTTGAGGTCTTCAAGACAAGGCAAGGTTATGTCGTTCTCCATCAACCCTTCTCCAGTGATTGCTGTTTCTGTAAGATCTAAATGCTTGAGTGTGTTTCCGCACAATTGGAGTAACTGAATCAGTCCATCGTCAGTTACTGATGATTCATGACACTCCAGATTCTGAATATGAAGCTGAGTATCAAGATCTATTAAACTTTCACAGGTTACAAAAGTTCCTTGTAAAACCAGGGATTTTAGCTTATCCCCACAAAAACCAAGTAACTCTTGAAGTGCTTCATCAGTAAGATACTATTTAAGGTATTAATTAATAAAAGATCATTTGCCTTCATCTGTTAATTGTCTACATTCAAAAAAGTAGAAGTTCTCCAAGCAGGGCAAGGTTCCATTGATTTCTATCAGATTCTCTCCAGTTATTCTACTTCCATTTATGTCCATGTAAACAAGGGTTTGTTTACTCAGCTGAAGGAGATTAATCAGACCTGTATCTGTTAGCTGATAACACTGACCGAACTTAAGCTCAGTTATGACAGGTAAAGATACAGTGAACTTAGATAAAATCCCACCAGTTATGTTGGTCCTGCAGAGATTAAGGGATTTCAATGAGCTACCAAACTTTTGGAAGATTTTCAGAAGAACAATGTCAGTTATATTTGAATTGCCTGGAAGATTAATGGTTCCTAAGCTAGAACTGCAGCTGTTTAGTAGGGCAAGAATGGATTCTTCTGGAATATATTCCAAGTCGTATAATTCCAGCGTGGTCAGACGTGTGGACCGTATACTGTAGATGATCTGGCCTGGAATTGACTTGATAATCCTCTTTATCTCAACTGAGGTGAGATTGGGAAGAGTCATTATTGACTTTAATCCTTTCAATGAGCATTTACTAGAATCCAACAGAGTTTCATCAGATCCAAGCTGGAACTTCTTGATTTCTTGATGCCTTTTCAAGAAATAACTTAGACCGTTATCTGTGGCATCACCAATAACTAGACCTAATTAATTAAAGTATAACTTAGTTTATTGAAATTGGGAAGAATAAAAAAAGCCTTTAAAATGTTTTGTGAAACTAAGAAACTCTTTAAAATGATTTGTGACACTAAGAAACTCTTTAAAATGTTTTGTGAAACTAAGAAACTCTTTAAAATGTTTTGTGACACTAAGAAACTCTTTAAAATGTTTTGTGAAACTAAGAAACTTTTAAAAATGTTTTGTGAAACTAAGAAACTCTTAAAAATGTTTTGTGAAACTAAGAAACTCTTAAATATTTTTTGTGAAACTAAGAACCTCTTAAAAATGTTTTGTGAGACTAAGAAACTCTTAAAAATGTTTTGTGAAACTAAGAAACTCTTTAAAATCTATTTTGAAACTAAGAAACTCTTAAAAATGTTTTGTAAAACTAAGAACCTCTTAAAAATGTTTTGTGAAACTAAGAAACTCTTAAAAATGTTTTGGGAAACTAAGAAACTCTTTAAAATCTTTTGTGAAACTTAGACCCTCTTAAAAATGTTTTGTAAAACTAAGAAACTCTTAAAAATGTTTTGGGAAACTAAGAAACTCTTTAAAATCTTTTGTAAAACTATCAACATGTTGATCTGAAGGCTGTAATAAAACTTCATTCTCACCTAGAACAGTTTGAACTTCATTGGTAAACTTTTTAAGATGCTCTGTGGTAAATGTTGAAGTAAATGACCAGTAATGAACTATCTTGCTGTTTTCCTCAACTTTATCCCTGATAGATGAGGATACTTCTCTCAGCTTCTTTAAACTCCTGGAATCCAGGAACTAAAAATATATTTTATATTTAAAATTCAGTGATGGTGATGGACCAAACCACTCTTGAGTTTATTGAAAATACATTTCGGTCTAGGTTGATCCTCGTTAGTTCTAACAATATAATAACCATCAAAATCGAAAAAAATGTTCCCCAAGAAAATAAACAAACAAAACAGATAAAAATAAATTGGGCCGTCAAATGGACAAAATGAAAAAGAACTCAGATAACGAGATGGAAAAAAGATAAATTGCAAACTTTCACTTTTAAAAAATGTTTTAAGACAATTATTATTCTTTGAGATTGTTTCTGTCAGGAAGACTAAAAAACAAACTGTTTGTATGTATGTGTATAAAGTGGTGGTGGAGGTCGATGTAATTAACAAACTTTTACGTAAATCGGAGGGAGGGCTTGTCTAAGGAGGGGTATTTAAATCTTTTAAAGAAAACTACTGAATTACATTTCACAATTAAATTTTTTCTGTTCAGTCCTCTGAGTTAAGTCATAAAATCTCTAGATTAGATTCTTGTACTTCAAGTAAACTTCTCCCAAGGTCCTAAACAGGCGCATACACAGGAATTAAACCAGTGGGGCAAGTTTTTTTTTGCCCCCACCCCCTTGGCGATTATCCCCCTGGCCTTAAAAATGCTGTTTTTTAAATATTAAGTCTACTACATGTCCCCTAGGTGGCCCATTTAGTATTCAAGGACTATATATTACAATGTATTCCTCTGTTTAGTTCTGTATTACTCTCTGAAGTCTCCTCCTGAGACTACCCCCCTTTCTAGTCCACTGTAGTCCCAATTCAAGGACTACATATTATAATGTATCTATCTGTATATGTATTACCCTCTAAAGTCCTGAATAGTTTCCTGCGACTATTCTCCTTTCTAGTCCACTGTAGTCCCAATTTAAGGACTACATATTATAATGTATCTATCTGTATAGTGTATATGTATTACCCTTTGAAGTCCTGAGTAGTTTCCTGAGACTATTCCCTTTTATAGTCCACTGTAGTCCCAATGCAAGGACTACATATTACAATGTATCCATTTGTATAGTTCTGTATTGCCCTCTGAAGTCCTGATTAGTCTCATGAGACAACTCCCCTTTGTAGTCCACTGTAGTACCGATTCAAGGACTATATATTATAATGTATCCTTCTGTATAGTTCTCTCAATTCCTGAGACTACTTACCTTTGTAATATAATAATAAATGGGGCAAAGCGCCAAGAAAATTTTCAACTATACTTTTTAAGGGGGAAAACACGCCTTTGATGATGAGGGCAAGCCCTTTTTTTTACCCAGAACACCTGACTTTACCTTTGCTCATAAATCCCAGAGGGGGGCAAGAGGACTACTGCCCCCCTGTGTACGCGTCTGTGCATAATGCATATAGCTATCTATAATTGTTTATCAAGTATGCAGTGGGGTGGAGATTTTAGATAAAAGGGAAAAATACTAAGGTAAATTTTGAAAAAAAAAATGGCGCAAAGCGCCAAGAAAATTTTCAATTATACTTTTTAAGGGGGAAAACACCCCTTTGATGATGAGGGCAAGCTCTTTTTTTACCCAGAACACCTGATTTTTACCTTTGCCCAAAAATCCCAGGGGGGGGGGCAGACCCCCCCCTGGGATGCCCAGGGGGGGAAAGANAATTCTAATGTAACCAATATGTTCTCTCACTATTTCATCTAAAGATCTTGTTGTCTGTCCTTTGTTTAGTAGTTTACACTGCTCACATGTAATACAGTAAACTAAATTTCTGGTCTTACAGTTAAAAGTTCCATTAATCTCAATCTTCTTACTGGTATTAGAGGATTGTATAACTGTTCTAGGCTCTATGTTAGTTTATGTTCTTTGAAATATGTGCTGGGTGGCAAGATGATGGAAGTAGGTACATACATGTATCTGTGGGTTTTCTGTAGAGATCTATTGTAATTTTTCCATCTTCAATGTACAATTTTGAGTCAAGGAATGAAATACTTTTTGTTTCATGGCACCAACAGTCATGTTCATCCTTCAAAACACAAAAAAAAATCGAGAACTATGTTTTAGGGTAAACTTGATTGTAGGACGTAGGTTGAATTTTACTGATATCATCCAGGAATTGATAAAATTTCTCAATAGAATCTGTTCAGATTCCAAAACAATCATCCAGAAATCTTTTCCAGATCTTCAGGGGGCATTCATCAGTTAGGGTGTATGTATTTGCAAGTTTCACAGTTTGATCATCAAGCTTAGCCATACAAACGTTTTCATAGAAAGGGGCTGGCTGTATTTCCATAGATGTTCCTATCAATTGTTTGTACAGTTTACCACCAAATTCAAATATGTTGTTTTTCAAAGAAATGTTTAGCAGCTTAATTAAAAAATAACGTAGGGATAGAATCATCAGTTCTGCTTTCAAGAGCTGCTCTACAGAATTCTAGACCACCATCCTGAGGTATATTTGTGTACACTACTGTAACATCTACAGAGAAAAGACTAGAGATTAAATGAACAATAGTTCAAACGGGAGTAGTTCAAATGAGATAGCATCCATAGTATACTGAAAAATTGACATTAGGATACTGATGTTTTATATATTCTAAAATGGATACTGAGAATCTACGATTATATTCAAGCTCAAAATTCAGAGTCTTAAATGCAGGTCCAGTATGTTCCAGAATTCTCTGTAGTCCAATTACTGTGAGTTCAGATAACTCTCCCAGGTCAAGAGTTGTTAGACAGGGCAGAGTCCCCTTGAAAGAAGACATGTCAATTTAAATTTCATGGTAAAATGTTGGAGAAATTATTTATTGATATTGTAACTTATCAAAGTCATACAACACACATTTTAATTAACACCACTGCAAAACACAGTTCCTTTTCAGATGTTCTGTTAAAATTAAGTAATGAAAGTACTTATAAAGCTAGAGTAAAGTGCGGATTCATAATCATTTTTGTCTTATTTATTCTTTTTTTTTCATAGAAGCCTTTTACACCACAATAACATACCTTGGCTAAATTCATACAATTAATTCATTGACACCAAGTAATAGTCAACACATATTGGTAAAAAAAAGGAGTTTCGAAGATAAATTGTGGGACTTATTAGCGTTTTAGTCAAAGGAAACATCCAGACTGCTCTAACAGATGCACCAGAACTACAACCAGATGTGTCAGTACCGCTATATGAAGTACCAGGACTGGTTTCAGTCGCTTGGTACAGAAGAACAATACTGTATTTAATCAGAGAATTGCCAACATTCAGAGTTTGTCAATTCCAGATTAGGTTATTGAGTTCTATTTTCATGGGAACAAAACAATCTAAATCCAATGGCTGAAGAATATTATTTAATTTTTCAATTTAAATCCTGCAAATTACGTGTTAATAATGTAAACAAAAGAAAATCTAGTTTTGCGTAATTAAGGCCTAATTACACAAAATTACGTAATACCAAACCATTTCGTAATTAGTAAAGTACATATTAATTCTCAGAAATGAATATAGCGGGAAAATATATGCAAGGATTTGGTGGTACAACCATGTCAAATTTAATTGGATTATTTAAATACTTTCAAATTGAAGTTTTGCTAATTAGGCGTAATTATTTCAAAATTACGCGAAATTACGGCATAATTTTGGGAAATTGAAGTTTTGCTAATTATTACAAAATTTTGGGAAATTACCTTTTAGACTTTGCGCGAAATTACGGCATAATTTTAAGAAATTGAAGTTTTGCAATAATTACAAAATTTTGGGAAATTACCTTTTAGACTTTTCGCAAAATTACGGCATAATTTTAGGAAATTGAAGTTTCGCTAATTATACGCAATTATTACAAAATTTCGCAAAATTACCTTGAAGAAATTACGAAAAATTACAGCATAATTTTGCGAAATTGAAGTTTCGCTATTTACACCTAATTATTACAAAATTTCGCGAAATTACCTTGAAGAAACTATGCAAAATTACGGCATGATTTTAGGAAATTGAAGTTTCACGAATTACACGTAATCATTACAAAATTTTGCGAAATTTCCTTGTAGAAATAACGCAAACTTACGCCGTAATTTCGTAAAATTGAAGATTTGCAAATTATGTGTAATTCTGCGAAATTACACAAAATGAAAATTATTTCGTCTAACTGCACATAATTTCGCGTAAGTGAATAATCTATTATGTTGGAAACCCTAATTTTCACCCTTAACTTTTATAACTGCACTTAAAAGTTTAAAATTCAAATTGTTTGAGGAGGATTTACAGGCAGGGCCTATGCAACTAAGGAGATAACCTATGACTTTCACACTTGGATACAGCATATTATCATTTGGAAGAAGACTCAAAATTTGGAGACCCTACTATTTATCTTTTAAAAGTTATCACATCAAAACATGCCATATTTGAATATTATCACATATACACACATACATCAGTTTTCATACTTCATTTTGTTTGTTTATTTAGAAGCACATAAATCAATAAACACCAATTTTTTTAGCTAATCCAGATTATCTTGATATGAGCTTTAAATTACTGATGACAAGAGGACTTTTATTTATTTTTCTGAACCTTGAGACCTTAGCTCATGAAACAAAAATCTTAATTTTTAAACTAAAAACTCGGGAAATTTTTAAAGAGAATTCATACAACATTTTCAATCACACTTACCAGTCATAAAGAAACAAAACATGAAGAACAGTATTTTATGCAAGTTTTAGAAATTTATGTTTTGTGCAATATTACTAATTAATATTCATGATAACTCGTCTGTTGTTCAATTTGGATCTGTAAACCATTAAGTAACGTGAACCGTAGTTGTATCATAGTTTCGCACATAAAAATTATTGTTATAATGGCGCACTTTACTCTACTTGTTAATAATAATCAATTGTATGTAAATTGTATACAAAATTATACTAATTTTTTCAAACACTAGATATTTAAAAAACATCAATTGACATGTCTAACCTCGAGATCATCCATACTTTCCCCAGTTATCTGAGTACAGGAAATATCAAGGATTTTGATGGTGTTTCTGCAAGCTTGAAGAAATTCAACCAATCCTTCATCTGTTAGATTCTCACACACAACCAATTTGAGTACTTCAAGACAAGGCAAGGTTATGTCGTTCTCCATCAACCCTTCTCCAGTGATTGCTGTTTCTGTAAGATCTAAATGCTTGAGTGTGTTTCCGCACAATTGGAGTAACTGAATCAGTCCATCGTCAGTTACTGATGATTCATGACACTCCAGATTCTGAATATGAAGCTGAGTATCAAGATCTATTAAACTTTCACAGGTTACAAAAGTTCCTTGTAAAACCAGGGATTTTAGCTTATCCCCACAAAAACCAAGTAACTCTTGAAGTGCTTCATCAGTAAGATAGAATGCACCAGTGCAATCAAGTTTCTCCACATTTGGAAGGGAACCACTGTATTCCTCAAGACTTTCCCCAGTTACAAAGGTATCTGCGATATCTAGTTCCTTAAGAGTAGATCCACAAATGCGGATAATCTGAAAAAGACCTGAATTCAAAGATCTTAAGTGAACCCAATAAAGTGCGTGATGAATAAATGAAGCTGTAGAAAATACTATTTATGCTATTATTTAAACCAATAGTTTGTGTGAACTAGTTAAGTTAATAATGTTAACTTACTTTTAACAAATTTTGCTCACAAACTTGAAGTGAAACTTTTCAAAAGTTAAAAACTGGAAAATTTTGAAATTTTTGACCTTTTTTTGCATTGTTTATAGGTAACAAGAGCATTAAAAAATACTATTTAAAAAAATATATTTTAACAACTTATTAGTGTGTACTTGCTTTACCATAATGTTGTATTAAGATTACTAAATTTGTGTTCAAAATTTCAAATGAAGGTTATCAATATGTAGTTTAGGACTGCAAATTGTTTAGCTACTTTGATTAAGTTGAAATCGAAACAGAGTTTTCACAATGTTATTTTAATTTCTTAACTATTTAAGGTATTAATTAATAAAAGATCATTTGCCTTCATCTGTTAATTGTCTACATTCAAAAAAGTAGAAGTTCTCCAAGCAGGGCAAGGTTCCATTGATTTCTATCAGATTCTCTCCAGTTATTCTACTTCCGTTTATGTCCATGTAAACAAGGGTTTGTTTACTCAGCTGAAGGAGATTAATCAGACCTATATCTGTTAGCTGATAACACTGACCGAACTTAAGCTCAGTTATGACAGGTAAAGATACAGTGAACTTAGATAAAATCCCACCAGTTATGTTGGTCCTGCAGAGATTAAGGGATTTCAATGAGCTACCAAACTTTTGGAAGATTTTTAGAAGAACAATGTCAGTTATATTTAAATTGCCTGGAAGATTAATGGTTTCTAAGCTAGAACTGCAGCTGTTTAGTAGGGCAAGAATGGATTCTTCTGGAATATATGCCAAGTTGTATAATTCCAGCGTGGTCAGACGTGTGGACCGTATACTGTAGATAATCTGGCCTGGAATTGACTTGATGATCCTCTTTATCTCAACTGAGGTCAGATTGGGAAGAGTCATTATTGACTTTAATCCTTTCAATGAGCATTTACTAGAATTCCTCAGAGTTTTATCAGATCCAAGCTGGAACTTCTTGATTTCTTGATGCTTTTTCAAGAAATAACTTAGACCGTTATCTGTGGCATCACCAATAACTAGACCTAATTAATTACAAGTATAACTTAGTTTATTGAAATTGGGAAGAAAAAAAAGAGCCTTTAAAATGTTTTGTGAAACTAAGAAACTCTTAAAAATGTTTTGTGAAACTAAGAAACTCTTTAATATCTTTTGTGAAACTAAGAACCTCTTAAAAATGTTTTGTGAAACTAAGAAACTCTTTAAAATGTTTGGTGACACTAAGAAACTCTTTAAAATCTTTTGTGAAACTAAGAAACTCTTAAAAATGTTTTCTGTTATCTGTGGCATCACCAATAACTAGACCTAATTAATTACAAGTATAACTTAGTTTATTGAAATTGGGAAGAAAAAAAGCCTTTAAAATATTATGTAAAACTAAGAAACTCTTAAAAATATTTTGTGAAACTAAGAAACTCTTAAAAATGTTTTGTAAAACTAAGAAACCATCAACACGTAGAAGCAGTGGGAGAAATAAAGGTGTGGATGAAACCAATGCTCAATGAGGACTTAAAGCTCCACACTAAAATTTAGATAAATAGCCATTCCCAACATTTATGATCTGATCAGTATATGTTCGAATATGTTAGAATATGAGGCTTGCCATATTATTGCATTAAATTATATATTTAAGATCTAATTTTCACTTTTTTGTGATGTAGCAAATGATAGGTAATATGTTTTAAGAGAAAAGGAAAATTGAAAGGGGACTTGAGAAATTGATATAAAACTGTGTAAAAGTTTTACGAAAAAACTATAATAAATTTGTTACAGTTTTATATCAATTTCTAGAGACAGGAACATTGGAAAGAACTTTTATGGGACGCGATCAAGTCCTGAAGTGTTCAGGTTTCAGCCTAAACCCCCTTTCATTTTACCTTTACAGTCCCTTTAAGGGGAAAAATATATTTTATTTCCGCAAAAAAGGTTTACCATATTTTTCTGTGTGAGCCAAAACTAGCATTAAAAAAAATTCCGTCCTTAGTCTTCCTTTCTTCCCTTTTCCCCTTTTTCCTTTCTCCCTTCCTTTTTTTACTATATTCTCCTTTCCCTCTGTTTTTTAAGGGGAAAATATCAAGTTTTTTATTCATTATTACTGTCAGTTGATCTGAAGGCTGTAATAAAACTTCATTCTCACCTAGAACAGTTTGAACTTCATCGGTAAACTTTTTAAGATGCTCTGTAGTAAATGTTGAAGTAAATGACCAGTAATGAACTATCTTGCTGTTTTCCTCAACTTTATCCCTGATAGATGAGGATACTTCTCTCAGCTTCTTTAAACTCCTGGAATCCAGGAACTAAAAATACACTTATTCAAATATTCTAATCAGAGCTGAAAACTTTATCAAATATTCTCATAAAACATCTAGCATTAAGTCTCACCGTTAGGATTTTCAGAATTACATCAGGACACACGGTGTCAAGTCCAGGTTCACCTATTCAGATATCATTATTTTTAAAAGCAGTAGAATCATAAAATAACGAGAAATGTTCAAAGGGAAAATTACAAAAGCCTTTTAAATATAAATAGAATCAAAATTTACACTTTTTATTTTAGCAGGAACATATTTTGGAAACATCGTGTGAATCAATTTAATTCTAGATGAAAAAATTGTTATGCTGTTTTGGTACAAGTACAAATACGTCGAACACACAAACGTCGGACGTTACAAAGGTCGGACAGTACAAATGTCGGACGTTACAAATGTCATACTTAAAAACGTCGGACTGTTACTAACATCGCACTGGTACAAACGTCGGACTTTGGTTGAGTTTGAAAGAAAAGACCATTGCTATAAGAAAAAATTTAAATTTACTCACTTATTGTGATAAGAATCAAAGATAACTAAATAAAGTCTCACCCTTTTCGCGAAATTTGTAAAGTTGGCTTGAAACTTTCGCGAAATTCATTTAAAATTTTCGCGAAATTCATTTGAAATGTTTGACCTTTCCCTCAAAATCATATTAATTTCACAAAAATACAATCTTACTCTAACCTTTCTCCGTACAATCTTCTTGATGGGAGATGGAAAGATTTCGATTTTAATGAAAAGAATATTTTGGGAAAATGAAAAATTTTCGCGGAAAAGGGTAGAAAATTTCGTCGAAATTGTTCCAGGGAAGTTACGTGTACTTAACGCATTGAATTATAAGAAAGAGATTAGTACATATTTTAGGGTTAGGTTAGGTTAACACACTTTCTGGGCAGAGCGCTGCAAACAGAACTGGCTCTCTTTCTGTCGTATAATTTATTGCAGCGTGCTCACATAATCTCCTTGGGCCGCTGCCCCATCAAAATATAGGTAAAATTAACATTTCACATTTTTCATTTAACTGCATCATTTGTTTCAAAATTGTGTGCATCTTTTAATTTTGGGGGGAAAAGTTTGCCCTTACCCTGCGATGGATAACTGGGAACCATCATTTGTTTCATCAGTCCAACCTTCGCAGACCCTCCTTTATCATTTTCTTCCATCTGAAATTTTTTAAGTTGCCAGACAAACATCTTTTAACAGTTTTAGATAAAGCTGTTAACAGTTTTAGATAAAGCTGTTATAAAATATTTAACAATAACACTAATATTGTTTCGAGACCAATTCTGGCCGCTAATATCAAAATATCAGAATACTAAATCTTAGTATATTTTACTTAGTCATAATCCACATAAGGTGATCGTAACGTCTCTAAGCTTCATAAATTCAGGGCTCATTTTTTAGATAAAAGGCCCTAGCTAGAGGTCCACGGTTCAATCAAAAAGATTGAACGTTTTATTTATATAAATATGAGTAAATTATTTATATTAGTCACAATGAATAAGTTACGAATAAAACAGTATGTAAGTCACAATAAATAAGCATAAAAAATGAATATACAAGTCAGAAACTTTTAAATAGGCGTATATGCAACAATCAGTTAAATCCAGTCATCTTAATGGACTAAGAGCTTCACAAAGTCTTTGCAATAAGCTCCCTTCCCGGTTGAATAAAGCAATAAGTTGTAAACCATCATGAAAAGTACCTTATTGACACAAACGTGGATCTAGACTCTACGATCTGAGATGGAATTTAAAGATTTTGAGCCGCGGTTCAAATCCGCCAAAACCCGGTTTAAATTTAGCGCCGGCTTAAATCTTGAAACATTTCATACAATTTTAAGTGGAAGCAACCATATTTAAGCCGCGGCTTAAATTTAAACCGCCGCTCAAATTCTTTAAATTCGGCCACTGGGTAACTAACAAAAACTAACAAAAAGCGTACTGTGAGGCATGGTTTACAAAACGTATACTCTATATAACCGATTTCTGTGTATTGAACAAATTAGAACTTCTCTCCCTCTGTAGGGGCAACACAGCTATACTCCAGGGTCTTCAGGGGTGTCCTAATCTGGAACGTGACGAAAACGTCACAAAAAGGTCCCACACAAAATTTGGGCCTGATTGGTTCAGCCGTTTTGACATTTATTAGATACAAACAAACAGACAGTCAGACAAGCTAAATTTATATATTGATATGGTTTGAAAGATATAAGAAAAAGAAAAAATCAGTTTCTTTATTTATAAATATTTTAAACTAGACTTCCTAAAATATAATCGGAATATTGAGACTATTTATTCTGTTCTCTCCAGTCAGCAAAACTTCCTTAACAATATTTTGATTTGAGGCTAAAGATTATAAAATATATAATAAATATCATAACTATTAGATCCGTTAGTAAAAATATGAGTTCACAAATAAGGAAACGTTATGGAATGTTGCCTTTATTGTCTGATTTAAGGATAACACGATTAGCATAACAAAGAATTTAAAACATTTTTTTCTGAAGTTTGCATTTCCATATTTGAAGAATTACGGGTTTCAAAATGCGTAATTACATGAAAGTTTGATTGCGTATTCCACAAAATTTTACGCTCATTGTCTCACTTTTGCGCAATTATGAATTTAGCGGAAATAAGCGCAAATGGTGCGCCGGAAATAAGCGCAAATGGTGCGCAAAAATAGGTTTAATAATGATTTATTCATGATGTGTTTTTGCAATGAAAGATCAGAGAAAAGTGTAAACTCTTAATTTAAAGTATTTCAAATTATTTTTTTTCTTCTCTTTGTAAAGTATGATCACGAAAAAAATATCCTTACCAGTATAAACAGCTGTGTTAGAGAAACCAAGAAGATTCACAGCTGTTTCAGCCTTAAAGAACAGAATTACTATCATTGTAAAACTTCCTTTGATTACTAATTTGAAGAAAAGACTTTAGCGAAACACAAAAAAGTACCTTAGAAGCTCTAATTCCTGCCAGACAGGAAAATATTATTGGATCCTCACATTTTGGCATCGGGACCTGATAAAAATAACAACATAATGGCTCGTCAGACCTGAAAACTTTAGAATTGGACAATGGACATTGGACATTGGACACCCTCCTGATCGCTTATTGTGGAAACTTTTAATTTAATTGTTAATCCTCTGTTTTGGAAATCCCTGTTGGATTGTGACCAATTAAAGTTATCTCATTGATTGCACTCGCAAATTTTCCAAATTCTGGGCAATCTGATTCTCTTCTTATTGGTTGAATTTTATATAGTTTCCAGGAGTTGATCCCGATATCCATAATTCTAAAATTTCAGCTAAAAACTCATAATTCAAACTTAATATTTGTGTTAAAATATCCAATTTAAGAAATGGAAAATTGAAAATCAGAAAATAGAAACTGTTTAACCTTGAAAATCAATGTTTACCTTATATTTTTCAAGAAATGAGTCCGAATTCAACGCAAATGCAACCTAATATAAGATTTGTCATGCAGTCGTGTTTTGAAGACTACTTTGAACTCCGTAAATACACTGATATAATATAGAATTAAATGTTGAGAAAACCTTTTAGATAATATTAATTGTTATGTATTGAACCAGCACTGAAGAAAATAAATTTTAAAAAACCTACTCCGTCGTTTGTGGGAAACACTGTAAAAATCCAAAACAATTATTTATCAAAACAAACCTCCACTTCTTTGAGAGGGATATGAACAGCACCTTGCAAGACTCCATCTTCAACCAGTTCAGTTTGATTACGTACATCAACAATCAATGCAGTTCCATTCGCTGCAATAGGAGTTTATAACTTTAGTCTTTGGACTATATATTGTTGAAATTTCCAATGACTCTTATTCTAAAGAGGGTCAGGCATTCAAAAGGATTCTCTCTAAAAAAACAATTCTGCCTAAATAAAGGGTGTCCAACGAAAAATGGCAGTTGGTGATTAGTTTTAACATGTCTTCTTCCTTGATTTGATAAGTTTTTGACAAGTTCATAAAAACCAAAGAAAATTACCAAAAAATATCCCATGGCTGTCATATTATTGTAACAATATATTTGAGTAAAAGATTTTTTGAACGGAGTAAACAATAGAATAAAGCTCTTCGCTCTTAACTTTGAAATCATTGTTACTAAAATATAATTGCTTTGTAATATTTTTATTGTTCTCTTTGGATTTAAAGAACTTGTCAAAAACTTATCATATCAGGAAAGAAGACATGTTAAAACTATTCACCATCTGTCATGTTTCGTGGGACACCCTGTATGTGAAAGATCTCGTTTTTCTAGGTTAAAAATATTTCATAATGTTCTCCCATGGTTTAGTAGTTAAATCCGCAAGTCATTATTACAAGTAGGGATGTTAACGTTTTCATTTTTTTGAAAAACGATCGTTTTTTTCGTTTTCCGATCGTTTTTTGTTTCGTTTTCCGATCGTTTTAAAAACTATCGTTTTTTAAAGTTTTTAAAACGATTGTTTTTAAAATGATCGGAAAACGAAAAAAAAAACGATAGGAAAACGAAAAAAACGATCGTTTAATGATTGTTTTCAAAAACGATTAACAACCCTAATTACAGGCAACCAACAGTTGAAAATAACCATTCATTCATTCATTCATTGTGAAGTAATTCTCCATCTTCCAAATAGGAATGTTGAGAATATCTTGATTTCTTCATGTGTGGTCTGCTATAGAATCAGATGTAGTTTCAGTTTTTCTCAAATCAGCAGCCACTCCATTCTCAATGATTCTTATCATACAGTTTTTTAAACTGACCTGTATTTTTTGCATGTTTAACATCATAGGGTAAAGCATTCCATAGGTCAATAACTCTGTGTGAGAAAAAAATCTTCCTTATCTCCAGCTTAACAACAGGTTTAACAAGATTAAGACTGTCTTGATTTAACCTTGTGACTTGTTCTCTCAAACCAACAAATTTAAACCAGGTGTTCTTGTCAACATTGTCACTCAAATCCATTGCCTATCTTAAAAGTTTGAATTATGTCTGCTCTTTTTCTTCTATTCTCAAGTGTTTGAAGATTCAGCTCCTTGAGTTTGTCTTCATATGTTGATCCCTTTAATCCAGACACAAAGTAGACTGCTCTCATTTGAACTCTTTCTAAAACATCACAATCTTCTTTCGTCCATGGATTCCAGACACAGGATGCAAACTAAAGATGACAGCGAACATATTGTTTATAGAGTCTGATAAAGGTGAAACGGTCTCTGAAATGGAAGGCTCTTGTCATTTGACCTAAGGCTTGGTTGGCCTTCTGAGCAACATGCCCAGTTTGAACATGCACCATTCAATACAACCCTCTGTTTCCGGTCAGTTAACCAGCTTCTTATCCATTTAAGCAGGTTATCCGTGAAACCATGGGCTTCTAACTGTGTCAAAAGTCTTTCTCTGGGTACTTTATCAAAAGCTTTCTGGAAATCTAAGTATAAAATATCAACAGAGTCCCCCTTGTCCACGGCTGCAGTAACAGTTTCCATAAACTCAAGTAAATTAGTAGTTACATACTTATTTTTCATAACGCCATGTTGAGAGGATTGGATCAAGTTGAATTTTTCCAGGTGTAGAACCATTTCATTCCATGAGCTTGCAGGGTATACTTGTTAATGAGACTGGCCTGTAGTTTTAAGCGCTACCTTTACTTCCTTTTTTAAAGATTGGTGTAACATTGGCGTTTCTCCAATCTGATGGTACAAGACCTTCGCCCATTGATAAGTTAAAAATCAAACTCAAGGGTACACTTATTTCATCACAGAATGTTTGTAAAAATTTTACAGAAATACCATCTGGACCCGGAGCAGAACCAACTTTCAATTTCATTATTTTTTTTCTCAGACTAGCTTCCTCAAAGATGATATTTGGGAGACATGAGTTTGTTAGTTTTCTAGTCACTGGAATAGTTGTTATATCTTCATCAGATTTTCAAAGATTCAATCTTGATCAGAAAATACTTTAAAGATTATCGTTGTGAGAAGGACAAAACACTATAAATGTAGCCATTGCGCCAACATTCCCTTTCATATGCTTTAAGCTTAGCATTTTTTATATTATACTGTAGATCTAAGAATTAATGCTTTCAATAAAGCTGGCCTCTACTGACTCTACTAAATAAGACAAAACATTCCTTTCTATTAAATAAATAAAATTCACCTATATGCTTCTTTACATCGTTGAAATCTACGGTATTGGGAAGGTGAATACCGGAGGAAACCCCCATCACATGCTCATTCCTCCAAACACATGATCTCAGGGGTTTTAAGACAAGGGCCTTTGGAAAATAGCTTGGTTGAAGATGAAAGGATGAGAATCCTTGAATTCCCCAGGTATTCAGTCTAAAGATAGCTGTCCACTGTCCAAGAAGCCTTGAAGAATTATAAATCTTTATTAAACTTTGCATGAAATTCAAGGAAGACAATTAAAGGTGTGTTTAATTAAGGATTACACACAACAATGAGACGATTGTACGAACTTAATACTGTCTGTTTACTCATATCTATCATGTTTTGCTTCTGTGAACTCTTTTCTGGTTTGCCATAATAATAATAATAATAATAATAATAAACTTTTTGAATTAATTTGATCTTTTAAAATGTTTAGTGTATATAAAAGTTTGAAGTACAAGGCTAAGTAAGGTGAACCCGAGAATGACTCATTAAATTACACCTGTAGAAAAACTAAGCATGAGTGTTCTTCTTTCTTTGCGTTTAAAAACTCGTTAAATTATAATAAAAACTTAACGTTGTGTACCGTCTTATGGCATGATCAAATGTCAATAAAACAAAATAAACTATAGGGGCTTCGTCAACAAGGGAGGAAACCCCCGGACGCCATTAGCCTCAACTATGCAGACACGAGCCTCCGTTATACAGAATAATTTCTTTGAAATTCTTGGTTTTTACATGTAGTAAAGAAATTCTTGTACTTTTTTCGAAATAATGGCATAAAAAGTTTATCAAAGATCAGAATTATTAATCAATTAATATAAATAAAGACAAATCATGACATTTGTTACGCAAAAAGGTAAATATTTAGAGAAAAAAATCTGTAACTAATTTTATTAGAGATATTATCTTGATACCTTTTTTTAATTTTTAAAGATTGATAATAAAAAATTTGACATTAGCAAATAATCTGAATGTATAAATTTTTTCCAAAAAAAGGTATTGCTTAAATCAAAGGTTAAAACAAAATAAACTAAGTTCAATTCAGAAATGAATTTCCAAATAAATAGCCTCCTTACTGCGTAAGAAATGTTTTATTGTAAAATATAAATCTTATAGATTCTTTTTCCCCTATGTTGAAAAAAAAAAATGTAAAAACCAAGAGTTTTAAGGAAGCTGTGCTGTATTACGAAGGCTCGTTTACTGCATAGCGGAGACTCTTACTGCATGACGGAGGCTCGGTCTGCCTAGAAAATCTCGGAGGCTTGTGTCGCATTGCGGAGGCTCATGGCGTCCGGGGGTTCCCTCCCTCCGTCAACCTAATCTCTGAAATATAATTCTCAAGTCAACAATCACAAAATAACCCTAGTCCTGGCTTTCAAAATAACTGAAGACATAAAGAATTTTGATAATTTTTTTTTTAATAAATTCAAATCTAAACGAAATACTTAATATCTGCGGTACTATTGACAGAACAAAAAGGCCGACCACATTTTGGAAATACCAGAATTAGGAGAATTGTGTGATTATTGTTTCCAGAATCATACATGGAACAGTTGGTTGATATGGAACGAATGCCAAAAATAATTTCGAAGATCTAAGACGACCTTTAAATCGTCTTTCTACTGTCCAATTTCGTGGGGCACCCTGTATCTTTGACATTTGTGTAAGTATTACTAAAAAAAACTCTGATAAGTTCTTTATTAATGATTAAAATTTAAAAAGAAGTGCCTCGATAGGCATTCAAAAAAAGTTTATTAGATATGTTATCCGACGCCTAGATCTCTAAGTGCAAAAAACCCTCTTGTTATTCTTGCAAAAATGTTTGTAGATTTTGTACAAGCTTAATCTTATTCTGTTATACGTACAAAACTTTAAAACTGAAAGATCAATTATTTTGTTATGATGCACCTCGGTCTGCCTAGTAATCCCTGACTTATTGTAAATTTTCTAAACCCAGTAATATATTCCAATATATTGTAAACCCTTTTAATATTAATTAGATGGAGATAAAATTGCTATAATACATACATATAGTTAACAATTTAAAAATAGTTGCAGATATTTTGCCTGTAACATTATAACTTGTATGTGTATTTCTAGCAATAAACTGTCTTATCTTATTTAAACTCTGTATCAAAACCAAATAAATTTCGAAGTTTTCATTTTTGATCATTCTACGAATTTGAGTTATTGGAGAGATGTAGAACATAATCCAGATTTCATAACAATCCATATTTTGAGATCAACCCATAACAAAAAATAACCTAATTAATAAATCAAAATAAAGAATAAATCAACCAAGAAGATATTTTATGAAAATTGATTAACGGGGTAAGTTTCCTGCAAGTTTCTTAAACATTTTCCCGCATTAACATATTAAATCGATTAAAAGAACATTGCAGAGAGGACCAGAAAACTGTGGAATTAATGTCACCGTGAACCTATCTTTAACTGACATATTTCTAAACATATTCAGAGAACTTTTTTTTAGAAATAGTTCATTTGCAAATTACAAAATCCTTAACAACATTATATTTCATCAATAAACAATGAAAGTTATCAAATGTCATTTCACATGCCATTATTTTAATTTCAAATATACTGTTTGATTCAAATCTGTATAATGTTCTAAAACACCGCCATAAACGATGTGATTTGAGAGATTTTGGACTTTTAAAAGTTTCTGCAAAAATGGGAAAAGTTTAAGAAATATGACATAGAGATGTTTAAGGTATTTTTCAAGGGGCAACTTCCCAATTTACCCAAAATGTGTAAATTCCATAACGGCGACCCAAAGGTTATGTTAGGCCTTCTAAGGCGCCACAGGCTAAAATGGGAGAAGGCGAGCGCTGAGGCTAGAACAGGCTTGGGAAGTTACCTAACATCAATATGGTTTATTCTAAATATTTGTTTTTCATACACTGAAACACAATGCCAAATTTTGACCATGACAGAAAATTTATACAAAAAACGAAACTAAAACGGAGCGTGCTCAAACGATAGTTTTCCTTTTTTCTCTCATATAATAAAATATTGCAACGTTAAATGAAAGAAAACTTAATCAGAATAGTTTCAGAAATGGTGGAAGTATTGTTTTTAAGTTTTTAAGAATCCTATCTAAACGAAACCCTTTATATTGTCTTAGCTTAAAAAAAGGAATAGGTAAATTTGAAAATAAGCCAAGAAGTATTTCAAATTAAAACATTTTCAGATTGAAAATGAATCCAACCTGACAATTCAGTGCGGTTTTAAAAACCCGACTTAAATTACATAATGCAACCTAATAGAGACTTTACACGCACCTCTGCTCCATTTAGTAAAAGTAAATTCAACCCATATAAGGAATGAAGTCTGACTGCGTCAACCTTGTAGCACCGGCTGTCCATAGAGCTAGGTACAGTACAAACTGGGACCGGAAAGGTTGACTCGGCTCGGATATTTAAATGTACCACAGTTGTCCGTTTTTAGTTAATAAACATTAATTCTTCAGCCCAAACCTGACCCTCAGGCCCCATAATCTTTCACAGAACTATTCCCCGCTAATTAAGTACAGAAATACAAATTGTGCTTTTGATTGTATTTAGCTACCATGTCTACGGGCTAAAGGATTATGTTCAGAAGTCAGGACTTGACATTTTTTACACAAACTCTTTCTTTTTTAAAGATTTACAACTTTCCTGCTTCCTTTACTGTTCATTTTGTCTGAAATAACGCAAAAAGGTGTTCACTATCGGTTATAGATAAATTTCTTATCACAAAAATGCAATATAGTTATCACGGAAATTACAATAGTTTTTTACAATTTACATGCAGTCAACGACATATTAAGCAATAAATTTTCATGATTTTCAAAAAGATAGTAGTTTATTTCAAAAATGTCCATCAAGTTACATGTAACGTGTTTCCAACACTAAATGTTTTCACAATACAATTAAGTAATAATAAAGAAATATATAGGCTGAAAATTCATAAAAAAGTGATACTCATGAAATGATAAATAAAATTTTACCAAAAATTAAAATATATAATTCTAAAATTAATTTTTCCATTGTGAGGAAACAGGGCTAACCTACAGGGCTACATACGAAGGGGGACACTTCAAGAGACGACTAAACAAAACTAATTCAATATTTTCCGCTACGTTTTTGGTCGAAGCTAATTGTAATATTTTTTCTTATTTTTTGCAAAATCATTTAGAAATCATTCGAAGTGAGGAAACCAATCTTTTTTGAGTTTTATGTCGTTCTTAATGTCTCTTTCTTTGTAAGCAATGTTTAAATGGAATGTTGTAACTTAGCCCTATCCCTGCGGGGTACTTGAAAACCAGGATATGCTGGGGGGGGTATATTTGACCCTTCCCTCTCTAAATCCTATGTTTCGTGTCCAAATATGACAAACGATACATCATTGAAAAGCTCTTATGCTCTACTTAAAGAATTTGCAAATATTTCTTTGCAAAACTTGTGCAATCCGTTTTCTTATGGTATAGGCTTTCCAAAAGCCAAAAAGCTACAATTTACCAAAATCTGACAACTAGAAGCGTGTCAAAACAAAGATTTAGTTTGTTACAGGAAAAAATGTATCCCCCCCCCGTATGAATAGTGTTTCAGTCGTTTGTGTAAAAGTTATTTTAAAAACATTTTTTATCTCAAAGAAAATATTGAAATTTTTTTTTGATAAAATAAGTTAAATATAACATTACAAAAAGAATTTATACAACATTAATACAGAATTTAAAAAAAATTACGGTTTCCAAATCAAGTTGAAACATGTAAAACACCATCTCTAACCTTCTCCAACAAACTATTTTTATCCTTAGGATCACAGGAGAGCTTTGTGAACAGCTTCAAGATATCAAAGCTCCTCTACTGCAGTGGTTTTACATAAATTGTTAGTTTTAATTTAGTATTTCTTAAGAAAAAAACATGGTTTGATGATTCGATTTTTAAATTTTTAAGACTGAGGTTCAATTCATTTCTGTTCTTCAACCTGGATCTTATGTTTTGATTTTGTACAGAGTTACCCATAAAGGATGAGACTTCAGAGACGACTGTACGAAATTTATACTGGCTGTTTCTTAATATTCATGATTTCCAGCAGCTGTTGAGTTCTTTATTTTTTCTTCGATATTATTAAATATGTTTATTGTCTATTAAAGACAGAAGTCTCAATACTTTAAAAACGTAATTTTTTAAAAGTTTTAGGTCGTCTTTACAGTCTCATCCTTTGTGAGTAACCCTGTACAATTTGTATCAGATATTGAATACAAATGGTGGGTTACTTCCCTGATGAGTTTTATAATTATTTTCAGTTTATATATTGTATAATGTGTATGAATTATACAGCAAATTATGTTTGGAATAATGTCTGTTTAAGTTGGATTATTTCAGCACAAAAAAAAACAGATTTGGATTAGTCTTTGAGGTCGGAAATATTGTGTGGAGTATCGTGAATCTTGAATACTTGATCTCAATATCATATATCCGTATCCGTTTAAATTATCCCTGTCTTCAGTATACTTTCATCCATCTCTTTTAACCAGTCTAGTAGTGATGTCCAAATTTTATTCAGTTGGACGTTAGACTTAGTTTCTCTGACGCAAATTCAAATATTTCATTAATTTGATTCTAATCAAGTTTACGCTTGACTGCAGTATAGCGCTCCATGTACACCGCATACCCAGGAACAGAATCAAGGCTCTTCACGTCGAATAAGTTCCCTTCAAGGGAAACCAAAGAAACAGAACTGAAAAAAATATATTATTATTTTTAAATCCCCTGATGTAATGAAAATAATATGATAATCTTCTGAGGAAAAAAATGTAATAATGGAAATTCAAGGCCACAGACAGGTAAAGAATGCATCAAGATTATATCATCGAGTTTAAGAATTCCATTATTTATTACATTTTTTATCCTCATAAGATTATTATTATATCATATTTGTGAGGTTCCATGGGCACATACCCAAGAAAATATATTTAAAAACTCCTGGTGAAATAAGACTATTCAAGTTGGAACAATTGACATTATGAAGGACTGCAAATAAGTTTAAATTTCATTGAACTATCGCTGTTTTTTATTTTCTAATGTTACAATGCTAAAATGTTAGAAAGCCTCTTATAAGTAAAAGTTGATTCTTTATTTGAAAATAATTCATGTGGTGTCATTGTTTCCTTAGTTTATTTTGTTAATCAATTTGTAATGCATTTGCTTGTTTTTTTTTTCAAGTGGATGCTATATTTAAATATAGCATATAGTTTTTAGATCGGGAGGAGGTAGAGAATAGTAGTGGGTTTTCTTAATCTACTGATCAAAATAGTGAAACCATTTATAGAAGAAATCGCTTGCTGGATATTAGATACTAAATCTTCCAAAAAAGTAGAGAAAAGTGGGTTGTTAATTTTATACATTTTGCCCCCCACCCCCATTTCCACTGTACTGTCAGGACTAGGGTTAAGATTTAAATGGAAATTCCTGAATAAAGGTATTTTAATACTTCAAGGAAACGAAAAAGGTAAATGAGCATGAAAAGGTAAGTTTGCAACTTTGTATGTTTTAATAAAGGAAAAAAGGTAAATTTGCATGTTTTAATAAAGGAAAAAAGGTAAATTTGCATGTTAAATTATAAAAGAAAATGTTAAGTGAGCATGTTGTCAGAACAAGATAATTATGTTAATATCAATATTGATTTATGATTAAATGATCAATATAAGGAGCGGCGGTTAAAAATAAGTATTCTTTAACAAGTGTAATAATTTCCATTCTTCATTGCTCTGAGCGTGTAAGAATATACTTTCTTTCAATTCTTACATAAGCCGAGCGTTAAAGAATAAAAATTCTACAATCTACAGTGTAGAATTTAGCTTTAGAAGATAGCTTTACTATGAAGTTTGTGCTCAGGCATGAATTTAATTCTTCGCTAAAGAGAGGGTCAACCTGAGTTCAAAATGTAAAATATCAAAACCTAGGACCGAGGGAATCCTGAGAAAATCCACATTTAAGATTTGAAGGAATTCAGGTTTCAGTTCTGATTTCACAGATACTTGAAAGTTCAATATATTCTCGCATGAATATTTTAGGGCAAATATATATAAGTAAGACCCTTATTATTTTAGCCGTATTTTGGGGGTCATATAAAACGATGTTTAGTCTAAAACGCCTTTAAATGGAAGTTTCTGCGCTAAGCATACATTTTTTATTTTTTTTTTTCAAACAGAGATCTAAATACAATGCAAACTGTTTATTAATATGCACATTTTTTATTTGTCAGTATTTTCTCTTAGTGTATAAACTTCTATGATAATAAAAAACAGTGCTTAGGATCCATTTAATTTTGATGCGGATCCGGATTCAAAAACTATGGTTCGCTGGTCACCTCAGCTATGAAGTAGGTTTTAAAAACAAAGCTACCTAAGGGTTTTACAAATTCTGAAAGTAGACAATGCCTAGAACCAGCATGTAGATTTTTGAAATTTCATTTAAATTATATTTTGTAGTTAGACTTATAGAAAGCGTTTGACTCTTTAAGTTTTCGGGAGATTGTCAAGAAATTTAAAAAGTTTTGAGCTTTCCTGCTTATTTGTTTTCATCCTATGATAAATTTATCAATGTAGAATTAACAAATCAGAAGAAATATAAACCATATAAACAATGTTTTATAGGGTATATATACTGGTTTACAGTGTTTATATATGATTGCAACCAAACAGCGGAAGATATTGCAAATTGCAATAATATTTGCGTAAGGCTGGGTAACTTGCGTATACTATATATGCGCTTCATATGGCAAATTTACAAATTTATTTTCGAAACTGAGGAGCAATAAAGAAAGCTTTAAGAATATTGTACATCTTAGGGCCATTAACAGAGGTCAATATGGTCTTATTTCTAAGAAATGAACGGTTTAATGTTAACTTTGTTATTTCTGATTATCAATTGAGGAGCCCGCATGCCGCAAAACATGTTTAGGTGGCGCTTGTTTACTTCTGCACCCCCCCCCCCCCTCCCATATTAAAGCAACCAGTTGCCAATCATATTTTAAATAGAAAATGTTGAGACCTTTCCATATAGGCTTTTATAAAACAATATGAAGATTGTATAATTTGAAGACTTTATTCAAAATTTAAAAGTTTAAAGATTTAAAATCTTGGAAAATTATAAAAAAATTTATTTGAACCCTATGACCCCAAGTTTTAAGTAAAACCATGTTCAGACAACACAAATTACACGATATCATAAGTCCTTAGTCCTTACCTATCTGAGAAGAGTTGAGAGGGAACAGCTTCTAGAGCAAGACAGTTTTCCTCTAGTCTTAGAGTCTTCAGTCTAGGACAGGCAGCAATACAGGGAGATACAGAGGACACCTAGAACATTCAAGGGATAAGAGGACACCTAGTAAATACAGGGAGATACAGAGGACACCTAGTAAATACAGGGAGATACAGAGGACACCAAGAACATTCAAGGGATAAGAGGACACCTAGTAAATACAGGGAGATACAGAGGACACCTAGAACATACAAGGGATAAGAGGACACCTAGTAAATACAGGGTGATACAGAGGACACCTAAAAAATATACAAGGAGATACAGAGGACACCTAGAACATCCTTGGAATAAGAGGACACCTAGTAAATACAGGGGGTTACAAAGGACACCTAGATAATAAAGAGGGATACAGAGGATACCTAGAATATTCAGGGGATAAGAGGACACCTAGTAAATACAGGGGATACAAAGGACACCTAGATAATACAGGGGGATAATAGGACACCTAGTAAATACAGGGGGATACAGAAGACACCTAGTAAATACAGGGGGATACAAAGGACACCTAGAAAATACAGGGGGATACAAAAGACACCTTAAAAATCGGATACAAAGGACACCTAGTAAAAACAGGGGATACAAAGGACACCTAGATAATACAGAGGGATAATAGGACACCTAGTAAATACGGGGGGATACAGAAGACACCTAGTAAATACAGGGGGATACAAAGGACACCTAGAAAATACAGGGGGATACAAAGGACACCTCAAAAATCGGATACAAAAGGACACCTAGTAAAAACAGGGGATACAAAGGACACCTAGATAATACAGAGGGATAATAGGACACCTAGTAAATACAGGGTGATACAAAAGATACGCCACCCCACTCAGAGCTCCTATATCTAGGTTCTCATCGTTGCTGTTCTTTTATCCTCCTCTCTCTTCACCTCCAGGATGGTACCGCTAGTCTTTATACTATTGTGATCTTTGTCTTGTCCATGTTCTTTCATCTCTTTTATGCCTTATCTCTAGCGGTGTTCTTGTTCCAGATATATGCCAAGAAGAAGATCCTAAGGCCTTCCAGTGTTACTATCATATTATCTTCTGGATCCTAGTTCCCCTGGATCCTCGTACTCTCTCTCTCTCTTTCTCCTGTGGCTCGTCCTGCGCGTCCTCGAGCTCCTCCTGCTCGAGCTAGACCAGGCGGCTCTTCTCCTCCTTGCTTCCCGTGTTCCTATCCTAGAAGCGGCCAGGCGACCTCTGCCTGGACTTAACTAGGAGGACTCTCTTGACCGAAGCCGATACCACAGATGTGTTACTTGCGATACCTAGTAGATACAGGGGGATACAAAGGACACCTAGAAAATACAGGGGGATAAAAAGGACACCTAGAAAATACAGGGGGATACAGAGGACACCTAGAACATTCAGGGGATACAACGGACACCTTGTAAATACTGGGGGATATACAAGACACCTAGATAATACAGCACAGTGCGTTTTCCTGGTTTGTGCATAAAACTGATCTGTGAAAAATCAAAGACGACATTCAAACCCTTCTGACTACGTTTTCTTAGAATGGCTTGCAGGGATGAATTAATTGAATATATTCATAACTTAATGCTACGGGACGATTTTTTTATCTGTGGACTCAAAGTACACACTCTAAAGGTTCTCAGCATATATTTTAACAGTATCATGATCTTAAACCCTAAACATAACATTGCAGTGATTTTAGGGTATTTCATAAAAAGTGTCTGAACTTTTTAATTTCAGCCTCTCAAGACGAATTGTGGAGAAAACAAGATTTATACAACTAAAATATTCTTAAATTTTTATTATTTGAGGTTTACCCCCTATAAAACATTGTTAACACGGTTATTTTTCTCCGATTTGTTAATTCTACATTAATAAATTTATCATTTGATAAAATTAATTAAGCAGAAAAGCTCGAAACATTTTGGATTGACTAATAATTTCACAAAAAGTTTCGAGTCAAACACCTTTTTCAGTCTAAACTAGACATAAACAACAAAGTTTTAATGAGATTTTCTCAAAAAGGGCTGAACAGGGATTTCTAAAAATCTACATGCTAGTTCTAGACAAAGGCTACTTTTAGAAGGTATAAAAATCTTTTGCGTTTTTGTTTTTAAAACCTACGGTGGACTAGATTAAATTATAAATACGATGCTTGGCTTGCCCATGACATATAGGACACTGATAAGTGTAAAGTTATGCCCAATCATCATACTGTTAGAATATATTATTATTATTATTATTATTAACAATCAACCTACAGACAAAGTACCATGACCTGTATGCTTGAATACAATGAAAGATATATATATGAAGGACTAATGAGTACACATAATACATTTACAAACTTGGAGGAATCTCAAACAATGACCGACTACTTTGTGAACGTATGAATCTGTGGTTAGATATTCTTAGAACAATCTCCTGCTTTAATAATTACTTGGTTCTGGTTTACGATGATTTCTGTTGCTTCTAACCCCTCTACACTATCAGGAATCTAAAAAATATATATTTTGTTTTGTTCTAGCTTTGCATATATTTGCAATAATTGACCACAAAAATTCTTTCAAAAATAGTATTAAAACAATGAGGAAAACAAAATTAAGTAGACTATATATCTTTTTTAACAGATAAACCGGGCAATCCAGAGGCCGAATTTAAAGAATTTGAGCGGCGGCTTAAATTTAAGCCGCGGCTTAAATATGGTTGGTTCCACTTAAAATTGTATTAAATGTTTCAAGATTCAAGCCGGCGCTGAATTAAAACCGGGGTTTGACGGATTTAAGCGGCGGCTCAAATTCTTTAAATTCGGCCTCAGGTCATATTGAATTACGAAAAGATCTCAATTTGGAATAAGTTTTGGCATTGGAGGATGTGGAAACTTTTCAGCGATTATTTCTTAAAAAGGGTTTACAACTGTTTAGTCTTCTATACAGAGCAAGGTTTAAAACCATTAAGCCTATTCTTATCAGAGAGAAAGGTGAAGATAAGTTCAGAATATCTTGATGAAGGACTCACATACCAGTGAACTAGTTCAACTCTTAATGACACAAGAACTAGCTGAATCCCCCTTTTACAAAGATCTAGCAAGACGAGTAGAACCCATTGATCAGACGATAGTAACAATAAACTCTACATCAGCAGCATTGCTAAAAGCACATACAATAAAGGAAATAATAAGCTAGAGGTAAATTCTTTTAAATCCCCGTCAGCTCTAACGATACCTAAAGTATGGTGGAGAAAACATGAATCCTGGTCTCTAGCTTTCACAGAGTTTAGAGTGGGAAATGCCAAGCTTGGAAAAAGTTATGATCATCCGAAAGATTTTGCAGTTCCAAATCATCTGGACAGGGTTTTGGCATGTTCTTTGTGCCTTACATTGACAAAAATGAAACACATCTTGTACATTGTACTGCAAAAGTAGATGTCAGGAAAAACTTGATGTAACACAATAGTAGATGTCAGGAAAAACTTGATGTAACACAATAGTAGATGTCAGGAAAAACTTGATGTAACACAATAGTAGATGTCAGGAAAAAACTTGATGTAACACAATAGTAGATGTCAGGAAAACACTTGATGTAACAGCAGAAGTCTCACTGCAGTCTTATATTAACACTAACAGACAACTGGGAAAACAATCAGTAAACGTAGCTAGAAAATTCCTTGGGGCCAAAACAATCTATACTTGCAAGACTATGTGACACAAAGATACATACTGCTAGAACTCAGGGACCAATTCTTCTCCAAAATTTATGTGAGGCTGAACTAAAAGTAAGTTTTAAGCAACTTGGTTTAGGATTTGCAACATATTGGTTAGAATAATGGTAAGGCCAAAAACTAGTTTTTAATAAATGCTTGCCCTTTAAATTCAAATTTTTTCTAAAGTAAGCATATATTTATAAGTTTACACCTCAACTTCAAATTAACCTTGATAATAGTGTGCACTGCATAGAACTGCTATTGTGTACCCGCTCACATCAGGCTATCTGCGTAGTTCGTAGAATAAGCCATTATTTTTTTCGAATAAATTAAATCTTTTTTGAGTGAACTTTTGCGAGACACTCTTATTGAACCTAACTTCTTATGTCTTACCTTGGTCAGACTATTGTTGGAAAGATTGATTGAATTGAGGTGTTTGAGACCGCAGAATCCAACAGGGAACTCTACAAGGTTGTTGTGAGACAAATTCACTTCCCTTCAAATATATTATTTAACTATTAATAAAATACAAAAAACTGTGTATTAAGAATTTAATTTCAATAGGACAACAGGTGGGTTTTTTGAAAACAGTTTTAAGCTATCTGCTGCAGTAATTTAATTATATTTTTATTTTTATATATTGGAAATTTGTTATAATGTTTACTTTGATTTACATGAAAGATGATAATAGAGAACACTGTTTCAAGAAATAATTTCAGGATTATAACAAAGAAATTTTTTTGAAATATACATACTTAAGATTCTTGAGTTTGTTGACCCCTGATGGAACTGTGGCTAGGATATTGTAGGATAAATTTAGAATTTCTAGTTTTATCAAATTCTCGAAACTCTCTGGAAGCTCTTTTATCCTACAGTCAAATTCTTCAAAATATAATGCGAGAAAATAAGATTAAAAATATTTTTATAAAAATATAGAAAACACACCCAAATAATCCAAATTACGCTTATATATTATATGCCTTCGGAAATTAAAGGATTTTATAACAGGGGGAGGGGGGATTATTTGTTAGGAAAATATACACCCCTGTGAAATAAACAGGTTTATAACTACTCTAAACCCATGCTACCATGTTTTTTCCAGTAAAATGAATATCATCAAAAATACTTGGCCGTACACTACACAAAGTATTGTATATAGTACAAACCAAATAACATAAATTCAACCATGGCTCTGGTCCTAAATCTGTGTTTAAAATATGCACGACTATATTGAAAGTTAACGTAATGAATAACGGGGTGAATTTAATTCATAACAAATGATATTTTGTTTTTCTCTTATTAAGAATTTGTTTCCTATTTTTAGATATGTTTAAGCTCTTCAGCAGTTTAAATGCACCTGTAACAAAGATTCTAAAAATATGAGAACATTTTTTTTAGCCATTTTATCACGGGTAAATACTTTTAAATGTTAAAAATGATTATATTTTCAGCCATTTCTCAATTATTTTAAACTATTTTTTGATAAAAAAATGTTCTTCCTTTATAGTTCTTAACAAACAAAATTTGTTCAGTGCCAAGGCCCAAAAAATAGGAGTTCTGTATTTATCTAAGAATTTGGAAAATATTTAATCATCAAATGTTTTACCTATATTAGCCGGCAATGAAGGGATCTTATTATTCGATAAATCCAAGTTCCTCAGCTTGTCAGCGACCTAATTTAGAAGAAGTTCTTAAACAGACTTTCAAGAAATAAAGCTTTCTGTTTTAAATTACAAAATAACCAAATGATACTCGTTGACAAATTAGAATATTTGACTTCGACGCAACTATTTCATACCTTCGCCAACTCCGGCGGAAATTTATCAATGCCGCGCTCCGTGAAGTTTAGCGCGCCAGTCTTTTCAGCAGTTTCTAAATGCTTCTTCAAGCTTCCAGCTGCATTACCCATTTTTCAAATTCTATTTATAAATCTGAAAAAAACGTATTTTATCACAGGATTACAATATTTCAAATATATGAGCAATTTATTACTTTTTCAAAAAATTCAAGGATAAATAAAATAATTCACAAGAGCAATGAATTTAAGAAGGCGCAGACATTTCAAACACATGTGTGGCTTAAAATCAGAACTTTTTCAAACAATGCTCTTTTATGATTATTATCTAAATTTGTTTTTAGCTGCACAACTTTGTAAAAGTATAAACATAGTTTGTTCATGTAAGGTTATTTTCCGTGCTACTTTTCACCTTTCAATACATAAAAATTTTACGTTTAAGTTATTGGAACTGGATACAAATACTAATATTGGAACTGGATACAAATACTAATATTGGAACTGGATACAAATACTAATACTGATCGACGAACATACATTCAAGATTTCCTGTAAAATTGTGACATTTGCCGTTTTCTTGTAAAATATGTAAATTATCTAAACTCAGTCTTGAGGCTCCATATACCACGGTCGTTCTCCCGCCTGAAAGAATCATAAAATAAGTTTAAGTTTTTTTTAAACATACACATATCAACCGTTTAAACATACACACATCAACTGTTTAAACATACACATATCAACCGTTTAAACATACACATATCAACAGATTAAACATACACATATCAACCGTTTAAACCTAAACATATCAACCGTTTAAAAATGTCTTCAGCTGAGTCAGCAATTTATATCTCGAAAACGGGATTTAATAAAGCAAAACTGTCAGAGAAACTTCATCTTTTGAAATAAATTAATCTTCATGCTTGAAAAACAAATTAGAACAGTTGACTCCGACCTGAAATCACATATTTGTTTGAGAAATGCCTTGAACAGCGGACTCTTCTGACTTGGCAAAGCTTTCTGGAACTTTCCAACCAACTCCGCCGTACTCGCCTCACCGTCCTTCTTCGCCTAAACATCATGACTCATGAGGGAATATTCAAATACTAAATAGTGTTTTAAAATAAGAAATGATTAGAAAATGTATTAGATTTAAGGGAAAATTCATTGGTTGGTTCCTTAAACTAACAAAAATAAAATAAAAACGATTTCTAAAGGATTATTTTGGAGCGCTGACCACTGACCAGCTATCATCTATCTACACCAAATGGAATAAGGCATCAATGGTTTTTACTGCCGATAACTACCGTTCAAAATTTGTTGCAACAACTTTATATTTTGGTGAAAAAGGTAAATTGCCCGATGATAATTTTTGCAGAAAATTAAGTGGCAAAAATCACATCTAACCTGGAAGGCCACATAATTCCGAATATCTGTAAGAAGATCTAAATCCTCTTGATTTACATTTCCATCCCCACCCCTAGCCCCCTCTCTTCCTTGAGGGAAGAAAATAGAGTCTGGGTTTCCCTCCGACCTAAAAAATATTCTTTTTAATTCAACCCTTACCTTTAGTTGTAAAATGTTAAGAAAAGGTTAGTGTTAACTGGTTAAACAGATTACCCACACTAAGTTAAAGGAGTAACATTGGCAAAGTAATTTTAGTGACTCCCCCTTTATTAAGGAGTGTCATCGAAAATCTTTGACGGTGCCCTTTACGTCTTAAACTGTAACTTTTCTTTGTTGGTCACTTAAAGCAAATCAACAAGTTATGAATTTTTGTAATTTTTTTGGTTTAATCATTTATGTATATATTCTACAATCTTAAAGGATACATTTGTGGAAAATTGGCGACACATTAAAATGCCAGTTAAAATTACGTTAAAATTTACTGAAAGTCTGAGTAAACCTTTCAACTGTCGGAGCAATCAGGTTTCTATTTCTCATTCTCTGAAGTAGATCGGCTGAACTAAGAGTTCCCTTGATTTTTTTACTGAACTTCTTACGAACCATTCCGTTCTGTCCAGTCCAGTTCGGTACACCAGTTTCTGCTGCCATACACTCCCTTCGACTAGCTCTCAGGGCAGATATAGCTAGATCAGCTACCTTGTTGGCCTCGGATTCTATTATAGCGTAGTCTTGAAGACGTCCATCGACGATTGCGTCATGCTGCACAGCACTATGTACACCAGACTTTGCAAACAGTCGTGCCAATACATAGTTATCCTGAGATTGCGCAGTTTTTTCCGCTTCCTCCTCATCTTGTATTGGAGGCTTATATCGTCTAGTTTTTAGCAGATGGGGGACTCTTTCTCCTTCAAACCTTCCTCCTCGATCTTTCTTCATCTTTCTATCTTTCTTCTTCCTATCAGAAGACCCAGGGGTATATTTGAAGGAAGTGGATGGTCTAGGAGTTGAAGTGTAAGAATTTAATGGTTCAGGAGTAGGAGTATATGAAGATGGTCCAGGAGTATAAGTATATTGAGTCGAGGGTTCTGGAGTAGAAGTGTATGAAGTTGAGGGTGCTGGAGTAGAAGTATATGGATTTGAGGGTCCAGGAGTAGAAGTATATTGAGTTGAGGGTTTTGGAGTAGAAGTGTATAAAGTAGAGGGTCCTGGAGAAGAAGTGGATGGCTCATCTGGTACTGAAGTTGACGTAAATGGACTAAATGGCAAACATGCATTCTTAATACTTGCATCAGGAAGAAGTAAAGCTGGTGCAGGAATAGTTTCAGGTGCATCAGTCTTAGCAACTGAAGGAGATGCAGACTGTTCAGAGAAAGGTTTACTCGACGTTACAGAAGATTTTTTAAACTTTGCACTGATGCGTCGAGCCTTTTCTCTCAGCTCCAATCTTTTCGCTTCTGATAGATTAAGTGAACTTTCTTTTTGCATTGCTTGAACAATTTCATTAGATTCTCCAGGTTCTCTTTTAACTCCAGATTCTTGTGGTTCTACGAGTTCCCCCTCTTCTCTTCGTTCTCCTGGATTCTCCTGTTCACGATAGAGACGATTAAGAGATGATTTTACATCCTTTCCCTCGACGCTAGCTCTTTTCTTAGGCTTGAAGGACGGCACAGGGATCTATAAATATCAAATTAAAAGTAAAAGGTAAAATTATTTACTGTACTTTAAAAACAAATATTACATGTAAATGACAAATCTTAATATATTTAAAGCAGTACCCTCTTCTTAGGGGTTTTAGAATATAAAAACTGGCAAACTTTTAAGCTTCTAAAATACAAATACAAAAAAATCTTTCTTAAATCAAAATTTCTCAGGAAAAAGGGGTCAGCAAAAACTAGTTTAAATCTGTTTTAAACCTTTATATTAGTTCCGGTTCCTGCAAAAATGGCAGAGGTCTCAGTTTTATCGTTGTCAGTCTCCGTCAAGGTAAACAGCTCGTACAGATCGTTGGACTTGAAGAACCTTCTCTGTTTGGGATCCTTGAGGACTCTATTGACGAGGAACTGTTTATAGATCTGCCGATGATAGATTTTCTCTTCGATAGTTCCAGAGGTCATCAATCTAAAAAAAAAATATTGTAGCGGAACCAACATGGACTTCCTTATTAGGAAAGAAATCCACCAACAAGATTATATAAATTCACAAATCAGTATTTTCGGAGATGAGAACATGGAAAGATCTACTTATCCTTATCCTCAAATATATTCTCATTACATATGTGATCCTTCTTCTGTTGATAAATATACTATTAAAATATACATTTTTTAAATAAGCGGAAATCCAGGAAAAGCTTCCAACATTAAGAATAATGATGAATAAAAAACGGACCTGTATATGGTGACCTGCTTCTCCTGTCCGATCCTCCAGGCTCGCTCTCGGGCCTTTAGTATTATTATTATAAGAGTTCATTCCCCTCGGTTACAAGGACTAATTTTATCGTATCTTACAATATTCGGCAAAGTTCCATAGTGTTATGAATCTAAATGCAATAGACCAGACTTAATGAACAGTTGAAACCAGTTCTCTTGTTGTTTTGACAAGCATTGTACTGCAAATATAAATACTTCTGTACTCAAAAAATATTCAGACAAGTTGAACATTTTGTATCTTGCCTAAATGATATTTCTAAAAAAGTATAAAATAAAATGTTCCCCTGCTGTACCTGTGTATCTGTACTGGGGTTCCAGTCAGGATCGAAGATTACAACTCGGTTTGCTCCTGTCAGGTTTACTCCCAACCCTCCAACCTAAACAATTAGGTGTTAGGACATTATATAGAAAGGCATTTCATGGACAGAACATTTCAAATATAGGACATTGCATAGATAGCAGATTTCATAATCAGAAAATGTTTATGACAGGTAGTTTCATAGAGAGATAAGAATTTTCATAGAAAGGGAATTTCATAGACAGAGAAGAATTTTCATAGATAGGGAATTTCATAGACAGAGAAGAATTTTCATAGATAGGGAATTTCATAGACAAAGAACATTCAGGACAATTTTAAGTTTTGGGTTAATAAAAATGTGTCACAATTTTAGAAAACTTGGCAAATTACTTTTTCAACTTTTACTTGTTTTTGTTTGTGAGCATTTTCTTTGTAGAATATACAACAATACAAATAAATTTCGTGGATTTAAAAATATATAAAATATGTGTGCAGAATGTAGATTTGATCAGTTTAGAAACATATCTATCTATCTATACAAATACTTTGCTTGTCAGTTTGATAGTCTGTTTGTATCCAATTAACACTCAAAACGGCTGAAGCGATCGGACCCAACTTTTGTGTGGGACCTCACATGACTCCAGGTTTATGAATGATCAAAATTTTAAAATTTTTTAGCAAAGTTCGATTTACATAAATTTTTAACAATCCCCGATTGTTTTCGTTTTTTCTTGTTTTTTTTTTGCGATAAAGACAAAAAAAGAGAAAATGCTCACAATTGAAATAGAAGTTTGCCGCGAAGCACCCTAAAACTCTAATTTTGATCAAATGCATAAAAAATACAGAAAGATAAAATTATAAATCTTCTTCGTGAAAGTTATTGATAATAGGGTATTATTGTTCATTGTTCAAGGAATTTGTACGAGTTTAACAATCAACATTGAAAAAAAAATGAATTTGGTAATTTCCCTCCAAAAACTCATAAATACTTTATCAAATCCGGTAAAGTACTGGGATTTACACTAATTTTAAGTTTTTTTTGTAATTTCAACAATATTGTGCGTATCGAAATGGGACTACAAATTACTTGCTTTTTTACCATTAGCAGAAAGGATAAATATTGAATCCTGTTCTTCAAGAATAAAAATGAAGAAGAAGATCTACTTTACCTTAGTAGTAAGGATGAACAGGAAGATATCCTTGCTCTCATTAAACTTTTTAATGAGAGGTTGCCTAGATCCTACTGTAGTTGTTCCATCGAGTTTCAGATAGCTGTAACCCTACAATAAATTGAGTGGTGTTTTTTTAAGTTAAGTGCCCTACAGTAAAATCATTTACCCCCCCCCCTTCGAAAATCATTTTTTTGTTGCCTGGAGTTAGTATTTTTAAGGGTTTTATTTGCTGAATGGGGAAATTGAATGAATTTTAGGGGAAAATCAATAAATTGGGTTAAACTATTTTCTTATGTCCAATTTTTCATTTTTCTTTTTTCCACTAACATCAAAAATTGCACAATGACCCCCCCCCCACCGGGGAGAGTAATTCTTAAATTATAAACGACATTTTAACTTCTCTAATATTTCCTTGAGCCAATTATGAGATAGACGGATTAGAAGAAAAGTTTAAATCATTCCTTTCATTAAAAACTAAAAAGTTGTATTACTCTTGTTACCTGACTAACAGCGTAGTTCTGTAGGACCTTCAACATCTGCCTGGACTGAGTGAACAGAAGAACTCTGTGCCCCTGAAGTTCAAAATATTAAAGAAAAAAACGCGTTGGCTAATAAAATTTTCTTCAAATTTTTACTCATAAAAAAAACTTAAAAATCAGGCACCTCACCTTGAGGCTTACATCCCAGTACTAAAAGGGAGTGCTGAAGTGTCGAGTGACTTATTGGCATGGGACAGATATAGACTTTTCAAAATCTATAAATTAAAAGCTACCCCCCTACAATTTTTTAAAAATGCATCTCAAGATTTTTTTGTGAGTTATTTGTGCTAATTCTCTAATTCCATTTTCGATTACCTGCTTTTTCCATATTTTCAGCAGAGAGTGTATTACGAGCATTTTCCCACTTCGTTTATACCATCCGAACCTCTGGGCCTCCTCGTCCTCCTCCCCATCCTCCTGCCCTGAACAATTATCAGGGACCGGAGGTGCGAAGAGGTCAGGATGATTACATATCTTTCTCAGAGCAATTAGTCCCATAAACACCTTCATCCCACCCTCGAGGATAGATTTGGTCTCACGAGAGTCCAGGTAACCTCGGTACAGCCTCCGTTGGATATCAGTTAGTTTACAGAACAGAACCTGGATATACAATCTATATATATATATACTTTGCTTGTCTGGGTGTCAGTTTATTGTTTGTTTGTCTCCAATACAAGTTAAAACGGCTTAACCGATTGTGTGGGACTTCACATGACCCCAGGGAAAATTAATGGAACATCAATATTGGAAAACAAATTTAAGGAAAATAGTTGATTTTTTAAAATAGGCCTAAGACAAATCCTTCGAAATTTTAAAATGATTTAAAATTGCCGACTTTCAGAGCAACACTCAGTAAAAAGCTAAAATTATTAACAGGAAGGGGTGCTAAAAGTCTAGTTCATTAAATACAAGGCAATACATTTGAATCGGGATTTAGGGATACATATTCAAATGCAATTGCGTCTATTAACAAGTAAGCATTATAATTTATTTAAACCTATCATTTCAGTATCAAGGTAAACCAAATCAGTCAAACATCTCTTCTGACCCTTTTTATGGTAAGACAACGCAAATAAAAATTTTTTTTTGGGGGGGGGATTAACAATAGAAAATCGAATATTGGAAAACATAAGTTTCCTGTGTTAACTTTTAAATAGGCCTCCACTAGTCCACTACCTTATCAATCAATCAACAAATCTATCAAACCAACCAATCAATCTTTCCGTTGACCTGTTCATTCTTCTCCGGTAGATTAATATGCTGTTTTACGTCCTCCTTCATTCTCCTGAGTAGGTACGGGTTTATAGTATCACGAAGTATGGTAGCACACTTGAACGCCGTAGCAACCTGAATAAAAAATAACATTTTACAAAGCCTTTTCTTTAATGACCATTAAATAGTTCTTTTTCAAATTAATACCGACTCCAGCTTTTAAAAGAATTAAGGGTAAGAGGCCCATTACCCAATACAATATAAAAGCATGAATTTCCCGATTTTTTAAACCTTCTAAATTCAGATGTCTGAATATAATTAAAAATCCTTCCTCGGCCTAGGGAAGGAAAAAAGATTTTGGAAGATTTGGGGAAACCAATAAAAAGTTAGAAGGGGGTGAATATAATAAAATCACTGTTTAAAAACATTTTTCCCCAGAAGAAGTTTCTTCACTAAATTGATGAAAATAAATGTTTGGGGAAAAGTATCAAAAAGTTTGAAAAAACTTGCTTTTCATGTTAATTTATTTTCTTTTTGCCCTTTATCGTCAAAAATCATCCCCCCTTCCCGGCCACAAGTGGAGGGGAGAGATTGAAATTCTTAAAATTATACACCTCTAAAAATTTGACATCAACTAGCACGTTTTTCCCAATCTTCAAAACTTTTCATCCTCAACAATAATAATTCTAATACCACTTGCAAGGATGTTTTTAAATTTTTGAGCTTTTGTAGAAATACTCATTAAAATATTTTCTTTCGTCAATCAATTAATCAGACTTTAACCCAGGGAGTAAGGAATAGAAGGGAGATATAACTGACGCGGTTCGCCCTACCATATGATTAACATGCTTTGCAGACGGGTACTTCATTTGTATATGAAATATTCAGAATAGGTTATTGTATAAGCAGTAATTGTACACCCGACAAATAGTTCTTATACAAATGGAGTACCCGTCTGCAAAGCATGTATAATCATATGGTAGGGCGAACCGAGTCAGTTATATCTCCCTTCTATTCCTTACTCCCTGCTTTAACCTCATCAAAATCTCATCATGACTTACACAAATCTGAGATTTAAATAAGGGTTTAAAATTACAATTCGCGAATGAAATGCAGTAATCCAAGGACTAAAAGAAAGCCCCTCTTGTATTGGTTCTTGACTCTTGAGTCACTAAGGTGGGTTAAAAACTTCAAGAACTTAAAACGAACTAAACGTAATTTAATGTGACTCTCCATCTCCATCTGGAAGTACCCTTGTAAGAAATGCAGGAGTAATCAATAATTTCTCGTTAAAAGTTGATCATTTTTAATTGGGGTTTCTGGCACTTCCGCTCTAGAAACAGTATGGAGAAAAATTTCAGAATTTAACAGCTCTGAGGTTAGAAAACCGACAAATTCTTCCAAATTATTAATTAGATAAAAGCTTAAAGGGTATATCGTTGTGAATCGAGCATATCCCTTTTTAAATGGAAGGTCACTTGAAATTACAACAAAAGTCCTTAAAATAATTCACAACACTTTTTAGCTGGAGCCGGAAAAAAATTTCCCCTTCAAGCCGACGCACCTGAACCTGTGACGCATTAGCGTATCCTCCCTGTGTGATGGGTGCACTGAACTGCTGTATGAAGGTGGGTAGGGTCCCCAGTTTACCAGGGTAAATGAAATCAAACAAGCTCCACAGCTCCTTCAGGTTGTTCTGCAGGGGGGATCCTGATTAATAAAAACCAAAATAAAAGATAAAATATTTTGAGGAATATTTTCATAAAAAAAAAACAGTTTATTTCATTGATCATTTTAAATACGTTTTTAGGCTGTTTTGATGACAGTATTGTGGCAGCAATTTTCCTTGTTATAAGCTTCAGATATTAACGGTAATTAACATTACCGTTGTGAAAAAAGCAACACGAAATTCTTTTTTATTGGTTTATTTAAAGGGATATTTCTCCAGGCAAAGATGCCCGATTTACAACGGTAATCTTAATCTACTCAAATATGAGAAAGACACCATCGCATCGTTTTTCTCACTCGAAACGAGTATTTCTTTAAGTTTCTCCATTGCTATTTTAAATTAAGAAATGCGCAAGTCCCTTTCGCAAAGAAACCGCAACTGAAAACGAACAGTTTAAAGAAAGCAAAAACATGATATCTAATTCATTCTTAATCAGACAATGGTTTCAAGGGTACCATTGTTAATCGGCCATTGCCATTTTTTCACGAAGGGTCACTTGAAATTACGCTTACAGTCCCTTTAAGTTTTACTTGCCTGAGAGTATTATTCGATGTGGAGTAGCAATTTGCTTCACAACCAGGGTTACCTGAAATATATCAAATCACAAAAAAAAGCTTCGATGAATTATTCTTAAATCAAGAAGACCTAGGCCTCATCTAATGCTACCAAAAAAACTGTTTTAATCAAGATCAATCTATAAGTTCAAGATCCTGCATCTATAAAATAAGATCCTGAATCTAAAAGATCAAGATCCTGAATTTGTAAAATAAGTAACCAGAAAAGGTACTATCTTTTAAAGTTCTTTTTCTAAAAATCGATTTTTGAAATTTTAATGCATTTTTCCCGCTAAATTATAGGCTGAAACTTGATCTACTAGAGATCAAATGGAGTTAATCCAGGGAGTTTAAACGGTTTCTAAGCACTGTATGTATTGTATGTAAGTATGTACTATGTAATATGTATCCACATCGCATATTTTCATACGTTCTAATTAGGTGTTCTCAAAAGTACATTCTCAATGTGTTCTCCTTTGTGCATTCTTGTTGTTGGAGGAGTAGTTTTAAAAACAACCAACAATACCCCTGAAAATTTTAATTTCCAAGCTCCCACCTTGGCGTCTGGATTTCTGATTTTATGTCCCTCGTCTAGGATGATGTACTCCCACTGTAGGCTGGTCAATACATCCTGGTGGGTCACCATAGCCTACAGGATGAACAAACCATCAATTAATGAACGCTAAAATAAAAAAAATGAGAAGGAAAGATTCTAAATTTTTTTTAGGTATAAAAAAACGTAAAACGTGCAAAAACATGGAAAGTGTTGCTACTTGCCTGATAGGATAGAACAATAATACCTCGCCAGGCATTCATCTGTCGTATAAAGGAACTCTTTGATCCACTAAATATACTCAATTAAATCACATCCAGGGGGGGACGAGGGGGGGCCTTGGGTGCTCGTTGCCCCCCCCCCCCGCCGCGCCGCTTGCCTCAATCATAAAATGATTTTATATGATGTGGAGGAAAAAATTGAAATTTTATTCTATCTTCTTGATATTATTTTTTCTCACAAAATTCAGCACATTTACATTATCTCACATAACAGAATGAAAATGACTATTTTAGCCTCTTAAAGATATTTTAAGAATAGGATGACAAACATCAGAAATAAGCTGCAATGCAAATCTCAAAATTTCGATCATTGAATTTAGAAAATGAAAACTTTTACCTAAATGATCCTGAAGTATGGAGAACTCCAACTCGGAAGGGAGGCCACCATTTGTGAAGTTCAGACACCCACTGGTGCAAAACTGTTGTGGGACAAACTATAATGGTTGCTCCTAAACCTAAACAACAGGGAATAGATAAAATGTATTTTAAACATCAAACACTAAAATATTTCGAATAATATTTTAGGGAGTAAATATTTTTTAGTGGTTTCTTCTTTGATCTTGTAGATGTAATAAATGTGAAACTGTTTTCACATCTTATGACAAGTGAGGATGAAAAAAAGGATATCAACATCATCTAGTTCTAACATTAAAAGGAAAGTGTTTGCATCTTATGACAAGTAAGGATGAGATCTAACATCATCTAGTTCTAACATTAAAAGGAAAGTGTTTGCATCTTATGACAAGTAAGGATGAGATCTAACATCGTCTAGTTCTAACATTAAAAGGAAACTGTATGGACATCTTATGACAAGAGAGGATGAGATCTAACATCGTCTAGTTCAAACATTAAAAGGAAACTGTATGGACATCTTATGACAAGAGAGGATGAGATCTAACATCGTCTAGTTCTAACATTAAAAGGAAAGTGTATGCATCTTATGACAAGTAAGGATGAGATCTAACATCATCTAGTTCTAACATTAAAAGGAAAGTGTATGCATCTTATAACAAGTGAGGTTGAGATCAAACATCATCTAGTTCTAACATTAAAAGGAAAGTGTATGCATCTTATGACAAGTAAGGATGAGATCTAACATCGTCTAGTTCTAATATTAAAAGGAAACTGTATGGACATCTTATGACAAGAGAGGATGAGATCTAACATCGTCTAGTTCTAACATTAAAAGGAAACTGTATGGACATCTTATGACAAGTAAGGATGAGATCTAACATCGTCTAGTTCTAACATTAAAAGGAAACTGTATGGACATCTTATGACAAGAGAGGATGAGATCTAACATCATCATGTTCTAACATTAAAGGGACTTAAAGCGTAATTTCACTCCATACAAAGATGGCTTTGTCCGATTTACAGCAGTACCTTTGAAACCTTATTCTTATCGAAAATGTGGAAGATACCGTCGTTATTCTGACTTGAAAAGCGTTTATTTCTTTGAGTTTTTCCATTGCTTCTCATAAACAGCAAATGCGGGAGTCACTTTGGCAAAGAAATTGCAAATGAAACTAAACAGTTTAAATAAACATTGATATCTAATTAATATTTGATCAGACAAAGATTTTAAGGGAACCGTTGTAAATCGGGAATTGTCATCTGTGCATGAAGAGTCACTTGAAAATACGCTTACAGTTCTATAAGCTGAAATTGTCATGATGAGTGCTTTCGCTTAGGATCCAGAACATGTTGAATACAAGGGACAAAAAATTCAACCAAAACCAGCATAAAATGTTGTTTTCAAAACACAAAGATTATCAGCAACTAGTTTCAGCATAAAAAAGAATATGAAAAAGAAATTTGATGAAATGCACTTGTTCATAAAAATGTAAATATTTAAAAGAAAGAAATATCTATGACCTGGATTCTCATCAAAATATAAGCACCAATCATGACACCTTGCATTGTGAAGAATAAGAATTTTGAAAATGATCTAGTTCTATCTTTAATTGTGGGACAAATGATTGAACAGCAAAAGGCCACTTTTTTAATTCTTTATGATCCTTTTTACCCCAAAAAAATGCATTTATTTTCCCCTAGATATCATTCATTTTCCTAAGTTCATCGATTCAACCCTAAAAAAATTTGAGGGGGGAAAATTATTTTTTGAGAAAATATACCTTCCTGACATAATCTAGTTCTAACCTGATGTTGAACTGTCAGCAGATCTTGTAAATGATAAAGAAGCAAGGAAACAAATCATTTGAACAGTTTTCCCTAAACCCATCTCATCACCTACAAATCAACAAGAAAAGTAAAATGAAAATTCTAAATCTTACCATTTACTGTTATTTAATCGTTTTATCCTGAATTTCTTATTTACGCTACTATAATGTTAAAGATCCCGTGTTTCTATTCCTGGACTTATGTTTTTGATATTTTTCCCACACCTTCATAAATCCCCCCCATCCTGACATAGAATTCCACTTCTTTCTAAACATCTCATCTTTGACAGATGCCAGTCGTTTCCTTCCAAGGGTGTAAGTAATTAAGTAAAATGTAAATATTCGTAAAATATTATTATATTACTAAGAAGTATTAAAACCTTCAAAATAGAGACATTGTTGGAGCATTTCTCCACAATTTCTGAATATTATTTATTTTTTTCTTCAGGGTGAAATGGTTTCAGAAGATCTGGGGGGGGGGATAAAAACTTGGACATCTAAGGGCATATTTTTTACTCGTTGTCACATCTTTTATCCAAAAATGTATTTATTTTCCAATAAATATCATTCATTTACCCCAATTTTTTGCGGTCCGCGCAAACACACCGATATTCTGAAGGGAAAATGATTTTCAAAGAAAATATACATCCGTGCCTCCTTTCTTAACAACTCACCTAGAATTCCCCCACAACGTTGTAGATGTAACTCATACATCCACTGAACAGCTACTCGCTGAAGATCAAACAAAAATAGCGGGATGTTTCAAACCTTTTTATGGGAGACAAAACAGCACAGTTTCAGCTTAAACCATGATATTTTATACAAAAAATAACTCAGTTTAGTTGATTTGCTTTTTATTTACAGTTCTTATCTAAGTCGTCTTTGACCTTGGAAATTGTTTGCGACATTTAACGTAGGTAACCTCATTTTAACAATTTTGTTTTTATGAAACTATCATTAGAGACAAGCCTAGTCCTGTAAATTCCAAAATGTGGTTAGCCATTTTAGTGCTTTCATAGTTGCCGTAGAAAATTATTTTGTTCAGAATGAGACATTATCATATCTCTGGCATTTTTAAACGCAAAAAAATGGTAGACCACATTTTGGAAATGGCAGGGTTAGGGCTGTTTTTGATTAATGTTTCATTCAAAAATATTGCTAAAATCAGGATACCTTTAATGAATGCTGCAAGCTAATTCTAAGGTCTTAAACTTTTTAAGTTATCAATCAATTTATATTTTATCGGGTTAATTAGAATAGGCCTGTAATAAAATCTAATTCTGTTTTTTTATATTTAAGCTTATTTGATCCCTGATAGTTGAATAAGCGAGACCAGAGGAGTGCAGGAATCCTAAGTCCTTCCTAATACAATAAATCAATTAAATTCAACATTTTCAAGGTAGATTTTGGCAGATGGGGCCTTACAATGTTATTGCTTGTTAAGATTAACAAAACTTTAAATTAAAAAGTAAATTAGAATTGACTTTGTACGAACGCATCATTTTAATTCTTTTAATACTTCAAAAATTACAGAAATGAACTTTGCATCTTTACCTTAAGCTTTTCGTACTGTCCGTCCATGTTGGCCTCCTCTTCTGTTCGAGTTTTCTCCCATCGAGCCAACCTGAAACAAATAATCCATCAATGTGGGGTGGGAGGGGGGGGGGCATATTTTGAAAGAATTGGAGAAGAACAAAAAGATTTATAATCTACATACAAAATGGTAGCGAAAGTCCAACCTGGCAATGTACATTTCTTTGTTCCCGTCGTCCTGAGCTCTCTTCAACTTCTTCACAACCTTCTCTTCCTCATCACTGTCCGTCAACCAGTCCTCATCCTCGTACTCATCCTCATCTTCAGAGTATTCACTTCCAGGCTCATCTAAATCAGGAATTTATGTGAAAGGGGCTGTAAGCATGATTTCAAGTAAACCTCAAGTGTGTCATTTCCTTCTCACAACGGTAACCTTAAAAGCTTTGTTTAAAAAAAAACACCTAAAATTACCAAATTACCATTGCTGGGTTTGTTACAAAAGTAACTTGCGCAATTATTGCTTCAGAAACATTGTAGAAAATGTCAGAATCAACACATTCCAAGCTGGAAAGACGGCATTATCTTCCACATGAATGACATGATTATGGTTTCCGTGTTACCGTTGTGAGTCGGACACGTCCCTCTTTTAAAAGGCGAGTCACAAATTACAATCACAAATTAAGTTAAATAATGGATGGCGCGAGGATTAATAAAAAGAAAACGATTTTAAAAAGAGTGGTGGCATCCACCATCAAATTCTTGGAAAAAAAGGGCGGAAACATATGGCATTTGATAAAATAAAAACATGATACATAACGAAGAGATCTTTTAAAGGTTATTAAAATACAGTTCAGAGTAATCATTTCTGTGTCACCTTTGTCTCTCTTAATTTTTTTCAGTTTTTTCTTGGATCCTAAATCCTTTCGGCATTTTTTATTCTTTCTCTTCTCTCCTTTCTGTTTTCTTGAAGAAGTAGTACTCTGAATACCCGATTCACCTCGGCTCAGATTCTTCATGTAACTGCCTGAGAGTAAGAGAGGTCATTGTGAAAATTTGAGATGACGCCTTTGAAAATCCCAACACTCAGCTTTAATCTAAAGTGTTTTTTTTCATTCAAATGGAACAAATTAGCAATTAATAACGGAAGAAATTAATAAAACTTTAAAACTGATATAAAAGTTTAGAAGTCACTTTAAATTATTTTAATTGTCCCTTAGTCCCCTACCTATTTTAGCTTTAGCATCGAACTGCAAAGAGGTTTGCAGCGAGGATCCGAAACCTGTAATTTCTCCAAGACGAACTCCTCTCTGCATTTCCGTCTCCGCCGCTGTTTCGGTTTCCCCTTCCGACGCTCCCATGCCAACTGGGGCTTCGAGAACAGAGTTTGTTTCAGGGCGAAATTTACCTAAAATTCAAATGTTAAGTGATTACCATCCATTCACAAAAACATAAGACAAGCGAATTATCAATGTTAATCCAAANGATCCATGTACAAAATTGGTAGGAGGGGGGTAGAGGGCCTGGGGGGGGTCCAAACATCGTTTTTTTTCCTTTCCTACCTTTTGACTAATATCCTGAGCTCCGAAACGACAGTTTTCAATCTCTTCTTCGCCCTTTCCTCCGTTTCCTTTCTCTGTCGTTCGGCCATTTTTATTTCTATTTTATTCATAATTTCCTTCTCATAATCTTCATGACTCCTCGCCACAATTCCAATCTCTTCCATGTCGTCCTTTTCGCTTCTATTTCCTGATTCAGTCATCTTGAAACTTTCTAGTTCGACCCAGCTAAATTTATTTAATAATTATGAATAATTAATAAACAATATTCCAAATATGCCAAATCTACATGACATCTGAAAATATATTGTGTCAGTTGGTAATTTCTCGCTTCGTTTCCGTTATTGTCAAATTTTTATTTAACAATTTATTTTTACACTTTTCCCACTTTTGGGACTTTAATCTTACTGAGGACACAGCAGCTAACTGTAAAACTAAAAATCTTCGACGTGCGTAAAATTTAGGCTGCTGAAGTTTCATCATCGAACAATAATTGCGGCATTTGAAATTGAATTATCTAACACTTTCAGGGGTTTCAACTTTTTTAGTATTTTTCTTTGAAAAATTTTCTTGTATTTTTCTGTGATTTGACGATTCAATCTAACATTTAAATTTCCTTATTATTTTTATATAAAATTTTCAGTTGACCCTGTTTTATGCCGCGTAAGACACATGTTTCAAAATTTTCAGTTCGGATTCGGTGACCGGTCGGCTCGTCGTAACTCGTAAGTCGTGAGCCGCAGTTCAGGGTTCTGGACACTTCTGGTTGCTAAGTGACTGTAGCTGCAGACACTTTTCTTGAATGTGGCTTTTTAAAAACCAAATGGTTGTGAAAAAAATCCGATGGCTTTATGGCTGTCATGTGAACCAAACGTTCAGAAAATATCCCTAATTTATCGAGATTACTCAATGCTGGGGTTCGTCCTAGATTGATTGATTGATAAACGTTTTTTTTCTATACACCTTATTACTGGTGTCTTAAATCGTTCGTCCTAGAGAACTATTTTTGGACACCCCTCAGAATAAACACATTCCAAGCTGGAAAGACGGCATTATCTTCCACATTAATGACATGATTATGGTTTCCGTGTTACCGTTGTGAGTCGGACACGTCCCTCGTTTAAAAGGCGAGTCACAAATTACAATCACAAATTAAGTTAAATAATGGATGGCGCGAGGATTAATAAAAAGAAAACGATTTTAAAAAGAGTGGTACAAAAATCATCGTTCTCTAATAGATTACCCAAAGTTGTAGTTTAGTGTAGTGGGCAATGGTTGAGATTTAATTTTTTTCTTTTTGGTTTTCCATAGAAGTTTTAAGTTCTAATGCTTTTTGCTTATTTGAACTGTTTTTCTTATTTGAAAGCTAAGTTTTGGTTAAAATTGAACTTAATTGTTCTGTTCATTTGAACTACTTTTTTCTCATTTGAACTATTAAATGCTTCAATCAAACTATTTTTTGGTCATTTGAATTATTTTTATGTCCATATGTGAACTAAATTTTTTATCACAAACTATTTGTGATGATTGTTTGATCTATCTTTTCATGGAAATTTTAAACTGCATATTTAATAATTCAAATGAAGAATAAATAATGTTTTGTTTGATCTACATGAAATGTCGTCATTATCAGTAGTTAGAATGAACAATAGTTAAAACGATCAATAGTTCAAATGATCAACAGATCAAACGGCAGTATAGTTTAAATGCGGATCCACTCATGTAGAAGAATTATTGGACCCCCGCCCAACCTTTCATGATATTGTACATGATATGTTGACCATGTCATATTTGGACGCATTGTCCGGCCCCATAGCTGGGTCTGTATTAGAGTACGATTTGGAACCCCGCCCCCTCCCCCTCCTAATAATTTTATACGTGACATCGAATGGAATTAAATTTTACAATATAATGTTTATTTATTATTATTTCATGGTTAGGTTAGGTAAATTCAATATTTGGTTCGGGCTCTGCGACTATGGAAGGCTGGGAGACTGAGCCTCAGGGATAGGAGATTCAGCGCCACGGCTAGGGCATATGACCAATTATATACGTGTTACATATGAGATGTATGCAAGTACTAAATTGATATGAGAAGGGAGGGAGGTCCGAAAATCGTACAATAGGAAATTACCCCCTAGCCTGTCCTAGCCGCAGTGGCCGGTCCAGAAAGTGTCTTAACCAAGTATAACACTAAACAAATATGTATTTCATATAAATTTTTTCGTGAAGGGGGGCGGGGTGCCAATAGCCTTTCTCTAAGACAATTTAAGGTTCGAACGCTGGGGTTGGGATAGGCTAGTGGACCGAGTGCTGCAGCTAGTGGACTATGCGCTGCTAAGCTAAGTAGTGAGATATGTGTTACAAGTGAAGAAGGCCAACCCAAAAATTTCCCGGCCGGCAGCGGCCAATCTGTGTTACTCGCGAGCTAGTTCCAGCCGCGACGCTCGGCCCCCTAGTCATTCCTAGCCACAGCGCTTGGCACAGAAAATGTCTAAACCTAACCTTGTAGAACTACTGTCAATTGAACAAGACAAGTTACTGTAGAAAACTGTATTTCATATAATATACAATGTGTTTATATAGTAAGGTGGATTGTTCTAGAATCAGGCTTGGACGATAAATTGTTGTGGTTGGCCTTCCTCCCCTCGTGTTACACATGAAATATACGTACACATCTGAAAGTGCCAATATTATAAAAATAAATCATGATCCAATAAATATGAGAAATGGGGGGGGGTATGAAATAACTTGATATCATGATGGAAAACTTCACGTTTTTGGTTGGTTGACCATTTGGTCAGTCCTTAGTTATGTGAAAATAAATAAGTTTATTTCAGATAAAGTATTTTTTTGATATCATGATTCCGCCCCCACCTCCTCCTCTTCCTTCTTCAAATTCAAATCTTGATGTGCACCCTCCGTCAATTCCTCCTTCCCCTCCCATTCCTCCTTCCCCTCCCATTCCTAGTCCATCTTACCTTCCTCCCATTCCTCCAGCTCCACAAAGTACACTAGTTTCTCTTTCTGTAGCTTCGAAAATATCTCCAGCAAAATTAAGGTATTAAAAAATATGATTCAGTCCAGATATATGGAGTTATAAATACTTCTGTTTTACATTATTATTATGAACTTCTAAACCTTACTTATGTAAAAATGATTTAGAGGACGCAGAAATGACGAAGAAGTTGAAGAGGATCCAAAGTCAGTTATTCTTGAGGCCATTAAGAGGCTGAACAACTTTTTTCCAGGTAAAAATCTGATTCAAACTACAATTAAAATTGAAGAATTGACATTATATTTTTATTTCTAGAGTATGCGTCATGTATGTTTCAAGTTTTTAACCAAAACGCCCCTGCTTTACTTCAGGTTATAATTATTTAAATATTAATGATGATCTGGGAAGAAATCAATTTGACATTTAAAGGAACGTTTACTGTTCCATTAAAGAAAGAGTAAACGTTACTTGTTACTTGTTCCCCCCCCCCAAAAAAAAAAAATTATTAACCATTAAAAATTGTTTTGTTTTTTTTAAATTTGGATAAATTAAACCTGAAAATAAATTTCTGCTATGCTCAAACATCCCCACCTTCTAGGGAAAAAAAATATTTTAAAGGGATGGGGGAAAATGATTTTAAGTAAATATTCACCCCTGGAAGCACTGGAACGAGCGTTTTACTGTGTGTATGGCTGCCAGGATGAATAATATCTGATTAGGAAGTAGCACAGTGTAGCCTGGTTACTTTGTGTATGGCTGTTAATAGGAAAGACTAATAATATCTGATTAGGAAGAACCACAGTGTGGTCTGGTTACTTTGTGTTTGGTTGCTAATAATGAAAGAATGATAATATCTGATTAGGAAGGACCACAGTGTGGCCTGGTTACTCTGTGTATGGCTGCTAATAATGAAAGATTGAAAATATCTGATTAGGAAGGACCACAGTGTGGCCAGAGCTAAAAACTTTTGAATGGTGGATATCGGGATTAAGGTTTGATCCACTCTTTTTGTTTTTCTTAATCTCGAGATTAAATAATGCGTGTTCTCCTCATGTTATTAATCTCCAGATTAATTAACAGATTGGGATTAAGGATATTTCATTCTAAAGTTTTCAGCTCTGGTTACTTTGTGTATGGCTGTTAGGAGGAAAAACTAATAATATCTGATTAGGAAGGACCACAGTGTGGCCTGGTTGCGCTGTGTATGGCTGCAAGAATGAAAGGGCTGAAATTAAACCCTGCTGTATTACTCCAGAAAGCTAAGGACAAAGGCTACACAAAGGTTAGTTATAGATATTTAATATAATTTGTTTTTTTAAAAAGGTTATTTATTTTTTATTGGTTTTTCCTGTCATTAAATCCTGACTTCTGATCTCATTAATCCCTTACTTTGAATCTAACTAAATTCTAACCTTTGACCTCACAAAATATTTGAAATGATATAATCCAAATATTTTTCTTTTATCCAAAAAAAAATTCGTCTTTTGAACTTCTTAAAAATATCACTTTCACCTCATGAAGCCTGACTCAAAAATCAAAAACCCTGAATTTCGACTTCGAGAAAACCTCCCTTAGGGGTGTTCAGTTTTAGGGTCACTTTTGGTACAGACATGCAAGGTCGCTAAAAGAGTTTCAAAAATAGTTCTAAAAAAAATTTAAATTTTTTAGGTTGCACTAATCGATTGAAATTTCAACATATTGTGTTTTTTTTCCAGAATATATGCCCGTAGTTTAGATATCGACATGTTTAGAATGTTTATAATACATACCAAAAAAAATTTTAACTTGAACGGTGTGTGCCAAATGTGTTTTTAAACTATGGATAAAAATCTCAAATCAATTTATCAATCAATATGTCTACAATAAAGTTCTAAAATTTTCTAAAATAAAGTCGTCCAAATGAAGTTCAACTTTTTAACTTCATTCCGAATTATATCAGATTGATTGTTGGTTTAGTTGACAATCAAAATTTATCCTTTCATCTTAACTAAGTGAACTATTTTCGTTTAATTTTCACAAACAAGGTGTCATTGAAACGCTAATAATTTCAGTTATTTCCCTGTGAAAATGTTTTCCTTTCTATTTCTCATAATTTTTCTGTTAGCACTTAGTAATTTTTTTTTACCATATTTAGATCAAATATTTTTAATGAAAACGCGAGCTGTGTAATGTACTGATATACCGGCATTTCAGCAGGAAGGTCCTATCTCTTTCTCTCTCTCTGGTATGATACCTGTCCCCAAGGTGGCCCCTACAGCTGTTGCTATGGGGCGAGATAAACACAACCTTTAGTTAACATACTTGACAATGAGTTTTACTCATTGAGTTCTGGGATTATATAGGGAGTGTTTATAAGCTGGTGTAGAGGTGGAGCTAAAACTGTGGTTCAGAGAAGGTATTGAGTACTTCAATTTCTCAAAATTGCAAGCTCCATGGTCTCAGTCCTTAAGAACCCGAAGGAGAAGGAGGAAAAGGATAAAGAGGAGAACATGTGAAAACACAAACCACAATGTCACCGCTCCGTTGGAGGAGAGGTCCATGAGAGCCCCCCAGTCCGAGGAGAGGTCCGTGAGAGCCCCCACCAGTCCTATATCTAAATCTGATCCATTACCCCCGTCAAATATGGATAACCCTATGTTTGGATATTGCGAGGACAAGAAGTGCCGGTTATGTCCAGTTATATCAACTGAAAAAGTGGGAAACTACTATGCATGTTTTACAAATAGTTCATTAAAGTGCTGTTGTCAGGCTCTACACTGGCATTCTAAAACGAAAATCTGCCTGACATATAATGATATACAAAATCTATAGAAAAAGAAAATGTACTAAATCCTTTTAATTGATAAAAATAGTGAAAAAGTTTAAAAACCAAACATAAAATATATATGTAATCGTACAAATCTTAATCAATAATGTATGCATTCAACTTTTTACTGAATTAAAATATTTAGATTTTAAAAAGATATATAAAAAATAGCTAATTTTTTCGACTGAACAAAGTTCACATAGAATATGTCGGTACCATAGCTTTATTTTTTTATTTTTTTAAATGCCATTTTATTTTTTGATTGCTCTAGCTCAAAAACTAATTATCTATTATCCAAAATTTTACCTTAAAAAGAAACCTCAGATCATCAGTTTACTTTTTTATTCTTCAAGAAAATCTGTCAAGTTTTTCATAGTAATCTAAGAACAATTGAAAATAATTGAAAATATTAAAAACTTGAAAACACCGGGCAATCTTTTAGTATACTCAAAGAAGTTATTGTAACATAAAAAGTGTGAGGCCCAGAAAGAAGGGCGTTTACTCAAACTAAAGAATTATGGTTCAATATGATCGGAATGGGATTAGGGATTTCCTTATTCTTAAATAATCTTCCTTTTTTTTAAATGCAGTCATTTCCTAAATATGAATCACTAATCTGACCTCAATGCAAAATTTCAGAAAATGGCTCCAAAAATGAAGGCATTAATCCACCCTGAAAATTTGTGACAGTTGATTGGAAATGTGCCGATTTTTGAAAATATTCCTAGAGTTAATCACTAATCTGACCTTCATGCTAAATCTCAATAAAATAGCGCTTTAAATGAAGGCGTGAATCCACCTCGAAAATTTGTGTAATTTGAGGGAAAATGTGCCCATTACCCTTTCAAGCGATTGGTGCAACCTATAATAAATTTAAAAACTCAAATAAAATTTTGCAACTTTTTAGCGACCTTGTTTGTCTATACCAAAAGTGACCCTAAAAATGAACACCCCTAAGGTACTCCCTGTTTCAGCAAGGGGAAATGTTTAGTGCGGCCAACCTTTTGGAGCTTACCCAGGTACAGAATGGATATTACATTAAGAGTTCTTTTTTATAATAAATAATAGATATCAAATGACGCCCCCACCCAACCACCCCACTCTTCTCCAAGAATATTATTTTCAATGATGTGAGATTTTCATGAATTTTGGGTGGATTGTAGTATTACACTTTAAGGTGTATGTGAAATTTTTTAATTCGGTATATTCCTAGAGAAAATGGATCTTACAGAAAGTGTCTTAACTTAACCTAATCCGTGGCTGCAGCGCTCGGCCCCATAGCCTGTCCTAGCCTCAGCGCTCGGCCCAGAAATTGTCTTAACCTAACCTAACCTTAAATAATACAAAATAACTTAAAATTCAAGGTCATGTACAAAATTGATAGGAGGTGGGGGTGGCCGCGGGGGGGGGGGTCCAAAAATCGTTCTTTAGGACAGACCCTTTAATTCATCCGTTTCAACATAATTTTTATTATTCAAGGAAGAACTCAATGTTGTATGTAGTTTACAGGACTCAAATATACTACTGGAAGAGCAAAATCTAATTCAGGTCATTTTGATTCTAGATTTTAACTTAAACACTTTTTATTTGTTGGACAATATTTTTGAAAAATATTAATACTCACACTCTAGAAGTGATAGAAAATAAATATTTCTTTCAAATTTTTGTAAACCGTGTTGAGTTCACACTGTTTATGTGAATCCTAGCGGTACCGTTATACATCGGGCATAGTCGTTTTGCTTGAGAGGTTCACTTGCAATTTTGCTTGCAGTCTCTATATTGTCATGGTTATTGTTAATAATAACCTGTTTTATACGTTTTAAAGAAACAAAAGGGAAATTTAAAAAAGGTAAAATATGGCCAATAAAGAGGAGAGTTGATATAACTAATTCAGGGTCTCTTGGTTCTATTTAATTTTCAGCGTCGGAACACTAGAAGTGCATATTGCATAACTATATATTTAACCAATGTATATGCGCCACCCCGTACATAAAAATAATCAAGTTTTGTCTTTAGTTTTAAAGTTTATTTCTTGATCATCAACAAAGATGTGAGGCTGAAATATAAACATTATAAGCATGATATATTTATAAAATGTTATGAATGGCAAAATGCTGTGACTATACAAAGTTATTTGACAGAACACATTAAGTCTAATATTTCAAAATGGGATTTCTGGTGAGATGTTATGACCAGATAAAAGTTTTAGATGGGGCGGAACGGTGCTCCCTGCGGCTGGCGGCTGTCTGGGGGGTCCACATTGGGGCCTCTTTCAGATTTCACTTGCTTATGAATCCTTATAGGAGATCTTTATAAAAGCTTAAATCATCTGTTTCAAAGGCACATGAGAATATTTTACGAAATACAACGGCATCACAAGCTTTCTAATAAAATCTTACATTTGATGGTGGTTTGTTGGGATTTATCATGGTTCTCTAATATATAGTTCTCCGTGTATACAGTAAACTTTCCTGCGAATGACTCTAAGCAAGTAGTTTTCATTGTGTATATTTCAGAGTTGATGTAGATTAGGTGTGAGATATTACCTTTCAAGTGTGTCCTGTGAACACTGCAATTCTTCCTTGATTCCGTGTATATAGATCAGGATATTCCTGAATTAGGTTAAAGTCGGTCTGAAACAATCTTATTCTTCAAAGAATAGTTATTAAAATATCAGGAGTAATATTCACCTTCAGGAATTGATCTAGGCACAATTACTCTAGAGCACAATAGTAGTTTTGAAGAAACATACAGTCGTTCTCGAATTCTTACAGCCTACATAGGAGTTATTGTTAATCCAACGTTTAATTCAAGTTAGATTTAAGCAATACCTGGGAGGTTTTCCAGACTAATTGTGTGCTGTAGATCACGGTGAGATCCCTCGTGATCACCGTGAGATCTATGTTAAAAAGCTGGGAGCGTAGATGGGTGAACATGAGATGTAGGATAAAATTTTTCATTAAACTGTAGATAGGAAGCTGTGGTAAAGATTTCTCGTATCAATCCTTTTCTGCATCTAAAGATCAATCAATTGAAATCACGTTTCAACGTTAATTATCTTTCTTCAATACTTTCTGTTTATTAACCTGCTTGTGCGTGCTTGTGAGACAACCCTATAGCCTCTTTTGGAGTCTCAAGAACTCCGGTTTAAACTGATCAACTCTTGACGATCAACTGGATCAAGCAACTGCAACTCAATTTATGAACTAGTATTTTATTTGATCTTTGCTTGAAGTTTTGATAACTGATATGTACCTTGAATGTTTTTGAATAACGGATCACTTCTTTAGATAGGATTAGGGAGTCTTAATGATCTTGATCTCCCATGATGACGATCATTAAATTCAATTGAAAGCTTGGAATTAAATATTACATGTTTTCAGGTTTAAAACATAATGTGCCAATATTAGTTTTCATTTCAAAACTTGATAAAAATCCGGTTTACATGTTATCTTAGTTTTAAATACAGGTTAAAATTACATTTTGATATAACTCAAAGATCGACAAGATAAAAGAAATGTTTTCGATTATTTAATTATATTCCATATATAGTTCTTGAGTGGAACACTTTTTTCCATTTTTTTTAGTCTGTAAATTGTCCTAAAATAATAGTTTAAATTTTACACTAATTTAGCTGTTGATGGCTGGCTCCGTTTTTCTGGTTCCGTATGATTGTGATTTTAACCACGGACCTTGCTTAGGTATTAAACTTTGACGGGTTTTTAACTAACCCTTTATTTTATACAATTAATAATGATATTATTAAAGGGAGTGACCGGCAATGTATGATAGTTGAACTGAGAATGTAGCATTGTGGAGTAATTTTTTTGAATTCATTTAAGACATACAAAACGTGCTAATGATGTATAATTACTGAGTTTAAGCGAAAAGTCGACGTTCAAAATCATCTATTTGGGTGGTTACGTTCTGAAAATCGATTTTTTAAAAATTATTAAACAACGTTGACAAAAATGTTCTTAAAAATCGACCGATAACTAATTAGATGTTTAGGAACATATTTCTCAATAGAAATTTGTCATTAAATCAATGTTAGAATTAATTATTTCTTTTTCATCATTATAATGAATTTCTTCTTATTCACGAATTTGTTCGTAGATTTCTTCAAATGCATCTAAATGTCCTCTTTTAAATAAAAATTCCGGGATATATACGGAAAACGTTTTGTGAACAATGAGTCATTACAGAAACTAATAACTGAATAAGATTAATTATTTTCGATTATAAGAGTCAATTTTTATTTTCTCAACCTGTTCCTAAACAACTCATTAGTTTATCGTAGAAATTTTTGTATATTTTTCGTGGTCGTCTTTGAATAATTTAAATAAACCCGATTCTCAAAATCATCCCTCCAAAATGGGCAATCTATGAGGATTTTAAATATTGCATTTGCACTGTTGCTGAACAAATATACACCGTAAAAACGTCTGATAGGTCTCGAATGAACCCTATAAAAAATTCTCAATAATACTGTAATCTTAATTCAACTACCATACATTGCCTCTCACTCCTTTATAATGTTAAAATTTTCAGCAAGAGGGAATAAAGCGCACTGGTGTTTAATCACAGGGTTCCTTCTTCTCTCAGACTCACCTCAAGGCTTAAATTCGAACCAAAACGGCTCAACTCTGGACTTAAACTCAAATCAAGATCAAAACTCAAGTTTAAATAATCACTTGGATTCATTAAAAAGCCAGAACTCCGCCCAAATAAAGTTTATAGACTCTAATGAGGATCTCTACTCACCTCCGTCTTTCAAGAAACTTCTACTTATTGCAAGACAATCCAAATCCTTAGTTTTAGGTAACTGTCATTTTTCATAATCAGAACTTGCACCCCTGTTACACATTTTAACCAATTTTTAGTAAACATTTTAATTTTTTCAACAAAGTTTTCCCCACAAAACAATTGACACTAAAATTTCAGATGTGTTAAGATTTTGTTGGGAAATATTTACCCCTGTTTAGCTGTAAACAATAACATGTCAATGTTGTTTTTATCCAGGTATGTGGGATAACAGTAAAATAGTTTCTAGCAATAGAAACCTTAAAGAATTTGGAACCACGAGAAATATTCAAGATTATATGGTAAGCAAAGTATTTTTTAAGCAATAATTTGGACAACGTTTTTATTTCATAGTATAAAAATGTTTGCGGGTATTATATTTAAGGTTTTGTTTTAAAACGTAATTTTACGTGATAATTTTTTAGCGAATGCACTTACAACTTCATAAGGAATAGTTGAAAAGGCATGTAGTGTAGGTATATACAGTACATAAGAATCTCGGTATTTGTACAGTCTAGGAGACTACATTTGTTTATTGTTAATTGTTAACTTAAAAATATTAATATGCATGTAATATATTATTTATATATTTAAGTCAACACTATAAGCCAAATTATCATGCAAAGAATATAATTTGATTAAAGTTTACAATAAACTACTCGTTATTCAAGCATAATTATAATTGACGACATTGTTCTGCAATTTCCTTGGCTGTAGTCATGCTGTGTGTTTGTACCAAAAGAGTGTGCGTGTGTAATAACGAACTCGTCTGCAAAGTAAAGCAGTGCGACAGGCTTTCTCATTCCAGACCAGCGCCATTTCCCTTACCTTTATTCTTATTCCCTGGTGGTGAATCTTAGGATCAAGTATTGATATACATCTTATCCTAACATACGGATTTAATTCCTTTTCGATATCCCGATATCCTTTAACTGAGGAATCCAGCATAATTTATCCTCCAATTTATTGAATATTCTTTAGATATCGAGATCAAGTGTTCAAGGGAGGTCCCCCTTAGTTTATATTTCTGTATACGCGCTTGACCTAATATTTAAATATTTCAAGAGTGGCATGCCGCAACGCTGCCCTTTAAATCTCGAACCAAGTATTAATTAGAAAGATATTGTTGGTTTTTAAAAGTTTAAGATTCCTCACAATTTCCTTCATTGTCTCTGAAGCATAAATCTGCAAGTAAATCACCATTAAAAGTAATCAATTTTTATCTAAAATTGAAAATTTTCTATCTTGAAAAGTGTTATGATTCTCACTATTTCCATCTTTGTCTCAGAAGCATATAAATCCGCAAGTAACTTGAAGAAAGAAATCACAGTTGAAAGTAATCAATCTTCGTTCACGGTTGAAAGGGTACAATTGTAAATCTTACATGCCAACCTATAAAAAGACAATCACTTGAAATGACGTGTTCAGTCCCTTTAATTTTCTGCTGTTTTACTTCCTTTCTTCAAAACTATTTTAATAGAAATTTCTAGTTCGCCACGTTTGCATGTTAGTTGAACGAGGGAAGGAGTGCAGAGCATCCATGAGCCCCGCAAACTGACCTCCGGAGCCTCCTGATTTGCAGAATGGCCTCCAAGCTAACTCTTATCCAATCTAAATCGTCTCCAAGCCTCATGCTACGTCTGCCAGGGTATCCAACTCCGTCTCCACGTCCAACAATCCGATATCCAATAACAAATATTTGGCTTTTACATCCACCAAAAGCCTTTTTTCACAAAGTCTTAACATGACCATAAAGTTTTTAATGGTACATAACAGTTTGTATTAAAAAGTCTACGTTTACCGAGATTTAAACTTCTTATATTTTGTTTTTCTAAATTTCACAAATTCTTAAACTGGTGCAGAACTATTGCAGCTTTATATAAAGAAAGACAAATTTTATATCATTTCATATATTAATCTTATTAGACTACCACCCAATCACAATACATAATAGTTTTTGAGAAATACTTAAAGGAGGCGTTGCATCTATGACATTTTTTAAGATCTCAATAAATAATGGTGTTAGCCGGTCCTACTTTTGCATGTATACTCATCTGATGAGGTAGGAACAGGATATGATGTCAAATCTTCAATATCTCCGTTCGGAGACCGGAGATATAGGATGAGGTACCTCCGTCGGCTTTGATATTTTTTATCTCCGGCACCTTTGAACTTGCAAAGCCCAAATTCAAAACAGTTAGTTACACCTTAGGACCTATATAAGTTAATAAAAAATTTAAATTTTTTTTTCGATTCTATCATGAACTGCATTTTTTCACTTTTTTATTATGTCTTTTTTGGGGACTTTGAATCAAAAATAACGAAATAAAAAGGGTAATGAAAATGTTTTCTATCTAATATGAATCTAGTTTAGGAAAGGAAGTTTCCAAAAAAAGTGATTTTACCCCCTACAGGGTGTCTCAAAAATATTTTCCACTCATTTCTGAAAAAGATTCATAATAGTTGAGGAAACATTATCAGTACCCTTTTTCTTTCGTTATTTTTGACCTGAAGTCCCCCTAAAAAAAAAACATTTTAAAAAATGAAGAAATGAACTTTTTGTCATCGCATGGTAAATTCGAAAACAATTTTTTTTATTAAACTATAAAGGTCCTAAGGTGCAACTGTTTTGAATTTGTGCTCTGTAAGTTCATTGGGGACGGAGATAAAAAATCGGAGCCTATATCTCCAGTCTCCAAACAGATATATTGAAGATTTAACGTCATATCCTGTTCCTAGAGCATCAGATGAGGTATACATGCAAAAGTAGAACCGGCTTACACCATTATTGACAGTAAAACTAATAGAATTTTTTTTAAATCAGTGGAAAATATTTTTAGATCACCCTGTGGGGGGTAGAATGCATTTTTTTAAACCTCCTTTTTCTTAAAAAGATTAATAATAGTTAAGGAAATATTTTAAGTACCCTTTTTTCGTTATTTTTGATTGGAAGTCCCCTAAAAATGACATTTAAAAAAAATGAAAAAATGCAGTTTTTTGACACCCTGTCTTCACATAATAGAATCGAAGAAATTTTTTTTTATTTTTTCATTAAACTATATAGGTCCTAAAGTGTAACTGTTTAGAATTTGAGCTCTGTCAGTTCTTAGGTGCCGGAGATAAAAAAAAATCGGAGTCGACGGAGGTACTTTTTCCTATATCTCAAACGGAGATATTGAAGATTTGACGTTTATAGAGGTCAAAATAAAGTTTAATGACCCCCGATTTCAGACTCCAAAACTCACCTTGTTTAAAGTTTAGTGTCAATAAGTGTCCAATTGGTATAAAATCTTGAACATTTTTTAAAAGAGCGCGCGCGCACCTTTTCTCAAAACTGAAAATATTGAGTTCAACGAGGGTGAGGGGTAGCTGCTCCCAGGATTTCGGAGTGCTCCCAGGATTTTGGAGTGCTCCCAGGATTTTGGAGTTGCTCCCATGGTTTTGGAGTTGCTCCCAGGATTTTGGAGTTGCTCCCAGGGTTTTGGAGTTGCTCCCAAGGTTTTAGAGTTGCTCCCAGGGTTTTGGAGTTGCTCCCAGAGTTTTGGAGTTGCTCCCAGGATTTTGTAGTTGCTCCCAGGGTTTTGGAGTGCTCCCAGGATTTTGGAGTGGCTCCCAGGATTTTGGAGTTGCTCCCAGGGTTTTGGAGTGCTCCCAGGGTTTTGGAGTTGCTCCTAGGGTTTTGGAGTAAAATGAGAAAATTTATCCGACCTTTTATGATATGTCCTTTAAAAAATGGTATTTTAAAGAGGGAAAATCACAAATTTCAGTCCAAGCAGCCTGTTGCGATCGTAAAGTTTTGATTATCCAAACTGACGACATTTGTTTTAGTTAATACGTTAAAGATTAAAGATTTTTAGCTAGATACATAAAGGTTTCATTTGACTTGGTCTAAAAAATATCAACATATTCATGAGTTATCTTATTTCCAATTTTTTTTTCAGAAAAATCCTATTTTCGCTTTAAAATCTCTAATTGATTGGTGCAATTTAAAAATGCGTTTGTACTCAACTGTCACAAAAAAAGTTGTTCTAAGTTAAATTTAGATCATTCTGAGAGCAACTCCAGAGCAGCCACCTCTCCTTAGTTCAACGTATAGTTTAGAGTTCACAATTCTCAATTTATAACATCATTTATAAAAACTTACAATGCCTTTAAGAACCACTGTGGGTTTAAGGGACAAAAGTTAAACGCATAAAAATCAAAAACATCTTTTTGTTAAGAATAATTTAAACAGATTGTAATGTATTATTTTATCAGAACCCAATCCTGGTGGTGAACCTATGGTTTGGGAAGAACAGCTTCACTGTCTTCCTCTTTATCTCCCCTATAGCACAGAAGGGATAGAAGTTCTACAGAATTTTGAAAAGAAGGTAGATAATTAATAATTATTTACGGGGAAAAAAACATTTTGATATATTATTTTTCGGGAATTTTACTATTTTATTACTGAATTGAGAAAAATAATAAATTTCAAAGGTAAAGAAAATAATTTTAGGGAAAGTGAAAGGGAAAAAATTTGTGAAAATTTGCAAATCCTATAATTACTTTTATTATTTATATTTATTTTATTTTTCATAAAATGCTCAATGTTATATATTTAAAAGAACAACAAAATGCTAAATTATATTGGTCGCATTTTGATTTTTAAAATAAAATACAAAAGATTGGGGAAGCGTCAAACTATTTTAAACTAGAAAAACACTAACAACAGCATTAACTTTCAAAGAAAATTTTTATATTTTTTGAACTAGGGTTGAGTAATCATAACTTGGTGATAACATTAAAACAAAACTTTTTTAGGTAGCGGTTGGTGTCAAGATGAAAAGCTCTAACACAAAGAGTAGTCAACCTCAGTCCTCAGCACAGCAGGAGAGTGTGAAGGTTAAGATTTAGATTAATTATTACTGGGTACAAACGTGCGCCAAACCATGTAAAGCTCTTGGTTCAAACCTTAAACTGTAAGATAAAAAAATCTAGAATCCCTTCTTTCTTTAGTCCAAATCACGGGGCATTTATTTGGAATATAAGAAAAAAGTAATTCGCATGTGTAGAAATAAATTTTTTTTTGCAGATTTATAGATTTGACTGTCACGAAGTATTTGAAAGCCCTGAGACTGGTGGTGTTGCTTTCTCCCTGCCTCATGGCAGCCTGCTCTTAGAAGTAGCAAAGCACGAGGTGCACGCTACCACAGCTCTTCAGACTCCAAACAGATTAAACCCTACCAGGATTGGCTTAGTATTCTATCAACATGCTAATCTCCATCTTCACAAGCACGGGAATTATGTTCATGTTGATAAGCAGATGAAAAGCCAATACAAGAATTATGCTGATTGGTTGGCAGGGAAGTTCGTTCCAGTTAGTTCTCAGCTAGACACACTCACAGCTGCGGGGTTTGTTTTCCCGAAGAATACTCGACTGAACAGTAGAAAAGGGAAGAAAGTAACTGAGCAGAACCGATTCAATCATCAGGAGTTTCCCGGATTTACTCCAGGAAGAAGGGTTAATGGTGTTTTTACACCAATTAAAAGCTCACTGTAAATGGACTATACTGCTGCTCAATGGATTACTGGAATAGTTTTCAAGTTATTTTCTCAAGCTAAAGAAGTTTCTCCTAATATCTAGATTGCATAGTTTTGAGCAGAGGTTGAGTTGAGTCTTCATATCAATCCTCGTCATATAAATATACTCCTTGAACACTGGTATTCTATGTAAACCTACTCTGTGAACTTGATATACCTGAATCTCGTAAAACATAAAGACAATATTAATTTTATTGTTAAGTAAATTTGGAGTATGTTGAATTTTAATTTTTTTCCGCTAATCGTGGTGGGGATTGATTCTAAAATATATATAGAGTATAGACCCCTGTTACACTCTGTGAAATTTATAACATTTAATGCTAACTAGAATTTGTGGGAAGTATTTAGATATGCAAAAAGACCTGTGATGTCCATCTAGTTTAAAGAGTTCTAACTATTTTTGTCAGAAAATCAAGTTTTAATCTGTGATAAATGTGCCATATTTTTGAATTGTGATTTAATTTACCAAAGAAAATTAAAACTGGAGTGCCTTTAAATAAAAAGTTTTAAAGAGTTTATATATAATATATACAGATTTTGATATCCATGTTTTTCTCTTTGACACTTGATTATTTTCCAGCGTGGGATCTTTTACAATAACTTCATGCCACAGAAACAATGGGGGAATTTTCAAAACTTGGCATTTATTAGTAGAAAAACGAAAATATATTTAACATGGAGGGTCCCCTGAAAATTATATATTTTATTTTCAGAAGAATGATTTAGTTTATTGAAGTGATTAATGGCTGTGAAGTGAATACACTGGAATATCCAGAACAACAAGACATTGTCATCAGATAAGAAATTCAGTAGTTTGTGGAATAATTTCTCAAAAGATCTAAAGACTAGTCTAATCAAAATACATAAAAAAGAATCATAATTTGCATTCAACCCTATTCTTCCAGATTCAACCAGATAATTTCTCATTTTAAAAAACTATTCCTCAATCAACTACAGAGGCGCAATTAATACCCCGCCCCNAAAACCAACAATTTTCTTAAATCATACATTTAATAATGTGCTCATTCTTTAGTCATAATTCAATTACATTCACTTCGTTTATTCATTTATACAAGCCAGTACTTCACTCCTACATTTAATTCATCAATTCATTAATTTTCTTATTCAATTAATCTATTGATCATTTAAGCATTCCCTATTTCATACATTTATTCATTCATTCAATTTATTTTTCCATTCAATTGTGCATCTATTCATTTATTTAACTATTTGTCTATTCAATAGCTCATTTATTCATTAACTTGAAATTTTATTTAATCACCTATCCAATCCATGATTCATCAACCTATCTGTTGATTTATTCATATATTGGTTTATTCATGGACTCATTTATTCATTTATCCATTTATTCAACCATTCATTAATTCATTAAGTTCAAAATACCATTTAATCACTTATTTATCAACCTCCCACTTGATTTATTCATCTATTGGTTTATATTTATCTTATTTAACTACTCGTCTAACTGTTAATTTATTCATTTATTGGTTCATTTGTTTTCTTTTTCTATATATTTAACCCTTTAATCAGTTATTCATACATTTCTCTAGATCTATTCATCAATACATTTATTTATTCATTGATCTGCTGCTTCATTAATTCATTTTACCCTTTATTTAGTTGTTTATACATTTCTACAGATATATTCATTAATTCATTAAATCCAGGAAGTATCACGTAAGAACTATAGGAGAACCAAGCACAGGTTCAGAGGACCAGACTATACATCAAGTAAACAAGTAAGTATATAATTTTAGATTTAGAAAACGCACCCTGAACTGGTCTGATTATTTAGGGACTGGGAAGCCTTTTCCGATTTAATTAATTTAGCTATTTTTGATTTGATTTAATCTTTTTCTTATATCTCCTTAATTTAGGATGGAGCAGAGTATGGTGGGCAGTCTGACCACAGATGATGAGGCTATCACCGTCCACCATTCCAAATTCTCCAGCTACGAAGAGTAGAATCTCAAATAGTTTTTTGACCAAATCAATAATTTTATTGGAGACCCCAAGCTTTTCATCGGAGACTCCTGATTTACATGGACACACATTGACTGTCACCAAAAGCGTTTAAGCTTTTCATCGGAGACCTTTTATAAAAAAATGAAGGTTATTCTTTTGAAATATATCGTCTCCAGTGTAAATCTATAGGGTCTCTGATGAAAATCTGAGAGGGTCTCTGATGAAAATCTGGGAGGGTCTCCGATGAAAACATCTAGCTCCTCACTGAAAATTTGAGGTCTTGAATATTAGGTAGTATTCCAATGATGATGAGTTCCTTTCAAAATGATAGAAATTTGGATTTTGATACTAAAAGGTCATTGATTAAATCTTATAAAAGTGTAAACTAGGTTCATTTTTACGAAAATTTACATATATTTCAGATTAAAAATGAATAAGGAGGAGATAAGGGAAAAGATTTTGCGCTATGAAACTCATCTTAATGAAACCTTGAGAAATGATTTGAAGACATGCCTTGGTAATGAGAAGATTGGTTACTGTACAGTGTTAAGTGCTATCGTCTAGTTATATTCATCTATTATTTAAGTTAAAAAGCTGCAATTGCACTCTTCAGGGCGTAGTATAAATGTGGGTTTTTTTCAGAAAAATCTAAATTTTTCAGCGCAAAAGTGCATTAGAGACTAGAGAGGTATAAATCACGGTTAGAAGTGGTTTGACTAGTCTAAAAAATTATCCTTCAAGTTTGAACGATGAACGTACAATATTTATTGAGTCTAGTGTCGCTGTACAGTGTACAGTGTGTACAATACCATGTAATTAACATTGCCTCATGTTTAGAACTGAGAGACAAAGTATACAGTGAGCAAGCAGAGTTTCTAGCTTTGAGAAATACCATTCTTGCAATTAGGAACATACATAATTGTTAAACTTATATCAAATTGATTAATCAACTTTTCATCAAAAGTTAAGTGGGATTACCGAATGTTTTGTTTCAGTGCATACTTCATAGAATATTTAAGTAAGATTGATCCAAGTTTTTTTTTATTTCTTACAGAAAATAAAATTCGAATGATTTTGTTAAAAGTTGGTAAAGGTTGAATCTCATTATTCTCGTATATGATCGGGCAAGGTTACAAAAAAAAATTATTTGTTCAGAGAGTCAGGTTTGCAAAAAGGAGAACCATTGAAAACCAAAGTGGATTTAGGTACAGTAAAATTATCATCATGTACTGAATAGTATAGTATACATTTACAATATAGTTCCTGCCATGTACATTGTACAGTACCGTGAAGCGAGATTTAATGATTCAAATGGAATTAATATCGCTTTTTCTCAAGGTTGTAACTTCTACTGTGAGGCAAAAGTGGATGATCCGACGTGGATCCTTGTATCTATAGGGATGGGATTTTTTCTTGAAATGACACTCCCGGAAGCGCTAGAGTACATAAGGAATGGTTTATGCGTCATATAATATATATTCTTCAGAATTCATTTATTCATACTTAAAAATTAAAGATAGAATATATTTTTAGAATTTACCACCCCCTAATATCACCACTTTTTGTATGTCGATGACGGTTTGAAAATCCCACATTGGTGGTATTCGAGAATTTCTAGCTTTTATATTTTAAATGCATACACGTTTAGAAAGAAAGATGTTGAACTGAGCACCCAGGCTGACAAGCTAACCCAGCAATCTACTAAAATCAAAACCAACATCAAGCTTGTTATTGGAGGGCTTAAGGAGCTTCAGAATATCAGTTTAGAACAGAAAACACCATACAGAGATGCATTTGCTTAAAGGGATTGTATTTGTAATTTTAGGAGGCCATTTATTTAAAGAGAAGTCTTAATTTTTTTTTACAGAAAAGGTAAATCTTGATCAGTTTCTGTCTGATCTATATTAAAGAATTTACAGGTGCATTTCTCAAAATTATTTCTTAAGATTTCTCAATCATCGTTACTTAGATTATGGTTCAAAGTTCTTCCTTTAACACAAGCATACAATTATTCCTGCTCGCTTGTTTCTACTATTTAATCGTAAATGTAAAATTTGGAATTCAATACTTTTTTAGGCCTTTTTTTATTATTTTTCAAGAATAAGTTTGACCCTTTGGCTGTGAAGAATAATGATTATGTTTTTTTTTTTTTTCAGAAAAATAATGAATTAAAATGCTTGGCTGTTTGCAGAATGGTTTAAAGGTAGCCTGTAGGACAGGACAAATAAATACCAGGTAGAAAATTATCTAAAAAGTAAAAATTCATTTTACATACAGTGAGTGATATCCAGAAAAAAAAATCTAGAATAGGAAGTCGACTTTTTGACTCAAGTTATGACTTTAGATAATTCAATGGACATAAGGCACAGCAACTATGCAGTGTAAACAGACCCATTTTACTTAATAAGTGATTTAATAACTTAACAGTAAACCTGTTTGCTTTCTAGTAATATTAATTACACTTCAGTATTGATATAATGTCGTCTTCCTATTTCACAGTTTACTTGTTATCACTAGGGATGTCAACGTTTTCAATTTTTTAAAAAAACGATTGTTTCGTTATGAAACGACGATAATTTTTTTTTTAATTCGTTTTTTAAAAATGGTCGTTTATAAACGATCGTTTTTATAAATCTCGTCGTTTCATTAACGATCGTTAACGAAGAGAGGAAACCGACCTGAAGGGGATCTGTACTTATCATTGAGTAGTTTTTAAGGAAGTATTAAGAAGTTTTAGCTCCCCCGCAACTGTTTAATTCACGTAAGACGTCAGTCATTAAAGTTGCATGTAATTTTTTTCTTCTAAAACGATCGTATTTCTAAAAACGACCGTTTTTATAAAGTTCTTCGTTTCGTTAACGATTGTTAACGACAACCCTTCGTTAACGATCGCTAACGACGACCCTTTGTTAACTATCGTTAACAGAATTGTCAATGAATTTTTTTCAAAACTCGTTTTTTCAGTAGCAAGCGTTTTTTAGAAAACATCCGTATAAAAAACGTCTCAAATCTTTTTTATTAAAACGATCGTTTTCAAAAACGATCTTTTTTATTTTCTAAAAGTTCAAAACGAGTGGGTTGTTTTTAAAAACGATTGTTTTTTCCGAAAACGAAAGGATCGTTTTTGAAAACGATTGAAAAACAAAACAAAAAACGAAAGTTTTCAAAAACGATTAACAACCTTAGTTATTACTGTAGCAAAATTAATGAATTTTACTTGGGTTAAAAATGATTCACGGGGTAGGAACTGTATGGTGTATTAGAAATCTTAACGCTTGATTTTGAATACCAATGTAGGCACTTTTAATTTTAGTATCAATGCTTGGTGCCTCCATTAAAGTTATCCCTGCAGGGTATGACCACCACGGGATATACGAGATGGAGATCAATTCTTCATCCCGGGATTCCCAAGGGAAAACTTCTAACTTCAAATTAATATTTTTGTGAATTAAACAAGCTAAACTAAACCTCTGCCTTTCTTCAACATTTCTGAGGATATTTTTGTCACCTGAATGTAACCCATTGTCCCTGTCAGATTTCAATGCCAAGGATCTTGATATAAGCCTAAATATTTCCGAAACTGAAATTACATAATATTCCTTGTTTCAGGTTTATCCAGACAAGTCAGAGCTTCCTTAAAGATTACTACAAAATATTAGGAGTTCCTAAGAATGCTAGTCAAAAGGAACATTCATATTCTTAATAAATTATTTCTTGAATTTTCATATTTTTTTAAGTTGTTTGTAATAGGATTCCCCATTGTGCATGAAAATATTGAACTCAAGTCTCAAATTAAAATTAAAAATGTTCAATTTTTATAGAAACTTTATCATTTTTGGGGTTCTACTCTGCACGGGCCCTGTAGGACAACTTTCAGTCCAATTCATGGGTTATTTTTTAATATTATCTCTCTTTTATTTATTTTTACAAAAATTATTTTCCCACAATATCTTTAACATTGTTTTCCTATTTAACATATTTTTCCTATTTAACATATTTTCCTATTTAACATATTTTTCCTATTTAACATATTTTCCTATTTAACATATTTTTCCTATTTAACATATTTCGCCCAAATTACTTCTAAACATATGATTGCTTTAAAGGATATAAAGAAAGCTTACTATCAACTTGCCAAGAAATATCATCCTGACACAAACCAGGAAAACTTAAATCAATCAATCAATTGTTTTTTTATAAATAAACACAAGTTTCGTGTTCTAAGCTACACAGTCAATCTAGCACTTTAAATTAATAAGGGACTACTCAGTACTTACGGTAGGCATAGTTATAAGTGACCCTTCATTTTTTATTTAACTTGTTATGTGGCGTGTCCGATGTTAAACTTCGTCAGGATGTTATTGCTTATCTTATGTTTATAACTACTTAACCAATGTTTATACGCCATACACAGAAATAATCAAGTCTATAGAGAGTTTATTTCTTGCTCATCTACTAGCTGTGAAGCTGAAAATATAAACATAATTAGCATGATGTATTTATAAAATGTGATGAATGGTAAAATGTTGTGACTATAAAAAGTTATTTGACAGAATATGTTAAAATACAATATTTTTGGTGTAATATTACGACCAGATAAAAGGATTGAAGCATTATATGAGAACTTTATTAGACATCTGTTTCAAAAGGCAAATGAGAATATTTTACTAAATACCATGTCCCAAGCTTTCTAATAGAAATCTTACATTTGATGGGGGTGTTGGTTTTCTCGCAAGCTGATCAAAATGTCTTCTATTGGGGTTTTATCAGGTTTCAAGTTCTCCGTGTGTCTGTATAATTTCTCCTGTAACTATAAGCGACTAGTTTTCATTTTGGATATTACAGAGTTGATGTAGATTAGGTTAGGTTTATGAGATAATAACTTTATATGTGTGTCCCTTGAACACTGTGGACTGCAATTCTTCCTGGATTCTGTAGAATGAATGCATGTAGATCAGGATATTCTTGAATTAGTTTAAAGTCAGGTCAGGAACGATCTTATTCTTGTAAGGAATTATTATTGAAATATAATAAGTATTCATCTTCTGGAATCGAGCTAGATACAATCCCTCAAGAGCAACAGTAATACGTAGTACATAGACGATACGTACAGTCGTCCTCAAATTTTTTCTGCCTGCATAGGAATTACTGTTAATCTAACGTTTAACACAGGTTAGATTTAAACTTTACCTGGGAGATTTTCCAGACTAGCTGTGTGCTGTAGATCACCGTGAGATCCCGTTAGATCACCGTGAGATCTTTGTTAGAGCTGTCTGCTGTGTAGACGGGTGAATATAAGATGTAGGATCAAACTGTAGATAGGAAGCTCTGGTAAAGATATCTCGTATTAGTCCTGTTCCGCGTCTAAAGATCAATCAGTTGAAATCACGTTTCAACATCAATTATCTTCTTCAAATGAATACGTTTTAACAAATTCTGTTAATTGACCTGCTTGTGTTTGTGAGACAACCCTACCCTCTTTTGGAGCCTCAAGAACTCCGGGTTATACTGATTACTCTTGATGATCAACTGGATCAAACAACTGCAATACAATTAATGAATCTATTGCTTTATATGATCTTGATCTCCCATGATCATCTTCAACATGGCGATCATTATTTACCATGAAAGCTTGGGATTAAATATTACATGTTCACAGTTTTAACATTTAAAATGTGTCAATATTAGTTTCCTCTATGATTCTTGATAAAAATCTGGTTTTCATGTTGTCTTAGCTTTCTTAAATACATAATAAAATAACATTTTGATGTTCTTTTAACTTGAAAATTGACAGGACTAAAGGGAATGTTCTTAATTATTTAATCATTAGTTCTTGAGTGGATCACACTGTTTAAGCCTTTTTCTTTCAGGCTGTAGTTAGTTCTAAAATAAAAGTTTAGATTTTCACTTTTTCCTAATTTTCCTTTTACAGAAAGGATTTAAGTTAATTTTGTCAGGACGAACCAACTGCCCAGAAGAAATTTCAGGTATAAAATGAAAACTGAAGTATGGGTTTATGAAATATGATTAATTAAGAACCCAGCTTTTCCTGGAAACCAAAATTTCTTTATAAAAGTCAACCTACTCGACTTTAAAAAACTAAGCCAAGAACATTACGGTGGTTGTACCGAGTTTTCCAACCATTTGAAGCAAACCAGTCAAGGGGTTCATGAGTTATGATCGGAAATACAAACAGATATTGATACTTTACGTTTTGATGAATAATTCAAAACTCTCTTCTGGGTGGGAAGTGTTTAATGAATCTTATCAAGGTTTTAAATTAAGAGGGAGAGAGGAAATGAGGTCTGGTTTATAATGTTTTGAACAGGCTGCTGTGGCTAGGACAGCTAAGAGATAAGTTGCAATTTGGGAAAGGGGCATTTGGGAGAATGTCTATGATTACTGATGAGGAGTTAGGTACCTCACAGCGCCAAATCTTACTGTAGGTTCTAAGTATATTTACCTCACATAACCTGTTGGTTGTATTCAGGAGGTGTCTGAAGCCTATGAGGTTCTAGGAGATGATGCTAAGAGAGCTGAGTTTGATCAGTTTGGATCTGGAGCCGCAAATAATCCATTTGGCCAGGTACTAACATTCTTACGGTCCACGGAATTATTTAATTTGAAAGTTATTGATTTTAATCTGCATATTTCCGTTGCTTAATTAGGGACGGGCATCTTCTTAAACATTCAAGGTTTTTTTATATTGTCGGTTACTTTTAATACACTCTTAAAAATTTTAGATAATTTTTAAAACGATTTATTTAACCGATTGTAAATTTATTTTTGATGATATCTTTGGGCAACATAAAAAATTTATTCATAGCAAATCGGATGTTGCTTTGTGATAAACATCTTACAGATTCTTGTAAGCACCTTTAGAGACATTAAAACCTTGAATGACTAAAAACGGACCACTAAAAGCATTGTATTGAGTATGCATAATCAAATGCATCATACATTTTAAATGACTTGCTTGCTAATTATTGATTAAGAATTTCCAAGCATTGTCAATCATATTAAGATTCATTTTATAACATTTCATTCTAAATTAAAAAAAAAAAACCATATGAAATTTTTCATTTTTTATTAGATCAAATTAGATTGGTCGCCGAATCCAGATTCATACTTGTCAAAATTAAAAATACTTAGCTTAGAGATCGGGTGGAAATATTATTTTATGTATCTCGAGACTAATTAGGGATACCTAAAGAATGTTTTTGATTAGAACCAGCGGCAGAGTTATTCTAACCGTGGTCCGCAGTGGTCCTACCAGAGCAATGTGGACCCAGAGGAACTTTTCAAGCAAATTTTTGGTAAAATACTAGAGCTTTTTTCCCGATTGTTTGGTTTGAAACGAATTTCTAATGTACCTTTTAAATCTTGATTTATTGAAACAAAAAAGTACTTTTTTTTTAAAGTACGGTTATTAAAGAGTTCTTAAGAATTAATGTTGAAACGGTTTAAATATTTGCGTTTATTCCTCTAACGGAGTTGTCCAGGGCCGGATGTATAAAATTCTCCCCCCCTCCCTTCGGTAAATAAATGCCACCAAAAAGGAAAATTTTGGAAGAATTTATTTTAGTCACCTGAGATGGAATTTAAAGAATTTGAGCCGCGGTTTAAATTCGGCAAAATCCGCCAAAACCCGGTTTAAATTTAGCGCCGGCTTAAATCTTGAAACATTTGATATGGAACCAACCATATTTAAGCCGCGGCTTAAATTTAAACCGCCGCTCAAATTCTTTAAATTCGGCCACTGGAACTCTTAATTCCTGTCTAAAAAACCTAAAATAAGAACATTTGTTTTTAATCAATTTTTTAGGCGAGTTTTCGAGGGGATTTGGAGGACGCGGTTCCAGTTCAGGGTTTTCAAATCCTTTTGATGATATTTTTAACTTTCAATTCCAGGGGGGACAGCAGGCTCAAACTACTATATCCTTTACTGAGGTGAGACTTTCGAAACTTAGATGATAATTTGAAAAACATGATCTAGCCTTGACACTAATCTCATGGCATCCAGTGCTGTTCTTGCAATAATAATAATCTATATTTATACTTTGCTTGTATGTTTGTTTGTTTGTGAAAACGACTGAACCCATCGGGCCGTTTGTTATTAGACTTCATTTGACCCCCCGGGAAGGATTTTGGATGCTAAGAATTACATAAAATTGTCATTAATAAACTTTTGATTTTCCTGAAATCTTGAAAATCCACGAAAAAATCTTAATCCGGAATAAAAATGATTGTTTTATTGAAGAAGACCATTTGTTTGTTGTTACATAATTTATTTTTTAAGTCTGCCAAAGGAGTAACAAAAGAAGTCGATGTCCTACAAATGACTGGAAATTTAAGGTAGAGAAATTAGGTTTTTAAAATATTTCTGGGAGGATGGGGTTCTAGTTAGTACTAAAGTGCTCGGCGTTGCCCGTGCAATTTAAAAATTGTTGAACAAAAATTTTGGGGGGGAAAATGTCCATCTTTTTTATCATGGGTTTCCTTTAATAAATACTAGCCGATTTGGTCCAGCCGTTTGGCCAGCTCTAGCTAACATATAAATATATATGTATATGAGCTAAGGTCTTTATTATATAGATTTGTTTGTTTAGAAATCCAAGTTTGAATAAAAGTCGTATAAAAGTTCCAATTCCAGCTGGAATATCTGATGGTCAAACTCTTCGTCTTTCGTTAGGTAAAAATTTATTTTAACATTTTTGATTTTAACATTTTTTAAGAATTAAATTCGAATTACATTTTTCGAGTTGGAAAGTAAGTTGTTATGTCTATAAAAAACAGAGGAAAGGCCGGCTTGGTTTTCAAATCGAAATTTAGAAAACAAGCTTATATAATTTCACATTGTAATTCCAAAATAATTTACAATGATTACGACTTTTTCGCTAAACCATTTTACTGGTATTCAAATAATTGGGGATGGGCTGATGAGGCTGATCGGCCCGATTCAGCTTTATTCACTAAAAACAGCTTTGAAATATTAAATTTAACTTAGGAAGAAAAGAATTTATCAGCTAAATATTAAGACTACGCACTTTAATTAGATGTTCGAACGTTGCTTATTATTTTATCTTATTTTGTTCAGGAAACCAGGAGGTGTTTGTAACTGTCCGAGTTCAACCCTCAGATTATTACAGGATAGAACACTGTCAATTAGTTTGTGTTGAGTTTTGAATCTTCATGACAGATACAATCTCAAGAACTGACGACGGTCAACCCAGGCCTATATATTTTAATAAAATATGGAACTAACATCTACTTTATTTACTCTATAGAGGTTTGGTCGGTAACCATCACAGACTTTAAAACTGTCAATTTTATCAGTTTAAAGCCAGGGGTTTGAAAACGGACCTGTGCCGTATCCCTTCCATATTTTTATTCCCTGTTTAAAACCAGTTAAAGAGTGTTTATTCTTTAATCTTCTAATTAGTCACGGAAAAATTATTTTAATGATAACAGAATATGCAATTTTGATTATAAATTATAATTGAAACCTCGACCCAATGTAAGTTAACAATATCAAATATTTGACTCCAAGGATGTTGATTGAGTGTGATAACATAATTTTATGTAACCAAAACCCCATTCTCTTCCTTGTTTTCTTAGTTTTTTTTTTAGATACAGTGGTAGGCGATTATATCAATATAATGGAGAGGAATTTATTATCTAAGTTCTGATTATTATCAAGCTTTTTTTGAAATACAAGTTGACAATTAATCAAAGAGAAGCTTTTAAAATTGACAGCTTCTCTTGACTTCATGTTCATCTGTATCCATGCTGTTTAAGAGCTTGATATAAATCAAAATTGAAATCGAAAGTCTTCTTTGTTATGTATTTATATAATCGCCTACTACTGTATATAAAAGAATCGTCTTTTAACAATCATAAAGTTTTTTTATATGATTGATTGTTGACAGTGTGTTTAAGTAGGCGTGAAGGTTATGATATCCACACAGATGCAAATATATCCATATCCCAAGCTATCCTTGGTGGCATAATCCGGATACAAGGTCTATATGAAGATTTAAATATCCGGATACCGCCGGGAACAGACTCGCACACTGAGTTGACCCTTTCCGGTCGCGGGCTCAAACATATGGAGGCTTATAACACGTACGGAGATCATATAGGTAGGTACTCTTGTTGATCGTCAAGGAGATCATATAGGTAGGTACTCTTGTTGATCGTCAAGGAGATCATATAGGTAGGTACTCTTGTTGATCGTCAAGGGCGGACACAGGATTCTTAGCCAGGGGGAAGAGATTTTTTAAGGTACAAAGAAATCTGAAAATAGGAACGTAAAGTTCTGAAAATAGAAAGCTGACCCCTTGGCAGGGAAGACTTATATTATACAATTGTTTCTATTTAACTTGCATATGTATAGTAGTGTTCCTTCTTTATTAATCGAAATTGTAATATTGTTCCTTATTTACATGCATATAACTTTCCTAATATTTACTTTTTGTTCTTAACTTTTTTTAAGTCCCTTTTATTGACTATTGTTCTTAATTCATGTACAGTATGAATAACATTTTCGCATATGTAATATATGTTCCCTGTTTCTGTTCCTTACTTAACAAATCTGTAGGCTGTACCCTCATGTGTTGATCATTATTTTATGTGTTACGAAAAACGTGTAACTTGTTAATGTTCCTATTTTTTGGTCCTATTCCTAACACTGTCCCTAGACCCTAAATCCTTTATTTTTGTTCCTAATTCCTTAACAATCTTTTTATTGTTCCTTAGATTATTTATTTCATTTATTGTTCTTATGTTCTTAGTAAATGTATGAAAATCCTAATTGTTTTGCTTGTTCCCAGCTAGCTCAATAATCATTGTTCCTGTTATAGTGTTCATTTTATTGTTCCTTTGTTCCTCTTTTGATGTTCCTAATCTAGTCTTCTTTTTTTCTTCCTAATTAACCCAATATTTGTGTTATTGTATTGTTTCTTTTCTTAAACCTGAAATGTTCTAAATTTGACAAAGTGGAAGAAAAGCAAATGTTTAGAAAACAAATTTTTGAAAACATTTTATAAACTTGTAATATTTTAACAGATACTCCTGGTAAACTTGTAATATTTTGACGGTATTTTTATACAATACAACTGTGGAATTAGAAGATGCTGTGTATTTGATGATGTTATTAAGCAAGCGTTCTGCCTGTAATTAAACACCAACTTATGGTTCTGCACTCTGCGTACGCCTTACACTGAACAATCTGTGTTTTATGTTAGTTGGATTATTTGAAATCTTAACATGATAGTCGTCTTCCTATTCCACAGTTTTCTATTCAATCTTCAATTCGTTTCAAATCATCCGTTCTTTTTAGAATTTTATTCTAAAACTCACCCACCCTCACTTCTCATCGCGCCCCATCACTCTTCCTTAGGGTTTAAAGTAGATTTAGAAATGAGCAGTGCATCTTAAGGTTGGATGAAACATAGATGATTGGATATAATGTTAAGAGTTTACTGTTAGACACTTTTTTTAAGAATTATTTCCCCCAATAAAGCGAATCAACCCATAAAAGAAATTTGCGGTCGCTCGGGGGGGGGGGGGGGGTTCAGACAAATATACTGTATCCCATAGCCTGTTAATAATTGAAATGTTGGATGTGCATTATGCAATGTGCAATAAGCATTGCCCTTGCCACTGGAATTATTTTTCGACTTTTTTATTGCTAATTTTTTTTAATTTATTAGTTTTTTATTACTCAATCTTATTATGATTATGAAAATAAACACGTTTCAATTTTATTCTTTCCTATTAATTATTACGCCCGGTAATTAACCACCACTCTAGGATGATAATTTTCCGCACTTTATTCAATGTGGTTTAAAAACCAAAGGGTTTTATTGAGAAGAAGTTTTATTCCTGATTCTTTTTTGGTCTTACTAGTTTCTTAATTAAAAATAGAACTAGGATGTATTGCATAGTATTCATACGTCTACAGGCCGTTGATGTAGATTCTTTCTGGGGTCGACTACAAAACTAACATTTATTTATACAAACAGGAACCGTAAATGGAGTGGATAAGTCTACATGGAGTGGCCTCCGGAAGAAGTGGTCGCAAGAGAACAAGGAGACGGAGAAGAAAAAGGAGGTGGAGGATGAAAAGGAAGAGAAGAAAATTAAGGAATTTGAAAATCCAGGACTATTATCCCGACTGAAGAAAGCTGTGTTTGGATAAAAATCAAACATTTCTCCATTTGCTAAATTCATCTGTTTTGCAGATCAAAATTTACAGTGATACAATTATTTTTTACATGTTTATTAACTTAATATGTAAATGTGCCTTGCATGGTATGCAGTATGGTTGGTAAAGCTTGTTTTATTTCTGGCTTGCATCCATATTTTAGAACAATAAAATTTAGACCGTTTTTTCTTGTTTAACATCCGTCGCAAACAATTTCTCCAGTGCAGTAAACTATTCCACAACCATTGTAGCCCTGAAATATATATAATGTTCTTGAGATAAAACTTACCAATGAAAGATTGGACTGATCTTCCTTCAATTAAAGAATGTAAACAATTTACAGTTAAACTATTTATTGATAAGAATTGAACACACAATGTTTTGTAATGATAAATAGTGTACATTCTAATTCAGTACTTCGGAGCATTCTAAAGAATTTATAAAATGACGTCTTGAAATATTTCGAAGGGTTTTATACTAGTTTCCCAAAATCTTAGTAATCTATCTTCTATCTATAAATTTAGCTTGTCTTGGTGTTTGTTTGTTTGAATCCAATAAACGTCGAAACGGCTGAACCAATATGGCCCAAATTTTGTGTGGGACCTCACGTGACCCCAGGAAAGGTTTATGAATGATCTAAATTTAAAAATTTGTGTTTAAAAGTTTTAAATTTTTGCAAGATTTTGAAAATGCGCGAAAAAATATAATGAAATCCGCAAACTTTTTTGTTTTATAAAGAGAAGATGCTCACAGATAAAGCCACAGTTAAAAGTTGAAATAGAAGATGGTCGCAAAGCGCACTAAAAGCCTAGTCTATTTATAAATTTGGCTTGTACATATATATTTTACTTGTCTAAGTGTCCGTCCGTTTGTATCCAATAAACGTCAAAACGGCTAAACCGATAGGGCCCACATTTTGTGGGGGACCTCACTTGGCCCCAGGGAAGGTTTATGAAGGATAATAATTTTAAAAATTTGCCGCCATCAAAATTCGATTTTATTAAAATTTTAAAAATATAGAAAATCCACGTAATTTTTTTTTGGCAATGTTCACAAAGAAAACTTTTTTTTGGCAATGTTCAAAAGAGAACATATTCTCATTTGAAATAGTTGTAAAAATATGGATTGCCATGAATGTACGGGAACAGTTTACAAGAGCTCCATATAATTATTCAATTAAAAACTAAATATTTGCAGCATACCATTATCACGAGTGAGGGGGTGTAGAGGCGCCATGATCTCCGCAAAAATTACCTCCGAACCTCAGGATTTGCAGAATTACCTCCAGGCCCCGCAAAACTGGTCTCCCAGCCTCAGTGACGTCACCAAGTCTCCCGCCATTCTGTATCCACGCCCCGCATTTTGGCTCCAATAAAAAAATATTTGGGTTTTATTTCCACCAAGAACCTTTTTTTTTAAATTCTTAACATGATAAAATAGTTCAGAATGATACATTTTGTATTAAAAAGTGAATTTTAATTGAGATTAAAGGCTTGTATTTTGTTTTTCTAAATTTCACAAATTCTTTAAATTGTGAAGAACTAATGCAGTTTTGTATAAAGATAGAAAAATGTTCTATTATTTTAGAGGGGCCTCATATACCAATCAAACAATATCAGCGGCAATTTACAAAACAAGGTAGTTTTTTTGAAATCCTTGTATTTGTGATTTTATCGTATGCTTTAGAAAATATTGAAGAACTATTTTTTTTTAAATTGAAACAAAGAATTAAAATAATCTAAATATCTATTACATGCTATACTGACAGGTTAGGACAGCTTCGTGTCGACGTGTCATATCTTGTTGTTTTAATAAGTTAAATTTAATTCTAAATAGTTTTTCTTTTAGCGAGAGAATTCATTTATTTGACTGAAAAAATTAAAATACAAAGGTGAGGGGGGGGGGGTGCGCAAAAACTCGTAGATTATAGAACAGATCCTCATTAATTTGCATTTTTATGATAAAATGTAATGCTGAGGAATCGAGAGTTAAGAAAATCTTTAAATCATGATGCCTTCAAAATATTAGATAAGTCGTTTATAAAGGTCGTCTTTTACTCATTCCATCTTAATGTAAACTTTTACAGAAAAACAACTCCAGAACAATTGAATGAATTAACATGTCAAATTTGTTGATTAAACGATTCTTTAAACTATGACGGAGTCTACTATGAAGAGATAATAAAAACAACAAGCGGAGACCAAAATGCGGGGCGTGGAGACAGAATGGCGGTAGGCTTGGTGACATCATTGAGGCCGGGAGAACAGTTTTGCGGGGCCTGGAGATAATTCTGCAAATCCTGAGGTTCGGAGGTCATTTTTGCGGGGATCATGGCGCCTCTGCACCCCCGTCTCTCTTATCACTAAGTTAAGAAAACAACATTTTATAAATTCTGTTGATGTCTCCGATGTTCTGGGTTAAACCATAGGAAAGCATGAAATTAATTTTCCAGTGCTTAGGATCCGAATCCGCAAGATTTTGCTTCCTGGATCCGGATCCGCAAAAATATCTGGATCCACGGATCCAAGGGGCAAAATATCAACCAAAAACTGCAAAAAAAAACTTATTTACTCTCAAACCCCAAATCTGAACAATTGAAAAAAGAGAGATTATAAAAATTTCCTCATTTCTAAATTGTTTACAAGTTTTTGCATAAAAATAAGACAACAAATTTAAAAATTTTGCTTTGTTCAGAAAATTCAGTAAATCTTAAAGAAATTACCTGAATCCGGATTTGGATCCATTTTTTCCAGTGCGGATCCAGGATCCGGATCAGCATCAAAATTAAATGGATCCAAAGCACTGTAATTTTCAATACAATTCTCATTCTTTTTACTAGTATTTTGTAAAAAGTTGATACCTTGTTAGGTGTACAGAAGCCTGCCCCCATATCCTCTTCCTTGTACCATAGTTCTCCTGTACAACTAGCAGAAGGAATGGATCCGTGGTAGTCCCACTAAAAGATATTCTATAAAAGGAGTGTTAGCGTATTTTTAAGTGACTCTCAGTTAAAAGTAGGGCTATGCTTAAATTATATTTATATCTTAGTAAAAGTTAGAAAATTATGGCAAAAGTATTTATAGGAAGTGTAATTATGGCAAATGTAACTGAGCCCTCACGAAACATGATAGTTAAGAGACGATTCTCAATTCTTAAACTTAGTTAAAAAGTAAAATACTTGCATTAATAGTTAAAAAAAATATTTCCAGTCTTGGCAGTTCCAAAATGTGGTTTGCCTTTTTTTCAACATAATGCCAGAGATGTGGTTCAGATTTTGACAATTTTGGTTTTATTTATATACAGGGCTACTCTCAAAGAATGAAACGACTGTACGGAATTTTATTAGTCCGGTTTTTTGCACTCAGAATTCCTTGGAGGCCATAAACTGTGTCCCTAGCAAACCATGAAAATACTCAATTGAATGCAGAAACCAAAAATCGTCATATTTTTAGAGTGTTTGGTGTTCCCTCGTGTGTAACCCTGTAATAAACCAAATTCTTAATATCAAAAGGGAGACCACATTTTAGAAATGTCAGGACTGAGGAAAATTTGTGATAATTGTTTGAAGAATCATACCGTGTAAAAGTATGTTGAATGAAATTACTTCTCAAATAAAAGAGTGTTCTCTCGTGGGACACCCTGTATGTACACTTACCGCCCATATTTCGAAAGATTCCCCACTGTTAGGATGGAAGAACATGGCCTCGGGTCCTAGTCCTAAAAGATACAAACAACTTTACTAAAGAGCTAAAAACTGTTTTAGCTCCGTCTTCTTTACATGGTTGTTTAAATGTGAACGTTTCTCTGGATTCATCTTTTCAAACTGTTTTAGTTCAAGAAATATAATTTTTGACGATATCCTGATTCAAATTTTTTAAAGTCATGACACTTTAACCAAACCCAACCACAACCACCCCACTTTAAAAGTTGTATGATCCAAACCGGTAAAACATGTACTGTGTATGCACTGTCCAGTCTGGACTACCTGCAGTGTCAAGTCGACCCAGCACGCTACATGCAACAAATATAGCCTGGCAAGATCACAGTGCACATGCTGCCACTGAATCCTTTGACTGGAAAGATAGAAGTTGGATAATAAATATGTTACCTGTATCATAATCCCATTCTACAGGATTGCATGTAACGCTGCCGGGTCCGGCATTTCCTGCCCCTAAAATACATGTTATTCTATTTCTTGCCCCTGAAATACATGGTATTTTTTTTCCTGCCCCCTGAAATATAACATGTTATTCTATTTCCTGCCCCTGAAATACATGTTATTCTATTCCCTGCCCCTGAAATACATGTTATTCTATTTCCTGCCCCTGAAATACATGTTATTCTATTCCCTGCCCCTGAAATACATGTTATTATATTTCCTGCCCCTGAAATACATGTTATTCTATTTCCTGCCCCTGAAATACATGTTAATCTATTTAACAATTTTGGTAACTTATTGATTTATATAAACAACCTGTATTAATGTCAATCAAACCTTAGTTGAATGAAGCTATGAATGACCTGCTGGAAATGATTGAAGCTATGAATGACCTGGTGGGAATTAATGACGCTATGAGTGACCTGCTGGGAATTAATGAAGTCATGAATGACCTGCTTGGAACTAATGAAGTTATGAATGACCTGCTGAGAATGAACGAAGCTATGATTGACCTGCTGGGAACGAGTGAAGCTATGAATGACCTGTTGGGAATTAGTGAAGCTATGAATGACCTGTTGTGAATGAATGAAGCTATGAATGACCTGCTGGGGATGAATGAAGCTATGAATGACCTGCTGGGGATGAATGAAGCTATGAATGAAGCTATGAATGACCTGCTGGGGATGAATGAAGCTATGAATGACCTGCTGGGAATGAATGAAGCAATGAATGACCTGCTGGGGATGAATGAAGCTATGAATGACCTGCTGGGAATGAGGCATCTACATTAACGTGACCATAGCATTCCAGGACTCCTGAACCGGTCCAATCAGATTTTACCTAAAATAAGATCAGATAACTTCAAGGTTCAGTAAGGGGGTTTTCATCCCCATCCTGTAAAAAAAAATCAAGCCTCCAACCTGGAAAAATTCCTGTGTCCGCCCCTGGAAAACTTTACGAAAAATAGAATGGGGTCATATGGTTAGATATTATTTTCACTACCGTTTTAAACTTAAGTATTCAAAATATCAAATTTAAAACTGGAATGAATTTTGAAAGACAAGTCAACGCTCTGCTATGAATTGAGGGATGTAAAAATGTTTTAACTGAGCATATTCCAAAATTCAATATTTAAAAAAAAATGAATTACTTTATTTTTGGTTTTGTGTTTAAATGTGTAAATTAACTAACCAAAGCGGCGAAAGAAAAAACTGAAAATAAATATATTTTTATCATTTTTACGACGTTGAACGTGCACTGAACAAGTTCACTGAGATCTAGGAATTTTATAGATGAAAGCTTATCTCCTATTGTTGTTTGATCAGTATTATTGTTTTATACAGTTTTATCGCAAGAGAACAGCTGAACCAACACAAGAAGTACAGTAAGTATAGAAAAGTGAGTTAAAAAGTCATCTAGAAAGAAAAGTTAATGGAGAATAGTCGATGATGGTTTAAAAACGGTTAAATAGATCTATAGATAGATCTATAGATGGATAGATAGATCTATAGATGGATAAATAGATCTATAGAATAGATTTATAGAGATAGAGAGATCTGTACTTAGAAAGATAAATAATTAGTTTTATAAATGGATAAATTGATTTATAAATAGATCATTGTGAACTAGACAGAAGGATCGATGAAGATCAAATTTATACGACTTTGTGCAATCTCGTAGCTCTTCAAGCTTAGTTTTTCTCTTCAAAGATGTATGCATAAAAGAAATGGTAACTTATTATAAATTTAAATTTTATTTTCTATTCTCATTTATTTATACCGAAGAGACTCATTTGTCCTCTAAGTGAACTTAGAAGAAAAATGGGTTACCCGACCCGCCAGCACCCCCATTAGATAATGAGATGTGAGCCTCAGGGTAGGGGGCCTGTTAGGATCGTATACTGGTAAATACGACCCGGGTCAAGCCGCATGTCGGTTAGGTCGTCATGCAGCCCAGGCTGTTACCCCAGCCCGCCTAGTCCTGGAAGAGAACTAGTATGTTGTTTGTTATTTTATGTTATAGGTTTGGTTCATCTAAGGTTAGTATCTAGGCTTAATTTATCCAGGGTTGGTTTATCTATGTTCAGTACCCTGGGTTAGTTTATCCAGGATTAGAGCCCTTGGTTGATGCATCCAGGTTTACTCCCAGGATTGGTTTATCCAGGTTTTGTTCCCAGAGATATTTCATCCAGGCTTAGTACCCATGGCTAATTCATCCAGGGTTGGTTCATCCAGGCTTTGAATCCTGGGTTAAAAGCCCAGGGTTGCTTAATACCCAGGTTTGGTTCATCCAGGTTTAATACCCAAGGTTGGTTCATCCAGGGTTCATACCCAGGTTTAATTCATCCAGGTTTAATACCCAGGGTTGGTTCATCCAGGTTTAGAACCCAGGGTTGGTACATCCAGGATTAATACCCAGGGCTGGTTCATCCAAGTTTAATACCCAGGGTTAGTTCATCCAGGTTTAATACGCAGGGTTGGTTCATCCAGGTTTAATACCCAGGGTTGGTTCATCCAGGTCTAATACCCAGGGTTGATTCATCAAGGTCTAAAACCCAGGGTTGGTTCATCCAGGTGTAATACCCAGGGTTGATTTATCCAGGTTTAAAACCCAGAGTGGGTTCATCCAGGTGTAATACCCAGGGTTGGTTCATCCAGGTTTAAACCCAGGGTTGGTTCATCCAGGTTTAAACCCAGGGTTGGTTCATCCAGGTTTAAAACTCAGGTTTGGTTTCTTCAGGTTTAATACCCTGGGTTAGTTCACCCAGGTTTAGTACCCAGGGTTGGTTCATCCAGGGTATGAACTCAGGGTTGGATCATCCAGGCCTAATGCCCAGGTCTGGTTCCTTCAGGGTTAACACCCTGGGTTAGTTAATCTAGGTTTAATGCCCAGGGTTGGATTTAGTAAAGACCCACTGGTTTACTACTCAATATATTTTAATTATAATAAGTTGAGCAGCAGGGGTAACGTGTCCAGTCGTAGTTTATAAACCTACTCCCCCATTTATGTAAAAGTGTATTAAGGGAGAAAGTACTGATGGGTGCTAAATCGGCCATGGGTTAGAAAACCCCAGCAATTCCCTTTAAATATTTTATTGAAAAGGAAATAACAATCAGCATTGCAAAAAAGAAGCAACCAAAGCTTTCCTTAAATTAGCCTTACCTTTCAGGTCAAACCTCCATAGTTTGTTACTGAGGGATCCATTCTTTGTTTTTCCTCAAAACAGAAGAAGTCCTCCTGGAATCTTGACCATAGCATGTCCCTCCAGGGCCCCTGGGGATCCAGATCTAGACTTATTTCTAGAGTTTTGGGATTTCATAAACTCAGAAAAGGTTCTGAAGTTCTTGGAACTATCTGCTATAGATGTGCCTCTGTCTTTCATCATAGCAGAGAGTCCCAAAAATAAGAGAAGTTATAAATAAAAACATTTAAGATTTCAATTTTACGTGCAAGTTACTTCAGCTTGTCGTGCAATTTACTTCAACTTTACGTACAATTTACCTAAATTTTACGTACAATTTACCTAAATTTTACGTGCAATTTATTTCAATTTTACGTACAATTTACTTCAATTTTACGTACAATTTACTTCAATTTTACGTACAATTTACTTTAATTTTACGTACAATTTACTTCAATTTTAAGTATAATTTACTTCAATTTTACGTACAATTTACTTCAATTTTACGTACAATTTACTTCTATTTTACGTTAAATTTACTTTTATTTTACGTGCAATTTCCTTTAATTTTACGTACAATTTACTTGAATTTTACGTTCAATTTACTTCAATTTCACGTTCAATTTACTTAAAATATACGTGCAATTTACTTCAGTTTGACGTGTGTTAGATAGATCTCTAGATAAACAAATAAGAAGAGAAGAGGACAAACAGTAAAACTTTGGGATAGATTGATAGATATTTGCTTGGCTTTGGAAGAACTGATTTCTAGGCATAAGGCATACAAGATGAGTAAAAAAACGGGATTATCGATTTTTTGGACAACATTTTCAAAATTTTTGTTTTGTTCGGATTTTAGGCATTTAAAAATGGGATGAAAAATTCAAAAATATTTGTGTAACGTTTGTAACGTTAAAAAAAATCGACAAACCAAATTTTCTTTTCAAGAATTAATTTTTTTAACAATTTTTGCGGTGGAATGATAAAAGAAAGATATTTTGATAAATTGCGTGGTTTTTCTTACCAACAATACTCAATACTTTAACGGAAATGTTTCGTTTCCAGTGGCGCCTAGTCTCAAAACGGATCTAACGCCGGCGCCTCGTCAGTTGTGATTCTAACCTCAAACTGTTAAAATCAAAAGTGACTCGATTTTACAAGTTTAAAAATTGTCTGAGCAAAAACATAAGAAAAAATTTAATTAAGGTGAGTCATAATAACAAATAAATGGTTTAAGAATTAAAAGATTGAGCACTAAAGATAAAGATTAATTAAGGTGAGTCATAATAACAAATAAATGGTTTAAGAATTAAAAGATTGAGCACTAAAGATAAAGATTAATTAAGTTAAGACATAATAACAAATAAATTTATGATTAAAGATCTTGAGAGTTAAAGAATAAACGAATATAAGGATTAAAGGATTTAAATTGAGGGGTTAAAGATTGAATGATTTCATAAGGATTAGAAAATTTATAGGATCGATCAGTATTTTACGATTGTTATTTGGATTGTTTTTTAATTTTTACATATTTATTTATTTTGAAATTTTAAATTTAACAATATTCTATAAATAATTAGATAATAGCAGATGCAAATATTTTGTTATTTGGATTGAAATATTTTACTTGAGGGATGTAGGATTGATCTTACTCAAAGGGATCATTAGGTCGATTGATCTTACTCAAAGGGATCATTAGTTCGATAGATCTTACTCAAAGGAATCATTAGTTCGATAGATCTTACTCAAAGGAATCATTAGTTCGATAGATCTTACTCAAAGGGATCATTTGTTCGATTGATCATACTCAAAGGGATCATTAGTTCGATTGATCTTTAAATGTTGATTTTACGATTATTTTTAGAATTTGCCTTGGGATAGCAGAAATGATCTTAGAATTGTAGGACTGATCAATTTAATTAATCATATGACTTTGGGATTGATCTTAGGTCGTCTGACAAATCTTAAAAATATAAATCTGATCTTTTTTATTGAAAAATATTATATCTTCTAATATTTTGACCAATTAGTTGATTTTATCCTTGATCTTAGGATTGTAAAAATTATCATGGTAATCGTATAATTCATCATAAAATCGTAACATTCATCATAAAATCAAAACATTCATCATAAAATCGTAACATTCATAATAAAATCGAAACATTCATCATAAAATCGTAACATTCATCATGCATATAATCGTAACATATATCATACATATGATCGAAACATATATCATGCATATGATCGAAATATATATCATGCATATGATCGAAACATATATCATGCATATGATCGAAACATTCATCATAAAATTCTAACATATATCATGCATATGATCGTAAAATTTATCACAGAATCGTAAAGTTATTGAATATATTCGTAATTAGTAATCTTGTTGTATTGATCTGAGGATTGTATAAATTGAGGATTTCATAATTGATCTCAGAATATAGTAAAATTGATTTTAGGTTTGTAGAATTTATTTGAGAATTTTTTCTTAGAATTATGGATCAAATCATATAAGATTCTTAGAATCTTAAAATAGATTTTAGATTAGTAGAATAGAATCTCTTTGAATTGAAGTACTCTTAGGGATCGAGAAATTAATTTTTTAATTGTAGAATTGTAAAATAGATTTAAGTATTTTTATTTATGATGGTGTAGTGGTTTCAAGCTTTACTTCATTTTTATAAATTGCCAATAGTTTTAAATGTACTTTTAGTGTAAATAGCTTAGTATCCGTTTTCTGACGCAGTTAAAGAAATCATCGGAATGCGAAGAATGCGTATACAGGCCGGATACGCAATGTATAAGACCGCGTATACGCATTTAGGTCCAGTTGTGACCCTTTTGCAAATTAACGATACGTAGAAATGTATTTTTTAATGATCAAATTGAGAAATTAAATTGTACTGACAAGTAAAGAATTGTGGATGGGGGGAGGGGGAGGGGGCACACGGATCCGGATGTGTTTGCGTAAAGCGTAAGTGCGTCTACAGGTTCACTGTGTACATGTCCTGGTGCAGAATATTTGAACAGGATGTGTGTGCGTAACTATGCGTATACTCAGGGCTATCATTCATTCATTCATTCATCAATTTATTTATGT